AAACGTGGCAATTGGAATTCAAGTTTCCAGCTGTTGATAGAAAAACAACCCCCAAAATGGATATCAACATGGATTTTTTCCATTGAAAGGACAGATTCCCGGGAAATTTGGATGGGTTTCACGAGTCAGTCGTTCATTTCTTCAGAACCACTGCTGAATCGGGATACAGAAGTGCTCGGACTCACCAAAACACAGCAAATAAGAATCAACATTGAACGGAAGCAAAAGCCAAAGGTAGTCCAAGTGCACCCAAGAATTCAGGCCTTAAGTGATTATTTACCACTATCAACTCCGGATTTTTTTGGGGCCTAAACCTTTATTGTTGGCGCCCGGAGAGGCGCATGAATCGGAGAATCCCTGGCACATCCCGGAACCTCCACTCCGACAGGCGCCGATGTCTCGATGGGGATATGGGGAGGTTGCCGGTGTGACACAGCTATACCTGGGTTCCCAAAAGTGATGGGGGACAGAAATGTGTCATCCCCCCAAGGTATAGCATAGGATGCAGAAACTTTAAAGGTGCGGCCAAGCCCAAGCCTCATGGGCAGCGATAAAAATCATGAATATGGCCAGCCTGAATGCAGTAAATCATCGCTTACCCTCTGGTTATAACTAACATAGCTATGGAAAATCACCATTTTTAATGGGTAAATCCACTATAAATAGCCATTTTCAATAGCTATGTTAGTTTACCAGAGGGTACATTTTACATCTCTTAGAATCTCTTGACACTTTTATGAGTTTCTTAGCAGTGACTCTTGGCCACAATATCAACCTGCGGTTTGCATCATCGGGATGCGGTTTACAAATCGATGGCGACATCTTTTTGAGAGTTGGGAACACCATGAAGATATGGAGACTACCATCTGGTTATTTAACATTGTAACATAGCCATGGAAAATATTCCATTTATAGATAGTTTACCTATTAAAAATGGTGATTTTCCATGGCTATGTTAAATAACCAGATGGTACTATATAATATATTAATCTAGCAGATTATATGGAGAAAAGTTGGGATTGTCGAATCTTCGGCTTCCAATATGGAGGTTGAAATGGGGGTACTGCAAGTTATCCATGGGTTTTTCGGATCCATTAAATAAACCATCCAGCGAGCTTGGGGTACACTGAAAAACCCATCCATTTTCCATTTTCTACACCATCCATTCATAGGATTTTCCATGAAACCATCCATAAAAATCCATAGATACACCATCCATATATTTGAATGGATGGATTTTCCATTTCAATAGGATATACCATTTTCATCCATTTTCCATCTATTTATGAACATAACTATAGAAAATCACCATCTTGAACAGTTAAACCAACTATCAATGGGCCATTTTCCAGTTCGCTTTTTGTTTGACATAACCAGGCCGGGTATCCCCATATATTCCCATGATTTTCCCATATATTCCCATATAAAACATCCATTCTAGTGGATATTTCCCATATAAAACCATATAAAACCATATAAAACCTCCATTTCTAGTGGATATTTCCCATATAAAACCATATAAAACCATATAAAACCATATAAAACCATATAAAACCTCCATTTCTAGTGGATATGTCCTATTATTTATGGGCTATCCCCATTGAAGCCTCCGTTCTGACGGTGTTTTTCCACACCGTCATGTTTTTTAACACGGCCGAGGAGGGAATGGTGTCCGAGCCGCCCTTCACCAGCCGACACCAGAAAGACGCAGCGCGGAAACGAGAGGTGGATTGTGAAAATCCACTACTGATCCCTAACTCTTATTGAAACCATATATATATAGTATATAGTATATATAATATGTATATATATATAGTATATATGTAATGACTTAAATTCTAGCTTTGGGGACTCGGAGTTGTTGGGGTTTATGGAAACTATCCTCGAACGTATTTAAACATGGCTGGAGAATCCCCCCGAACTAGCCATGGAGGTTCTAATGAGAGAGTCATCTATAAATGGTGGAGATGTTTTTTTCCAAACTCCCAATATTTTTTTTTGATCCCTTACCCCCTTTATTGAAACTAAAGATATTTCATTTCTAGCTTTGGGATGCTTTGGGGTTGAACATGGACTTAGGGTTTACCTGCAACTCGGGGAGGAGATGAAAGTCTTAAAATGTTGATCCCAAATCGCTGAGATGACCCAATCAATTTTCAAAGAAAGACATCACTGTGTATTCAGAGTTATATATGAATATATGTTATTTGCCTGTTGCATTTTTTGTGGTTGCGATTCGAGAGGATGTCCAAAAAGGCCAAAGGATCTGATTTTCAAGACATGATTCTTGCTTGTGAAGCTGCCCTTGGCTTCAAAACCCAGTGATTTCTGCGATTTTCCCAGTTCACATTGGCAAAATCCGAGGAATTTTTTGGTTGGTCAATGCTGCCCCATTTTCCCATTTTGTCTCTCTTAGTTCATAGTTCGATATCTGCTACCGTGGAGGCCAGATATCGTGGGGGCCTGGATGAGTGCAGCAATGCTGAGAAGCAAGTCAAGGTCGTGGATTCCTCGAAATCACCGGAGGGCCATTGGGGCCATTGGGGCAGGTCAGGGCAGGTCAAAGCCACAAAAACCGCTTAAAACGAGGGATTTTTTCGGAATCGCAACGTTTGGAGTAATTGAAGCCACCACACCAGTGATTCTTTGGATGAAAAACCATGCTTCGTATCTCTGAGGGGGTTTCTGACACGCTGAGTTGTTTTTTTGGCTGAATATACAAGGAGTAGTTGCATTAAAAAAACCCAGAATATCAGGGATAAGCATAGAAAAAACAGAACATATAACAGTTGGACAGTTGGACCGCACCAAAAAAAGAGGGAACAATCCTAGAAACTGACCCAACATTTCACCACATTTCACCTCGTGGAATCCAACTGGATTAACTCGGTTGAACTCATCACTGGGATATCATTGTGGACGATTTGGGAGAATTTTCAGTTGATTCGAGCCCCATTAGAAAATGAATTGGATGGTCATCATGGTCATCCCAATTGGACTAGCAACCCTGGCAACCCTTTTATTGTAGGTGACGACTATTTCAAGCGGAACGGAACGTTGCGTCAGAAATTCTTAAAACCAAGAATTCTGGGTCCCACGCTGAAGTCCCAAGACATGAGATTGCTCCATTCATTGAATCGATGGGGACCTCATGAAATATCAATGGACTGTCATAAAAATGTATCTATTTTCAGATTCCCCATTTATTTTCATCACACTGAAAGTTAGATATCGATATTTTCTGGTTGGTGGTTTGGAACATTTTTTATTTTCCATTTCATATATGGGATAATCCTTCCCATTGACGAACTCATATTTTTCAAGATGATTATTGCACCACCAACCAGTTTTGTATAGCCCCATTGCTAGTTACCCTCTGGTAAACTGTCCCATAACTATGGAAAACCACCATTTTTAATGGGGATTCATCAACGATTTCGACTGGGCCATTTTCAATAGCTCTATGAGTTTATAGTATATTGACATATATTAACCACCAAAAAACACCTAACCATCATTAACCATCATTAACCATCATTTTCCATAGCAAACTGTTGACACATCCAAGCCGGGTCTCATTTTCGACCACCATTCGCCAGGCGCCCGGCTTGGAGTACGTGGAGGAACCAGAGGCGACCGGATCCGGCTTAAAAATCTACCGGGTTTGCCAGTGATCACTGGCCCACAAAAAAAATGGATACCCTCTGGTAATTTGTTCCAGTTTGCTATTGAAAATTGCCATAGAAATAGTGGATTTTCCCATTAAAATGGTGATTTTCCATAGCAAACTGTTAGTTTACCAGAGGGTAAATGATGATAAATGGGATCACCTGCAATTTTTAGAGATTGATTTCTCGGTTTGGACAAACTCAAGCAACTTGAGCGGTGAATTGCGAAGATCCGTACACGAAGATCCGTAAACTTGGAACTGGACCCATAGATCCCATTAAGTGGACTGGTAAGCTGTGTTTTTACTGGTTTTCATACCACACATCATGGTATTTCACATATCAAAAACTATGGTAAATCGATCGAAAGATCACATCCTCATCCTGGTGAAATTTCTGTTTCTTTGGAGGTGAAAACCCAGCGGCAACTCCATCAACACAGGCGATGTTCGAGATGGAAAATGGAGATTGATGCAGAAGGGATAAGCGTGTCTACTAATCAGAGCGTATACGAATTACTAATCATAGCGTATAAAATGCTACTAAACCAAACTATCCTTTTTGAAACAACGTGTGCTGGAACACCTGATTTATAGATGATTTTCTCATTGAAACCTCTATTTATAAGATATTTTCCAGCCACGTTTGATGACCGAAGGATACGTTTGCTGAACGGATTGTTTTTTTTTGGAGGTGAACAATCCCATCCTCAACGAAACCATGGGTTTTTCATAGGGAATTTCAACATTCCATTGGGACCATGAATGGGGGGTGTTTAATATTGGGGCGAGGGGATTTGCTAAAGGGAAACCACATCCGTAGCTTTGAGGATCTCAGTATGACAAGAATGGGCGACCATGCCAGGAATTATTAGAGTCAGTAGTCCAGTGTTCCTAAGCATGGCGGAAAATCTTGCCAGTGACGTTCCCTGAAATTGAGGCTTTAAAAACCCTACATAGGGATGGGTCAAAGCCTATGAAATACCATATAATTGGGTTGATGAGTTGATGAACATCCAATTACCAGCTATTTTGGTGTGAACCAAAAGGGTGCTGGGCTTTTGACACATAGCTACGTGGGTTAGTTCGTCTCAGATTTCTCTGATCTTCTCAAGAATACGATGGGTGGGCCAGCGAAATCCTGCACCACAAAAAACGGATGGTTGAAACTAGTTTTTCAACCCCTATAAATAATGGGATAAACCACTTATCAACTGGTGAAATATGTCTTAGAATTTGGCATGCGTTGACTTCTGGTGACATCGTCAACGCCCGGAGTTCTGTTGCTTATGGTTGGTGAATTACGAGCATTTCTCCCGCCTGAGAATGTAGATTATAGCCATTATTCCGGGAAGAATTAGGGCAATTTCACATCATCTTCCAATATTTTGCATCTGAATCGGACCGATTTTTTTTTTCCATGTTAAAAACCATATGTTGCATCTCCAGCCATTTTCATCCAGGAAACCCAAAAAATCGGCATCTCCCAAAAGCGAACAGCGCTAGGAAGGATCAGATCCTCAAAGGCCTGGCTGAAGGGGAGGCGAACTCTGACTTCGTCCCCATCGAGGCGGTTTTTACTGAAATCCACATGTGCATATAACATATATATATATACATATGTTCTATATACAGTATATAATGTCATAATATATATTATATATATATATATATTATGTATTATATATATATGCAATATGTATATATATATGTATATGTAATATATATATGTATATATATATATATATATGTATATGTAATATATATATATATGTATATATATATATGTATATGTTATATATTATATATATGATAACATACTAATCTCTCAGTTTGCGCTCTATATTTTGATTCTTCTTCAGCTATCACAAATAAGTCCGTGTTTTTCCTGGCAAAAGAACGACTATATTTTTCATGGTCATTCACAGCCGTCCCCTGAAAAAGTTGCCCCAGTTCTGTGTCAGGTGCGTCACACGCGAACCGAATTGGAAGAGCATGAGGCTGGATTTACTGTTGTTTATGGTGTCTTCTTATGGGATATTACTATCATCACCCCAATCAAAAGGTTTGACCCTGAGAATAGCCGATTTTTGGAGGAAAGTAGTCTTTCAACCCAATAGCCTCTGGTAAACTAACATAGCTATTGAAAATGGCCATTTAGTTCGTGGATTTACCCATAAAAAATGGTGATTTTCCATGGTTATGGGACAGTTTCCCGGGTAGCAATGACAGGGATCACAGGATCATCCGATTCGCAAAAGGGATTTCCCCATTTGCTCTGAAAAATCCTACGATAGTAGGTACCACCCAAAAAGATAGACAGAAAAGGTACGAGATAATTTCTATAGGATTTTAAGTTGCAATTTTTCATGGATATTTTCCTCTTCACCATATTTTAATGATATTTTCATGATATTTCTATAGGATATCACCATATTTTCCTCTTCACCTTGGTGTTTCGGAAGACTTAGTCCTGTGATATCCCAATATTGAATTTTTAACCTCTCTATCATATCCTGATATCACCCATATTTAATCCCTTATTGTAGGGATATAACAGGATATAATGGGAACATAGGGATATCACAGGGATAGAAATATATATATACATACATACATACATACATACATATATACATACATACATAGATACATAGATACATAGATACATAGATACATAGATACATACATATATATATATATATGCGAAATCCATCATTGGTCACTTGATCAAAGTCCATCGCAACGCCGATGGCTCAAGGGGACAATGCCAAGCGGCACTTGCGCCAGTAGGCTGAAAACAGGTGAGATCCGCTTCGCTTGCTACCACTGCGTGTTGCAGTGGTAGCGGAGCGTTGGTGACGATCCAGGGAAGTTTTAGGTCTAGGCCTTGCAGCAATGGCAGAGGAGGTTCCCTTGCCGAGGGAGAATACATCAGAAGATGATCTACCCCCTGATCCGGGGGAACGGACACCAAGGTCCAATGGTGGCAGATCGACTGGCAGACGATCAGATGCGTCTACTGGAAGAGACCCATGGGCCAGGCGTGATCCCTGGTCTGTACCACGGAGTCAAGCAGCTGAAGTTCGTGCGCCAGGTCTTGAAAGTGAATTTCTTCAGTTCTTGCAGTGGCGTGCACAGGCCAGTGCTGTTGATCAAGGGCTCTATCAGGGACATCAAGAAGGTTCCAACCGAGCTCTTTGGCAAGCAGCGCGAGAAGAGCATGAACGTACCACTGCAGGGCCACCTCCTGAGTGGGATGGCGTCTCCACGGAATTCCGTGACTACAAGCTCAAGGCGAAGATCTGGTTGCGTACTACGCGGACTCCAGCACATGCCAGAGGACCGCTCTTGTTGAAAAACTTGTCCAAAGGACCCTGGGAGGATTTGAAGTTTTTAGCTAGTGATGAAGACTGGTTAACTGATCCCACCAATGGAACCAAGTTGTTAGAACTTATGGATTCCAAAGAATACTATGGAGAAGAACAAAGGGAATCAATGTTGGCGGCATGTTCTCGTTTGACCTTTCACCTGAAGCGCCAACGTGGTGAGTCAGCACGGCAGTTCATGACACGATGGGACACTGCTGAGCGGAAGGTTCGAGAGCACGAAGTTCGCCTTCCACAGGACTTTTTGGGCTTCCTGATGGTGAATGCGCTCCAGCTGGATTCCGAACGGACCAAACTTCTCCTCAACTACACGAAGGGTTCTTTGAAGGTTTCTGATGTTAAAGAGTGGCTCAGGATTCATGAGACAGATCTAGATCTCTCCACTTTGGGCAACGACAAGAAGAAGTCGACAGCCTACTTTTTGGACCAGGAGAATGCCAAGGAGATCCAGCTCATGGACATTCCTGAATCCGACGAGGACATGGAGACTGAATCCTCTGAGTTGCTCCTCACTGCCCTTGCGGACTTGGAGGATTCCGACAACCTTGCGGAGTCCAATGCGGTGACCTTGTCTGAGGCGGAGACCAAGGAGATTCTTCTCACCATGGTCAAGGACCACAAGGCTAAGAGTCGTTCCTATGCAGGAGCAATGAAGGCCAAGAAGAACAGAGACCTCGCCAGAGGTTTTGGAGCTGGTCGGGATGGTATCTTACGACCTGGAACCTATGAAGTTTCCATCTCAGAATTGAAAAAGAGGACAAAGTGCAATGCATGCGGCCAGACGGGCCATTGGGCTCGTGAATGCCCTAGCAAAGGCAAGAAGCCATCAGAGAGCTCCCATGCCAAAGGCGATGCCATGAAGCCCAAGACCAAGGAGCTGAACTTTTTGCAGAACTCTGCAGGTTTGTCTGCCGAGAGTGAGTTTTTCTATTTGGAGTCGATGGGCTCGACCGAGCCTACGAACGCTCAGTCCAACTGCGGCTGGGATGCTCCAGGATTTTGTGATGAGCAAGATGACTCAGCCATTTCAGAGCTTGTGACCGAGAGAGCATATATGGAGCGGCCGACTATTTTTCAATGTTTTCACATGCAGGTTTCCATGGATGAGGGTTGTGCAACGTTAGATACAGGATGTCAACGTATGGCCATTGGATTGAACACACTTCAAAAACTTCAATTGACCCAACCATCGGAATTACCAGTGACATTTTACAAAGAAATTCATCATTTTCGAAGCGTGCATCAAACATCATGTACAACACAACTGGCATGCATTCCATGTAGTCTTGGTCCTCGAGGTTGTATTTTGAGACCTGCACTTTTTGAAGAAGCTTCGTGTGCAGATGCCCCATTTCTATTATCGTTACCATTTTTGCTACATTGCAAGGCTATTTTGTGTTTGGATGAGCAACATGGTTTGAAATTGGTATCAAAACAATTTGGATTCAGCGTGGCATGTCATTTGGGGCCAACGGGTGCACTACGTATTCCGATACAACAATTCACAACCGAGATGATTTCATTTTTATCACAGCGGATTCCAAAGAGTTCAGACGAGTATGAGCTGCTTCAAACCAACCTTGTTGATGAACCTGGTTCTCAGAGCAATTTAGCTAGCAGTTCGTGTGACAAGTCTCCAGCCCACGGAGCAGCCCCTCGTACCACCAATTGCAATGCACGGCGGTCGTTCCAAGAGGGGTCGGACCGAAGTGGGCAGCAAATTCGTTCTGCAGTGTTGGATTCGCCTGGTCCTCAAGACGATGATGATCATTCAGCGTGCCATCGGGCACAAGGTGTACATGCACTTCAAGATGCCCGGACCACGTGGCCTTTTGCTACGCCAGATGGAGGAGATGGCTGGATTGCTGGAGCCCGGGCAGATGGATCAACTGGTCCTTCATATCACCATGATGAGTTCAAATCAAATGTCCCGGAAGCCCTCTCCAGCCAGGTCTTCCACACCGTCGGGATGGTCCAGGGTGACCGACTTCGATCCACCGCCGAGGACCCCACTAAGGAGTTCAAGTATGAAGAGTCAGGAGTTCCACACCGACTACCCGTTCACTCCGGACCGTCGTCCAGCAACTATGTGGGAGATCCCGCCGGATCTACATCTGACTCGGGATGCTCCGAAGTGCACATGCGGCCTTCCATGCCTTCTCTGGGTATCCAAGACCGAGAGGAATCACGATCGTCTCTTTTGGAGATGCAGTCAACCCAGAGCCCAACAGTGTGCCTTTTTCATGTGGCTGAACAACCAGATCCTGAGGTCCCAAGATGCGGCAGCTCCACCGGTGGCACAACACATGGAACCCGAGGAGATGAACTACTACATGAAACGACATCAGGAAGTTTGCCAACACAAGAGATTGAGTCGAGCGGGTACCAATGCCTTTCTCCTGAAGGAGACATGCCGGGATTGCGGCAAGGTGGTGACGGAGCAACCAAAACCACTCACTGCTCAGACCAAGAAAGAGGCCAGTCAACGGACCAGCAGCCCATCTCGATCTTCCACGACTTCAACGTCGTCAGTGGTGCCCAACATGATGCAGTACATCCAGCCAGGCAGCTCGAGCAGCCGGCACCTGTCCCGGGAGGAGTATCAGGACTTTCTCAACTGGAAGCGTCTGAGGGAGGTAGCCGAGAGCAGTTCAGCAAGTCCACCTCCGAACCAACAACATCGGAGGTAAAGGCTGGTCTTAGACGGCATATTTATGGCTGCCTGAAACGTTCTGAGCAATGTTGGTTGGAAATTTTCCGTCTTTTATGTGATCATTCAGAATGCGATGATGAGACTCAATTACAAACTACATGTAAGGTCATTCGCTCAGCCTTGCAGGAACAGCAGCCACATATGAAATTCTTGTCGGAGCTTTACATGCTTCAGCCAAAACAGCTGCGGACAGTTGCCGAAGTTTGTAATCCAAATCGTTTTGGTTCATCAACAGATTATTTTGGACTTCGATCAGGACAAGCATTTGATTTGGAATTGGGTTGGGATCTTTTGGACGTTGGCAATCAACAAAGGGTTATTTCTTATTTGAAATCTGAACGACCGGGACTTGTGGTCATTTCACCACCATGTACCAAATTCAGCAGTTTATTGAATTTGTGTTGGCCCATCTGGAGCAAAGACCCCAAGAAATTTGATCAACATGTCAAAGAACTTCGAAAAGCCATCCGATTGCTCCAGTTTTGTACAAAGATTTGTTTGCTGTGTCACAGTCTGGGCTTGAGTTTCGTTTTCGAACATCCATGGTCGGCAAGTTCTTGGAATGAACCATGTCTCCAACGACTCATTCAACATGATGATTTTCTTTTGGCAAGGGTGGATCAATGTATGTTTGGTTTAACTACCACTCAGGGTGAACCAATGCGGAAAAGATCTGGCTTTTTGACCAACAATTTGCATATGGCCCAACAACTCAATTCGACTTGCGATGGATCGCATTCTCATGAACTTGTGATGGGCCGTGATCGTGGAGCACCAATGAATCGATCAAGGTTGGCACAACGTTACCCAGCTGGACTGGTGAACGCCATTTTGATTGCGTATGCCTCGTCAATTGGGCTAGGACATCATCTTCTCTATTTGGTTGAGGGGAATGCGGTTTTCGAAAAGGAGAAGTCCCTTGAGAATAACCTGATTCTTTGCGGAGACCTATGCCCTGAGGGACAGCTATCTACGGCTTGCAGAAGCGCTGATGGCAATCCTCCTGAACTACCACGACCAGGTCTTCTTGCTGAAGTACACCCTCTTGATGAACCTGAGGAGAAAGAAAAGTTTCCTGGCACCCATCCATTATCCTTGGAAGCCTTGGTCAAACGAGCTCATGAAGGACTTGGCCATCCAGGAAAAGATCGTTTCATCCGGATCCTTACCAATAGCAAGGCTAGTCCAAAGGTTCTGGAGATTGCCAAGAACCTGAAGTGCTCCGTTTGCGAGAAGTTCAAATTGCCGAGACCATCAAGGGCAGCAGCGCCCCCAAAAGATATTGGACTGAATGAGATCGTCGGAGTGGACACTATCCAGCTCCGAGCTTCTTTCTCTGAGAAGACCAAGTACTGCATCAACATCATTGACTATAGCAGCCATTTCCAGCTCATTGTCCCGCTCACAGCTCACACTGCAGAGGCCACCCGAGCGGGATACCGACTGTGGCTGAAGATTTTTGGTCCGCCACGAAAACTTCTTTGTGATCTTGGCCGGGAATTCCAAAAACAGTTTGAAACTCTAGCAGAAGCTGACGGTTCTGAATTGATTCCATCTTCCTTGGAGACACCAGAACAGAGAGGTTTTGTTGAACGACATGGCCAGCTCTTCAAGGAAGTCTTCTACAAGACCATTGAACAAACCAAGTGTTCTACTTGGGATGAGTGGTATCAAACTATTGATTTGGCCTGCAGCACCAAGAACCGCCTGCTCAGTCGCGGAGGCTTCTCTCCAGCCCAACGAGTTTTTGTCTTTCAACAAAGGATTCCTGGAGGACTCATGTCTGAAGGCGAGAGTGATTTGGCGGTCCAGAGCTTGGCTGCGACTGGAGATGTGAATGTCAGTCGCTCAATGATGATCCGAAAGGCAGCAGCTCAGTCCTTTCATGAGGTGGATTGTCAACAGGCAATTCGAGCAGCAGCAACTCATGGTCCTCGTCCTCACTATGCCTACGAAACTGGACAAGCCGTCTACTTTTGGAGACGGGCTACTGATGCCGCCAGAAAGCCGGCAAGTTACTTCTGGCATGGTCCTGCCCGAGTTGTAGCAACTCAACTCCCGACAACAGTGTGGCTTTCTTACAACCACCACCTTGTCAAGGCAGCACCTGAGAAACTGAGACCAGCGTCTGAGGAGGAGTTCTTTTCTATATCAGGTTGGTTGGAAGGTATCTCCAATGCCAAGAAGCAATTTGAGGCGAGCAAGGTGAAGGGGCTGATTGATCTATCTCAAGAAAACGATGAACTACCTCCGGCAGAACTTCATGACTTCTGGCGGCAGGAGGGAAATTTTTGGATCAGAGTGCATGTTCAACCTCGACGTGAACTATTTCATCCAGAAGAACGTGGCCAAGACCCTCCAGTACCGCCTTCACATCTTCGACCATGGAGAAGATCAGTCATGAACATCACCGATGGTGATCAGGAGATTCTTGAGGATGACTGGACTTCAGGGAATGGCATCCCAGCCCATCGTCAAGAGTGGACTGGAGAGACATGGCTTGAAGAGAAAATTGATGAGCCAAGTCGATTGGAACAGAAACGAGAAGCTGATCCACTCGTACCACGGAGCCGACTTAGCAAGAAGTCTCGAGTGGAGCCCGAACAGATGATTCCTTTCTCTCAGGCGCCTATGGCAACACCGGAAACAGCGCTTGAGACTCCAGAGCCAATCCCTGTGATGCCTGGAGCACCTCCGGGACTACCTGCTCCAGATCCTCCACTTCCTGAAGTTCCTCTTCCGGATCCTCCTGAAGTTGAACCTCAACAGGAGACGAGACCTCTAGATGACAACCATCAGCACCCTGAGGAGAGGAAACGTGAATTTGTGGAGGTTGACCAGCCAGATGCTGACTGGTCGTCATTGCCAGTCAGCAAACGCAGTCGGCTAGAGCTCTTGGAGATCTACTACCAGGAAATCTCCAACAAATCTGCTCAACGACAGAAGAAAGGGAAGGAGGCGACTCTTCGAGATTTTCAGGGAAAAGATCGAGAACGGTTGCTTCGGGCCATCCACAAGGAGTTCAACAACAATCTAGCCACTGGAGCATATGAAGTGTTGACACCACAGGAGTCAGCTCGCATCAGGGCTTCATCCCCTGAAAAGATCATGAAATCTCGATATGTGCTTACAAAGAAACCTATCGAGGACTGTGGCCTCGAAGATGCAATCTCAGCTGACGAGATCTTAGACTCCTCAGAAAAGGATCAACCTTGCAAAGCGAAGTGCCGTCATGTGATGCAGGGATATTCTGAGTCAGCTCTTTTAGATCTTGAAACCAGCACACCACAAGTTCATCGAGATTCTGTGATTTTTGCAGCGCAGATTATGGCCAGCAAACATTGGACTCCAGGTTTTGCCGACTTCACCCAGGCGTTCCATTCTGGAGATCCAATTGACCGAGAACTTTACGCAGAACAACCTGCTGAAGGTCTTCCAGGTGCCAGTAAGGGACAACTCCTGAAGTTGAAAAAGACATGCTATGGCCTAACAGATGGCCCATATGCCTGGTTCAAGCACATTGTCACTTTTCTGTGTGAACAACTTGGGTACCGTCAATCTGTGGTCGATCAATGCTTGTTCTTTCTGGATTCCGAACCAGATGCAGAGGGCAAATCTTCCATTGAAGGCATCATCGCACTCGCCACAGATGATCTTTTTCATGGAGGCTCCCAACGACATTTTCAACTCATGGAGATTATCCGATCCAAGTATAAGTTGGGAAAGTACACCTGGGGTCAAGGGCGTTTCGTTGGCAAAGACATCCGACAGTTGGAGGATTTTTCCATTTTGGTGGATCAACAGTTTTACACTGAGGCTCGAGTGGCACCAATTCCTCTTCAGCGAGAACGAAAGCGACGTCGTTTTTCAGTTTGTAATCCTGAAGAAACTGAGCAACTCAGAGCATTGGTAGGAACTTTGTCTTGGCTCTCCAAGGAGACACGATGTGATTTAGCTGGCAAGACGGCACTCCTTCAGCAAGCGTTTCCAAGGCCAATGATCCGTGACATCATCACAGCAAATCAAATTGCACAGGAAGCACTGGATCATAAACACTTGGGAATTAGAGCGATGTCAATCCCTCTTGACCGTCTTCATGCTGGAGTTGTCACAGATGCTTCATGGGGAAACTCCAAAGAGTTTGGCACATATTTGGAAGCCGGTACTACAAAGGATAGGTGGGAAGAAACTTCTACATCATGGATCCGACATCATGTAGATCCTCGTATCACGGCATTCCATCCAGCCGCTTGCCCGGATGGACCAGATCTTCATGATCTACGACCAGAACGATCTACAGAAATCCGAACTGGGTCCAGATCTACGACCTTCCAAGATGATTGGACAACGAGCGATAGTCTCCGATCCATGTCATCGTCAACATGGACCGGGACAACAACATTCTACAAGCAAGACGAGGGCAAGTCTCTTGATTCCAAGGCCATCCATGCAGGCTACGATCAGCTGAACAAGCTCTTCAGCCAGGGTGGCGAGATCGTGATTTTCTATGACCAGGACCTGCCGAAGTCCCAGACTCTACAGAATGTCTCCCTTGCCTCGTGGAAGAGCTATCGTTTGAAGAGAAGGACTGTGAACACACTCAGCTCCGAGACGCAGGCTCTTGTTCGAGGACTTAGTTCAGTTCATTGGTATCGTGTTTTGATTTTAGAGGCCAAGGGTCTACATCTTTCAGCTAGAGAATGGCATCGTGAAGTAGCTCAGCTACCATTTATTTGTGTAACTGACTCCAAATCGTTGTATGACACTATCTGTAAGTGTACCAACCCTGCCTCTCAGTGCGAAGACAAGAGAACATCCATTGATATTTCCTTGATCAAGCAAGAGATTGCCGAGCTCAATGGCAACATCCGATGGATTGATGGCCGAACTATGTTGGCAGATAGTTTGACTAAGGAATCAAAGGCTGATCTCTTGCGTCATGTCATGAACACTGGCCAGTGGAGTATTCTTGAAGAAGGCTCAGCATTGCAGCGAAAGTTGCTTGAGCGTACCTCAAAACATGAGGTTCTTTTCATTTTCTGAAGTTTGATCAAAACAAAGTGTGGTCAGTGCGAAATCCATCATTGGTCACTTGATCAAACTCCATCGCAACGCCGATGGCTCAAGGGGACAATGCCAAGCGGCACTTGCGCCAGTAGGCTGAAAACAGGTGAGATCCGCTTCGCTTGCTACCACTGCGTGTTGCAATATAACATCATACATATTCCTATTTGATCATCGTTCCCCCCAGCCAATCGCAGCCTTCGCCTCTGGCGATGCCCAGGCGCGACGTCCGGATCCCCACGCCATGACGCAGAACAAGCTGCTGGACGCGCGGAAACGCGAATACCTGGAGCATCTCGGCGGCGGATGGCATGGCAATGGTTGGTGAATGGTTATTTGATGGTTATTTAATGGTTATATATTGGTTATAATGATGATCATATCCCCATAATTAATAGTATATTAACCACCAAAAAACACCATTAACCATCATGAACCATAAGGGTATTAATTAACCACTAATTGGTATTAATTAACCAGTAGCAAACTGTTTGACATAGAGATTTTCATGGGATTTCATGGATTGAACGGGGATGTTTTCACCAAGCCATGGGGGATGTTTCACCAACTGCTTGCCATGGGAATATTTTCACCAACCAGGCCATGGGAATATTCAAAAAGAATACCCGGCCTGGTAAACATACAAAAAACTATTGAACATGGCCATAGAAATAGTGAGCTTTCCCATGAAAAATGGTGATTTTCCTTAGTTATGGGACAGTTTACCAGAGGGTATGATTTTTGGATATGTCAACAACACTCTGATTTTTGGCTTTGTCCGAACATGTTTTGGTTTTTTTTTCCTCAAAAAAATATGGCAATTTTTTCATGGGACAATCTCATGCCGATCCGATGGAGTTTTTGTTGAGGGACATATTTTTGTGGTGCAAATATGAAAAATGATGGTTGTTTGGGGAATTCAAGACAGGGTTTTTGGACCAAACATTTTTTTGAACTGATCAAATCCTAGCCCTAAATCCTGGACTGGTGATGTGAGTCCGAGATGTCGAAACCTTGTCTGGTTGGTGGTTTGGAACATAACTGGATTATGATTTTCCATTCAGTTGGGAAGAATAAATTCCCAACTGATTTTCATATTTTTCAGAGGGGTAGGGCTCAACCACCAACCAGCTCGTGGTTTCTCCCGTTAAACAGTGAACTCTCAGGACGTTTTATCCTGCACAATGACCGCTCTCCACAGGTACAACATGCGAAACTTTCCGCATGTCTACAAGCAGATGCCCATGTTCTCGGAGCAGGACACGCGGCGTTGAGAAGGGGAAAATTCTTCAAAATAACCAGTAACATCCAGACCATTTGTATATAGACTATATAGATATATAGGTAATGTATATATATACACATGTTTTCACCGGTTAAACCATATGAAACAAGATGTTCTCCCATAAAGGATGATCTCATTGCCGATCATTTCACCACATAACCGATCTTCAAAGACTCGAAGACTGCAAAAAACGATCAGCAACCCACCAAAGATGCCGAAATTGGTGAAATCCGAATCTCTAAGAGTGATTCCATGTTGATTCCATGTTTCTATTGAGATTTTCTAATGAGTGATGAATTGATATGAATTGATTTTACATCGGACCTTCTATTTTTGTTTGGGCTTTAGATCTAAAGGTTCTAAATCCGCAGGAGGAGCATTGGTGGAAGATGCGCAAGACCTACGTAGCTGAACCGTGGATCAGCAAAAATAAGGAGAAACCACTGACCGGCAAGGTGCGGTGCCCGGGTTTTTTTCGCTACAACCAACTGGATGGTGATGGGTAGTTGAAGCTTACCATCCAATAAGACAACGTAAAAAAGACAGGGCATCAAAGAGCCATGAGTTGTCAGGTCTTGACTTCAGGATCCAGTTTTCAGCTGTTGTTGCTGTTGCTGCCGCTTGCACCTTTGAGTCCGTACTCTCTGTATGTGCTTAGCCTTGTTGGCTGTCGGCGGATATACCCGGCCTGGTAAACATACAAAAAGCTATTGAAAATGGCCATAGAAATAGTGAGCTTTCCCATGAAAAATGGTGATTTTCCATAGTTATGGGACAGTTTACTAGAGGGTATAGAAAATACAATGTTCATGTTCATGTGTACATTATACTGCAAACCCAATACTGCATCACCATTTTTGAGATGCGATTTCCGTTTCCGCTATCCCAATATGTTTGGTCAGTGTCTGAATTGAGATGCTGGGCACTTACATTGCTACCTTCATTGCTGAAATCCATGTTTTTTGAATCTTGATGGCCAGAAATCCCGGTCGGGACACCATCCCCTATTTAAGCTGGTGTTATCACCCTTGAAGCCACAGATCTCTTGCCATGTTGGCACCAGAAAATCTGGATGAACTCCGTAGGCTTTTGCCAGTCGCCCCCCTTTTCAGTCGAGGTGACTGAGACTTTCTTTGCTGAGCCAGAAGAAGAACAGGAGAATTGGAGAGGAAATCGTTGAAAAATGTTGATTTTATGAGCGAAAATCATCCGAAAAAACAGAAAAATAAAAATAGGTGACCCAAATGGAGTGAAAAATAAAATTTTCCGAAGGGATGATCCAACTAGCCTGCTGCGTCATTTCTATCCATCCAGATTGGGGCCCATTACTATCATTGATGTTAGTAAAGCAATAACACACCACCCATATTTTGATGGTTTGTTCTTCCACACATTTATGGTAAAATTAGGGATGGTTACTATTGCTTTACCAACATTGCTGCATCACCAAAAATTGGAAGGTTGCAACGAATTCCTGTTCTATAGTTCCTATTTCAAGATCCAAAGTTTGAAGCATTTGCAAACTGCGGGGGTCGCAATGCCAGTAGGGACCTTTACAAAGTGGGTTTTTAAGAAACATAGCTTTTTAAGAGACATAACTTTTTTAAAGAAACATGACTTTAAGAAACACACTTTGTGCAAGTGGGGTTGCACCCCAACTGGAACAGGATTATGATGTAACCCCTCTCAGTGACCATTATCATATCATCTTACATCAGAACATCCATCTGATATCTACATCTGCTTAAACAGATAACAATTTTTTTATGTGGAGGTTTCCCAAGCTATGGAGGGGTAGCCCTAGTTATCATGCATTTTATTTTCGAATTTTCCATGCAATAACCCATATTTTTGGAAAACGAACATCCATTTACCAACTATTTTGGATATTCACCATCTACCCTCTGGTAATTTGTTACATAGCTATTGAACATGGCCATAGTTGTAGTTGATTTACCAACTCAAAATGAGGTGATTTTCCAGTTCGCTTTTTGTATGTTTACCATAGGATATGTCGCCGATATTTTCCCAATATTTTCCAATACCTGAAGTATTCTCATATTTTTCCTTAATTTTCCATCTATTTTCCCTATATTTCCCTACAGGATGGGGCCCCCCAGTTATAAGTTGGTTTATAAACCATTATAACCACCATTAACTATAGTTATATCTACCATAAACCATAGTTAAGCCACTTATAAGGCAACTTGGCTATCTTGGGGGCCCCATCCTGTATGATATATATATACATCACCAAATCACCAATACAATACATAAGTGTGTTTGAAATTTTGAAGAAAAAACCCTCAAAATTTTCCCTATATTTCCCTATAGTTCCCTATATTTTCCCATGGTTTCCAGAGGGTGTTTACCCTCCAGCCGTTGCCCCTCCAGCGTCCCAGGATTACACGGTCGCCGCGGGCGGCAACGCGGTGGACGTGGCACGCTTGGAGCACATCCCGCGATGGTCGCAGCACTTCCTGCCGAAAGGTGGGGATTCCATGGGATTGCCGACGCATTTTCTTGGATTTCCTGAAGGTGATTTTTTTTTCATTTTCTCCATGGGAAATCCACTTCTTGGGGAATCTATGGGGAATATGTTTAATTTTTGAATGGTTCCTTCAGCAAATCCATGTTTTTTGGAAGAAAATAGTGGGACTCATGTGGTTAAAACAATGCCACTTGCACCATCCCCCAGTCAGAAAAGCATTTTTTTTTGGGTGGTATGTAGAAACCATTCCCAAATGGGTAGTTTATGGCATTGTTTTAACCACATTATCTGAATTTATTTCTGGATTCTGGAATTTATGAGAGAATTTTTATAGATTTTATATGGAATTTATATGGATTTGATCGGTAAAACCCAATGATTTATAGTGGGATGATTATGGCATGCAATAAGATTAAATAACCATTATATGATAACAATTCCATAGATACTTCCATGATATCTGATGATATTTGATGATATTCCTGAAAATTGGGAGTAGTTCCACGTGGTTTGTTTGATGAGGGTTCCCGTAGCTGTACTACATTCAGGATTCAACTGTGATTTGTTGGGGATTTTCGCATTTTTCAGGATTGACACAGCAGAAACAGGAATGACACCATCAATTCATGATAGTGGAGTGGAGGTTTTAATATGTTTTAATCATGGATAATCTCACTACAACAAATCATGTAACCTGTCATGAAAGTAAGCTGTTAACCTGTTGGAACTCAGGTTTTCAGACCAACTTGAATCCTTCTGGGGGTTAGGGGTAAAACTATTCATTTTTTTTTTTGATTACGGGATTACTCCACATGATTTCTGGTTGAATCCCAACGATTTCGAGAAAGTCTCCCCAATAAGGTGGTTCTGGTACTCTGCCAACATGGACACCCCAAGATGTCTTTGGGTTTTTCGAAGGTTTTCCCAGCGACTTTTTCAGTTTCCAGTCCTTGAATTTCAGCTGCCATTTTGCTTGCTCGAAGCTCTGTTTGGCCTGTCAACCCCCCACCCCCCACATTTTTTTGCAGCTGACATGCCACCTCAGTTTTTACTAAACTGACACTCTCTTGATCTTGTCTCACCGCCACCACACAACTATGTTTTATAAGTCGCAACCCTTTTAGTTGGTATTTTTCAATGTTTATACGACCACCAAGCAATGGACCATGGTTCTTACTCCAACATTTGGGCTCCCGCATATTTTCATTTTCCGCCAAATCTCGGAAGCCAAACATCACCAGCCACCAAGCATGAACCGTCATCAACCATCGCTAACCATCATTAACCATGTTTTTTTTAAATAGATTTTCATGAAGATTAAGCATCATCCACCATCCCCCACGGGCCCCGTCCCCTTAACGCGTTGCCGCGTTGCCCGCCCGTTGCAGGTTTGATGGCCAAAGTGCCACGGCACTTCGATCGACTCTTTGAAGGGGCCGATGGAGTGGCGGAGGGAGTGCAGCTGGGCGAGAAAAATGGGAATTCCGTGGGATTTCACCATAAAGAATGAGTGTTTTTAAGTGGGTACAATGCCATAAACCACCCTATTTTTGATGGTTTATACATGTTTATACCAGATAAACATGGTGATTTTGGGGATGGTGCAAATGGCATTGTTTTAAGCACATAAATTTTATGGGATTCAATTGATGGGATTTATGTATAAGTTGGGTTGTTTTATGGGATTAGCACCGGAAAAAATGTGGTATGTAATGGGATTACAATGAGATTTCTAGGGATTACTAGCTAATTAGCTAATAATGGAACATGATCTAAAAATGGTGGTTACAATAGGCCATGAAAAGGGTATATACCCTTTGATTATGACTAACATAGCCATGGAAAATCACCATGCTATTAATAGGTAAACCATCTATTTCTATGGGCCATTACGGGCCATTTTCCATGGCTATGTTAAATAACCAGAGGGTATGTATAAACCATGGGATAATGAATGAGAATGGATTACTTTATCAACGATGATGATAATGGGATAAATATACAACACCCAGCAAAAAACAATGTATTCTGGAAAGGTATCTAAAACTAATCCCATTCCTCTAATCGTGAACAACCAGTCCAGATCCACATAGAATTTCTGGATGTTTCTTATGATTCAGAGTGAAATCGTTTGGTGGAAGAACCTCCCATTTTTTTTCCATTAAATAATGGGGATAATCATCAGACACATGAAGATAGCATCAGATAGCACCATACAATAACCATTCATAGGATAGGACATTGCAATTTCCCACTAGTAAATTTCCAAATATGTGTGTGCTTGAAAATGAGGCACACCACCAAATGGCTATGTTACTCGGGAAACTGAGGTTTTGAACCATCGATTTTGAGGGGTTTTCCTCAAAATTTCAAACACACTTATGTATTGTATTGGTGATTTGGTGAAGAAATTCACGATAACAGACAGCCAAATATTGCCAATAAATACTGTGATTTGGTGATGTATATATATATATATATATATCAATCATATTAATGTATCCCAGTCTAAATATCCCGAATGGTTGGTTAAAACATATTCACCTCTTTTTGATGGTAAACAGTTACACTCATTGGATTGGTTTGAGGACAAAATTGCAGGAAAGCCCTATATATCATGGGGAAACAAGGGTTTCCTGTAGATTTTCCCTGTAAACAATCCGTTAAAACTTCAGTATGCTTGGTTTCCCCATTATAATCTCATTATAATCCCATATCTCTATATATATATATATACATATCCGCATTTATTGCTGGTAGCCATAATGATATGATTATATTAGCAATTATGATCATATGATTATAATATGATATATAATATATCAACATATTATATATCTGTATATACCGTCTGGTTATGACTGACAGTTCGCCATGGAAAATCACCATGCTATTTTCAGTTCGGTGTTTACCATCTATTTCTATGGGCCATCTATACCATGGCTTTATGTTAGTCATAGCCAGAAAATGGCCATGTCGTATCATGGCCTGGCCATGGCCGTGTCGCATCGGAGGAAGAACGCTCCATCGCTCAGCACGGATACGGCTCCGCTGGATTCCTTCTCCAGCTTTCGACGCCTGGCGGATTGAAGTTCAAATGGATTCTGCCGGGACGATCATCCATTAAAAATCGTCAAAAAACGAAGGGTTTTTTGAAGGTTAACCTCTGGTTAATGTCAAAATAGCTATGGACAATGGCCATTTATATAGGACATATCCACTAGAAATGGAGGTTTTATATGGGAATATATGGGAAAATCATGGGAATATATGGGGATACCCGGCCTGGTTATGTCAAACAAAAAGCTATTGAAAATGGCCATTTAGTTATAGTTCGTTGATGAATCCCCATTAATAGCATGGTGATTTTCCATAGTTATGGGACAGTTTACCAGAGGGTAAGCAACCCCAGGTTAACACATCGGGGTAACCCTGGTAACCCTCATGAATCGTATTACTTGGGGGGCTGATTTGTGTTTTTTTTAAGGTGAAAGAGGTCCCTGATGAATAGGGTTATCCCATTAAGGCTCGGTGAAGCACCAAGGAAACGGGGAAGCATTGACAGGAAGTCCTTACCCTTCTGGTAACTAAAAACGGCTAGCTGGAAAACCACAACTCAAATGTGAGAATATGGGGTAATCATCTAGAAATGGATGACGTTCTATTCTCAGGTTAAACTGCTAGAGGGTATATTTGGGGTAGAAACTTTGTTTTTGCCGTAGGTTTTCCTTTACACCAATCCATCGACAGAGGATTTTCGAGCAAACATGGTGATTTTTGAATGCCACGGTTTCTGGAAGGTTTTCAAGGTGTGGTAGCGCACTGCACAAGCAGCCACAGTTCCCAGTCTCTGCAATGCGGTGGTTGGAACACGTTGGAATCCCCATCAGCCGACCAAACGGGTTTGTCAAATCTATTGGCCCAGCGGAATTTCCGTGATGATAGTTGGTTTAGTGGGCATTCCCAGTTCATGGATTTTGCTCCAATCCCCCACTCATCGTCATATATCCATATGTTGGATGGTTAAACAGCTTATAAATACTATAAATGAATATAAATGATGGCAATTTCAAGCTAAATCCCTATGAAATCACGAAGCGGTTTGTTTTGAAGCTGCTGAAGCGGTAAACAAAACTACCAATTGTGGCATCCCTCCACATTATAAAACCTGCATATCTCCCCACGTTGTCCCGTTCATGTGGGCACCCAATGCCATTTTTACCTACCATTTGGGGAAATGGTGATTTTGGGGATATATTTCAACGATCTAACACATACTGTATCATATAATATCATATGTACATATATATATATACACAAATATGTATATATATATAACAGACATGTATATATATATATAACATATACATATATATATATATCACATATATATAACACACATACATATCATATATATAATATATATATAATATACATATCATATATATATAATATAATATATAATATATATAATATATATAATATATATATATAACATATATATATATATAACATATATATATATAACATATATATATACACATAGACATTATATTCATGATAGAAGATCTATTTTTATGGTGCTCTTGGGGAACATCATAATCCTCCCATCCTCCCCTCCCGGTATCGCCAAGGTGTTATCCGTGATGCGAGCAGATCGCTGAGCAATTCGGTGCGAGATGACCAGAGTGAACAGGCCGCCCTTCGTGCCGGGTGGGTTGGATATTTCTATGTACCTATTTATGTAGGTCTGGTAGGTCCAGTTATAGGTTTTAGTTATAGGTTTTTGTTATAGGTCTTAGTTATAGGTCTTAGTTACATGTCTAGATAGGTTCAGATGGTTAGATCTGCACATCGAAAGCACGTGGTTTTCGAAGCGGAACGGCTGCATGCTGATCCTGGGATGGTCGGAACTTCGCTGGGTCCCATGGATTTCATGGAGGTGAACTAGTTCGCTGGGATGGGAACTATTTCTGGAGCGACCAATGGAGGTGTTGTATATATATATACACATTATATATATATACACACATTATATATACATTATATATAATGTATATATATATATATATATGTGACCCAGATATGGATAGATAGTCATAATAGTTTTAACCAACCCACCGGAAAATCCCTCAATGTCTGGGTGTGACCTGATCGGATCGTCCATTCCTCTGGTAAAGATGATCCGATTCCTCTGGTAAAGTGTCCCAGTTTGCTGTGGAAAGATCCACCAATCAGCCCCCCAAGTAATACGATTCATGAGGCTTACCAGGGTTACCCCGATGTATTAACCTGGGGTTGCTTACCCTCTGGTAAACTGTCCCATAACTATGGAAAATCACCATTTTTAATGGGGATTCATCAACGAACTTTCAATGGCCATTTTCAATAGTTATGTAACAAATTACCAGAGGGTAACTCTACCCATGCCCGCATATCCACAGGGGTTGAAACCATGAACCCTCCAACGGCTAGGTGGCAAAGGTTAAGAGCACTCGCACCAGTGCAGTTCCAACCAGGACGTCGCAACGACTAGGGCAAAGGCAACTTGTACCTGTCACATTGTTCTGGGTAATACTTCAAGTTTGCAATTTTTTGAGATATATAAGGAGACATATATATATATATATATATATCCATGTCGTCTATTTTCATTTGCGGTCTGAAAATGGTGAACAAGAGCCAAGGAATGGCATCCAATGATATCTAACGGGGATTTTCAATGGGATTCAATGCGATGTACTACCAACAATATGGGATTTGGGTGTGTTTGAAAATGGGGTATACTTCCAGTTCCGGCCATTTTTCAGTAGAAAACATCCTGGATGTAAGGGGTAACCGAATTTTCAGACAAAGCCATCTTGGGATAGTCAGAATACGCCAGAAAGGTACCATTGTCCAACGACCAGGAGAAGGTAGAGGCATTGACCTAAGATCTAGAGACACTCACCAACGACCTAATGTTAGTAAAACAAGAGGAAACCATGCCCATATGTTCAATAAATAGGTGGTATAAACCATCAACATATGGCTGGTTTATCATTGCTTTACTAACAACAATGTGCAAGATAAACCATCCATATGTTTTTCTAAACAATGCAATGACAACCATCCATTAATCATCATTTGTTTATCAACATGTTGAATAACTTGAATGCCTACAGCTACACGTGACGTGCAGGAGAGAGTCCCTGGATTCTTCCAGTGGGTGGCCCTGGATTTCACGGTCGGTCCAGGATGTTGAGAACAGGTGACAGCTGCCGATGGACATGACCTTTGTTGCATGCGTAAACCGTGATGTTAACTGGTTGGTGCTGTCAAACATGTTCTATTTTACATAATATATGGGATGTCATCCTTCCCATTGACTTTCATATTTTTCAAGATGGTTTTTTAACCACCAACCAGAACATGTTTCTGGCCAAATTTGTTGCATTTTTCTATTTCTATTGTATTACGGTACAAACAAGTAGTTCACAATCGAATCGTTTTACCGCATGAACGCATTAAATCAACCGAGCTATTGACTAGCGAAATGGCATGCACATTTTCCGCCAACTCCACAGGGTGGTTTTTCTCAGTTTGGATTTGCTGAGTTGGTCTTTTCAGGCGACTGAAAGGAAGACTGTTAACGAGTGGATCTATGGTACATCGATGTTTTGCGTGGCTGGGGTTTTGCTTACGTTATTTTTTGGCGAATGGATTTCCAGAATTTTGTAGTAGACAAGTATAGATAAGTGCCAGGTATCCACATGTATCTGGTTGGTGGTGTCAAACATTTTCTATTTTACATAATATATGGGATAATCCTTCCCATTGGCTAATATTTTTCAAGATGGTTAAAACCACCAACCAGAACATGTTTCTGGCCAAATTTGTTGCATTTTTCTATTTCTATTGTATTACGGTACAAACAAGTAGTTCACAATCGAATCGTTTTACCGCATGAACGCATTAAATCAACCGAGCTATTGACTAGCGAAATGGCATGCACATTTTCCGCCAACTCCACAGGGTGGTTTTTCTCAGTTTGGATTTGCTGAGTTGGTCTTTTCAGGCGACTGAAAGGAAGACTGTTAACGAGTGGATCTATGGTACATCGATGTTTTGCGTGGCTGGGGTTTTGCTTACGTTATTTTTTGGCGAATGGATTTCCAGAATTTTGTAGTAGACAAGTATAGATAAGTGCCAGGTATCCACATGTATCTGGTTGGTGGTGTCAAACATTTTCTATTTTACATAATATATGGGATGTCATCCTTCCCATTGACTTTCATATTTTTCAAGATGGTTTTTTAACCACCAACCAGAACATGTTTCTGGCCAAATTTGTTGCATTTTTCTATTTCTATTGTATTACGGTACAAACAAGTAGTTCACAATCGAATCGTTTTACCGCATGAACGCATTAAATCAACCGAGCTATTGACTAGCGAAATGGCATGCACATTTTCCGCCAACTCCACAGGGTGGTTTTTCTCAGTTTGGATTTGCTGAGTTGGTCTTTTCAGGCGACTGAAAGGAAGACTGTTAACGAGTGGATCTATGGTACATCGATGTTTTGCGTGGCTGGGGTTTTGCTTACGTTATTTTTTGGCGAATGGATTTCCAGAATTTTGTAGTAGACAAGTATAGATAAGTGCCAGGTATCCACATGTATCTGGTTGGTGGTTTCAAACATTTTCTATTTTACATAATATATGGGATGTCATCCTTCCCATTGACTTTCATATTTTTCAAGATGGTTAAACCCACCAACCAGATATGATCCATAAACCAAGAAATCTCCGGGGGCACCATGCGATCTGCTCAGTTCCCCTTGTGCGTACGAGCCGTTCCAACTCCTTCCGTCGCGGCATCAGCAAAGACACGCGGAGGTGCCGTTTCCGGATGCGTTCCTGCAGCCCTTGGAAGGGACCCATGAAAACCAGAAAATTATCTCGGCAAGAGACCCCAAACAGTGGGGGGGGAGTGGGAGGATGATGTAGGATGATGTGGATGATGATGTTGATGATGATGATGATGATGGTGATGGTGGTGGTGATGATGATGATGATGATGATGTTGATGTTGAGGATGATAATGTTGAGGAGGATGATAAAAAGGATGATAATATTGATGTTGCGGAAGATGACGTGGAGGTTGATGATGTTGAGGTCAAGAGGAGGAAGATGATGATGTTGAGAATGATGATGTTGAGGAGGAGGACCGACCCCCAGACCGGGACCCATACTTTGTGTGCGCCTGCGCAATCGAAATGCATGTGGACATTTCACAAGAGCCACTATGTGCGAGAGTTTACAGGTAAAATGCCGCAGACCAAGACCGCGACCCACGCTTTGTGTGAGCCTGCGCAGTCGAAATGCACATGGACGTTGCACAGCGAGCCATTTTGTGCGATAATTTACATGCCGCAGACCAAGATCGCGACCCACACTTTGTGCGAGCCTGCGCAGTGAAAATGCATTTGGACATTGCACAAAGCACTTTATGCGGGAATTCACAGGTAAAATGCCGTGGACCAGCTGGAGCACCCTGATGCACCGGCCTTTACACCGTAAGAACCCCTCAGTGTGGACACATCAAGCTATAGGATTTGGGTTCCTGCACACATGGGGGCCTCACCCGCAACCCAAAAAAGTTAACGTTCAAATTGGACATGATCAACAAACCATTTATTTGAGGTTTCCTATAAATGGGGGGGACCCCCAAATCATCAATTTCATTGTTTTTTTTCGTCATAAATGATATGGGGCACCCCCATGTATGGAAATCCCCATTTAATCCACCATGGGAAGAGCCAGCGATCATCCAGTTCTGGATGTATATCGCTAAATGAGCTTCCGCTGTATGTTTTTGTTTGAAAAATAGGGGACAAACTGCAATCCCATGGTTTGTCATCGGCAATGTCTACATTCAAACAGCAATGAATCCGGGTCTCCTCCATTTCGAGACAAACACATCCCCATACTGTTGGTTATATATATCCTTATGATATGATATCGCGTTATATCCCAACAACGTCGTTTTTTCTAAATATTTAAACCACATTTTTTGTTGGTCCAATCCTTATTTTGCATCGTTGGATTTACCAAATATGGTCGAAAATTTCCATTTTGGGAGAAACCCAGGTCGCCGAAGCAATAGTCGTTGGGCACCGCCCCGTAGAAATTCATCGAAATTCTTCAAAAAGTAAATCATTTAACGGGAGGTTCTCCAACCAGGTCACGTTATATCGGAGGATATAGCCGTGATCAGTGGTGAACCTCACCTTTGGTGATCATTGTTGGTTGGCGGCGCACAAACCCAAGACATAAACCCAAACATCATTGGGGCACCTTCATGGGTCGGGTTCTCGAATTATATATTATATATCCCATGAATTCTCATGGTTCTTGATTTTCTACTCCCATTATTTTTTGGTTAAACCATTTTGTATCACCATTTCTTGGATTGGGGCCCTCAGGGCCCTTGAGACTTCCAATTTGGCTCTTGAACAGGCCCAGTTTAGCACTAAACATGGAAAAACATGGCACTGTTTCAAGGGACAGAAGATCTTTGGCCAACTTTCGCAACCAGGCTTTCGGTTGCTTGCATAGAACACTTAAATCAAGCGGGGCCAAATATTGGATCCCCCGAACTACCAGGCTGTTCTTTTTTTCCCTTGTTTTGGACCTTGAAACCCATTTTGCCGACCGTTTTGGAATTTGAAACCCGTTTCTCTATGCAGAAAAGAACCACATCCTGAATTTCAGCAATTTCAGCCAACTGGACCTAGTCATCCTCAGAAATGACGAACCTCTGGCTGTTGTAATTTCCACCGAACTCGGGGTCACAACCAATCATTTTACCTTGGATTCAATATTATGAATCCAATCCACCAACTTTTGGTTGCTGAAGTCCCTAAAATTTGGGTGATTTCCGTGCCGTAATTTTCATCACAGGAACAGTCGGCATGATTTGGTTCCCACGGTGTGCCTGATGAGCGCCATGTTGGAGGCTCGAAATTTTGACGAAGTGGATGACTGGATGATTGAATAGATTAATAGATGAACATGTCGAGATAATAGATAATAGATAATAGATAATAGATAATGGATAATAGATAATAGATAATAGATGATAGATGATAGATGATAGATGATAGATATATTATATAATAGATAATAGATCATAGATAGTAGATAATAGATAATGGATAATAGATAATAGATAATAGATGATAGATGATAGATGATAGATGATAGATGATTGAATAGATTAATAGATTAATAGATGAACATCATGAGCATGTTTGTGGGTTAACTTCAATGTGGTCGAACAGGGTCGCCATGTTTTTTACAGGTCCTCACCACGGGAGATCCGCCAACAGTAAGATGTTGGTAAACTAACAGTTTACTATGGAAAATCACAATTTTTAATGGGTAAATCCACTATAAATCATCAATTTTCAATAGCTTTTTGTATGTTTACCAGAGGGTAAGATGTTGGTAGTGTTTTTTTTTTGGTGGCAGCTGGATGGTTTTCCATGGTATTTTCGTATCGGGGCAACGTATTTTCCCCAGCTTTCTGTGTTCCTGTTTGGTTTCCCTCTGACTAACTTGGAGGCGGTGGGGAAGATTCTGCTATGATAATAGCACAGACGGATTTCGCCATTTGAAACTGGGGATTTTTCCATGGGGCAACCATCAATACGTTCGATGATTCCGATGAAAAAAATGATCTGCTTGGTGGTTTCAAATGTGGTAAATCCAATCCATCAGATTCACAGTTGGACCCTGAAAATAAGAGTTTTCGAGTGTAAACAAATCCAACCAATCCAGCCCCGATCACTCGATGACTGCCAGGGTCCAAGTGTTAACTTACTGGTAAATCCAAGAGTAAACCATCCCATTTTGGGATTGGGTCTACCCTCTGGTAATTTGTTCCATAGCTATTGAAAATGGCCCATTTAGTTCGTGGGATGTTCCCATTAAAAATGGTGATTTTCCATAGTTATGTTAGTTTACAAGAGGGTACTCTTTATGACTGGGATGATGTTTTTAATGATCTCTAGTCATGGAGAATGCGAATGCTTCAGCAATGGGGATAACCGATAACGCTATCAAGAATATGGGGATATCACCTGAGCTGATGGATTATGTTTGATTGATGATTAAATAGTTTGGGGGCTATTACTTCCCAATTTCTTGTGGATTGTGACGAGTATGACTCCTAGTCGTACCCTCCTTCCAACTAAATTCCAACTTTTTTGTTGGTACAGCCCCTAGCTCTTGTTTATGTAGTTGCCAATTTCGTGATTAAAGTGACATTTTCTCGCTTGTTGGAAGCCTAAGACATGCTGTTTTAGTTGGTTGAGACCCAAGCTTTGTTGGTGGTGTCACTGTTTTGGATGAGAAGGTTAGAGAAGCGACTATTCTTGGTTGTTCATCCCTTCTTTGCAAGTCCCTGATGAAAAACGCATTTTAGCTACAGGGGCTTTCCAAAAATAGAGAAGTTTATCAAGGATGTTATTACCCTCTGGTAAACAAACAGTTTACTATGGAAAATCACCATTTTTAATGGGTAAATCGGGTAAAACCACTATTTCTATGGCCATTTTCAATAGCTTAACCTCAGTGTTAACCTCAGTCGAGGTCACTCCAATCACTTTTAGATGATACTGAGATGAATCAATGGTAAGTTGAGAAATGGGTGATAGTTCACCGCGGGATTTGGAAATTTCTTAGGATGAGCCTGAGCACCACCTATTCATAGGTGAATCCCATTTTTGACCGGCTTGTAACCCTGCTTTCATCGGGGCACTCCATCCATTTTTCATCGCACTATAAAGCAGGGTGAATTCTACAGCCCCTACCACGATGTTCCCTACCACGATGTGAACGAAAGGAACCCTTCAAATTAGCTTCTTTCTGGTTGTTGAATTATCATCATTCAACCAGATATAACCAGATGGCAATGAACACATGCCAGTTTCATCAGTTTCAGGGCTGGAACATCATCGGTCTGAATCTACGCGGTCTGAATTTAAGGGCCGGAAGGGATCACCCACTGCTGGTTGTTGGTTGACATTGCTGATATATACCACTGCTCTTCATATCGTCATTGTTGGTAAATGCCATCAAATCCCACTAACATCCCCACATCTCTCAAGAAAACTTGCTGTGATACAAGATTGTTTATCTCATTTATGTATACCCTCTGGTGAACTAACATAGCAATGGAAAGATCCACCATTTTTCATGGGAAAATCCACTACAAATGGCCATTTTCAATAGCTATGTTAAATTACCAGAGGGTATTTCTTCCCACGAAATCCCACTATCCCCCACTAATCTCTCAGGACTTGTCCTGTGTCCAGGACTTGCCGATGACTGCGCGTGTGCAGCGCTCCACTGCTGCGCAGCCTGCTGGATTGGCGGAGGAGTGCAGTTGAGGTTCTCCCATGAGGTCGTCCACCTAATTTAAAGTAAGGATTTTCCATCAAAGAATTACCAGAGGACCACTCTCGCATCATATTGTGGCTTATATATATATACATATGTACATCTGGGTGAATTATCACGACCTCACTGTTCTCCCGAACCCTGGAATACTGGTTTATTTTAGGGGAATTCTCCCAATCTTTTGTCGCAAGTTTCAGGTCAGTGAATTATAAGTTGCCCAGAACCATGGTGATAACCTCCATAAACCGCCTATAATTTGGGAAGCATCCACTGATCACTGGAACCTCACTTTCAAGTGGGAGGTAAAATCTACCCTCTGGTAAATCAACATAGACCCTGGCAGATAGGGAGAAGATTAGTTTCCACTGTTACTAAAAATTGGTGATTTTAAGGGTCTATGTTAATTTGCCAAGGAGTATTAGGGGGTACCCCCTAAATAGTGATAATCTGTAGCTGAAACGCTCCCAATCTGAGGTTGACATTATAAAACCATGGGGATATGATGGGGATATGATGGGGATATAATTGACCAGAGGCTAAGATTTTTTCCATTGTTTGGTTGGGATGTTGATTGGATATGAATGGGATATGCCCTCCAAATGGCCATCAAAGGGGATACGTGATGATCAACCGTGAAACTTTTTCAGGGACCCTGATTTTTTTTCAGAGAAAGCCAGAGAAAACCATTTTCACTGGTGATATAAATTTGATTCTTGCGTCAGGTCATGGTAGAGTTTATTGACACACAGCTTTTGGAGATCCAGCCAACTATATTGAGGATACAATTGAATATAAGGTAGGGATATTATACTACATCATTATATAGTTTGTATAGGAGAGAGAGAATGTATACATAATGGTAGAGATAGAGGTGTGTATATTTTATATAGAATATACTATACTATGGTAGAGAGTGTATATATATATAATATATATATATAATCATATAGTATGTATATATATATATACACACACACTTTCTCTATATATATATTTATACTCATATTATAGACACAATATATACAATATAATATTATATAATACATAATATATAATATATAATATATACTATATACTATATAATATATAATATATAATACATAATATATAATATATAATATATAATATAATATATAATATATAATATATAATATATAATATATAATATATAATATATAATATATAATATATAATATATAATATATAATATATAATATATAATATATAATATCTAATATATAATATATAATATATAATATATTATATATAATATATAATATATAATATATAATATATAATATAATATAATATAATATAATATAAATATATATATGTGGAGGTTTCCCGAAATAGGGATACCTCCAAACCATCCATTTGTAGATGGTACCCCCATTTATGGAAAACCCATTCCGTCTCTACAAGATGAGCCCCGCAGTTATCAGGCGGTGTTCGCCAGCTTAGGCAACAACTGGAGCTGACCTGGCAATCGAAAATGGCAAGTTGACAATGCCCCATTTAGTTTCATCATTTTCCCATATGTATATATATATACATACATACATATATATATGCACACACACACACATATATGTATATATGTGTATAGATGCCCATATATTGCGGATTTCCCATGTTTGATTACCGGTGCAAAGGGTTGGCTCCAGGAGCCAGTCACTGCTCGTGCTAGCGAAGGTGCGAGTCAAGCCCAAAATGAATGGATCCATTTTTAGAGGGGGCAGGCCGGGGCAGGTTTTTCCCACATAGCCGTATTGATTGCTATAATTATTCATGTTTTCCCATTGCATCCACAGTATTTCCAATCTTTCCTATCCACATTAGATCGTTAAATCCATTCAACTAGCCTTTAAAAGGCTGGTTAAATCCAAACAAGAGTCTCAACCGCTTCTTCATGTTCGGTTCAAATCGCCATAGTGGGTTATGATGCCTGTTTTTATGGGGTTTCAATATCTGCCATTGGTTGAGTTATAAATAATTGGTTTCATAGAATTTGTTGGTTACAACTTCATTCACAGCCATCATTGTAGCGGGTTATAATTTTTTACAACTCATTTTTCCAATGCTACTCTGGATGGAAGAAATCCTGCACCAGTTGATAGATGGTTTATCCCATTATTTATAGGGTTTTAACCATCCGTTCGGTGGTGCAAGATTTCGCTGGCCCAGCCACAGTATCCCATCTTTTCCCGAGTAGATCGCCATGGCGACTGACTGACAATTTGTCGATCCAAAGCCAGAACTGTCTGGTTGAAGCCCCTGGTGATTCATTGATAGCCCATTTCATAGGAATTATCCTATGAAAAAGACACCACTATAGTAGCCACGTTGTACCACCTGTAATATATATATATTATATACCCATTATACTCTAGCTACATCATATCCACATCATATCCACATTATATCCCTTCTATAATTATATCCATATTCTATGCCAAGTATACCCCCATAACATGTTTTGCTGTTCCCCTTTATATACCCACTATATATTGGTTTTTCCATTCCTGTCCAATTGCCTCCCCTTTTTTAACCAGGATAATCATGATCATGTTGATGAGGTATCCAGTTAAATCTAAATATCGTATTGATCTTCCCTATGGTTGTTTGTTTTGTCTATTGACCAACCAGTACAACCATGGTTCCATAGGACTTCACCATTATATCCCTGTTAGATCCATTAAAGGAGCCATGCAACAGGAACCGATTGAGGACGGAGGTACCTACCATATATAAGGCCTATTTTTCAGGCCTATGTAAGGGAATATCACCACAATTCATATGGTCTTAAATGGTACTAACGTACCTCCATTTTAGGATTCTGAAATTCCCATTGACATTAATATCCCTATTATCTCCCCCTTAAACCTAATCTTTTCACATTTGATATATTGCCGTATCGCCATGAAATATTCCATTACACCCAAAATTTCCTTACTATCAATGTGATCTTTCCATACAGCCAGCCATGTTTCATTACCGAAGGGTAACCGTCAGTTATCAGTTGCATTATTCACTTCATTAACTACAGATATATCTGTTCTATCTTACTGAAGTCCCGTGAAATTCTCATTCAAATCCCATATACTTTATCATAAGAATTCATTAATTTTAAATCCAATTTCACTATAATTATATCAATAATCATTCACAATAATCCAATAGTAATCAGTAGTCCAATAATAACCCATAATATTCCAGTAATACTGGTTACTACTGGATTGTATTGTTTATTAGACTATCAGTATTCCATTCATATATCCAGTAGTGGATATATTCCAATCATAATCCACAAAAATCCATTCAATGGGAATTCCAGGATCCTAACATGGAGGTACTGTACCATATAAGGCCATATTTTGTGGGGATATTCCCTTACATGGGCCTGAAAAATAGGCGGTTGATCCATTGATCTATGGCTGTTCGGATGAGATCTTTCTCCAGGTCGCAGTTTGGCCCGCGGCGGCGAACGCGGCGCTGGCGGCGCTTCGTCGCCGGAGCCGCCGCTGGCGATGGCGGAGCCGCGGCGGATGGAGCAGGTGCCGGGGGGGCGGGTGAGGCTCCAGCAACGATGGCAGGTAGATCACTATCACCAGAGGACCAATCTCGCATCATATTGTGGGTTATATATATATATATGTATATTAATATATATATATATACATATGTATGTATATATATATGGAGGTTTCCTAAAATGGTGGTATCCCAAAATCATCCATTTATAGATATAGATTTTCCATTATCCAGCGAGCTTGGGGTATCCCCACCTCAACTGATGAGGATCAACCATTGGAGTTTGGGATCAATTCCCCTATCGACCGGTGTTGCAGACAGGCAATTGCATTACCCTTTTTAATGGTGGTTTAATGGTGGTTTAATGGTGGTTTAATGGGATAAAAAACCAACAAAAATGGTGATTTAATGGGATTTACCCTCTGGTAAACTAACACTTTGCCATGGAAAATCACCATGCTATAAATGGGAAAATCAACGAACTTTCTATGGCCATTTTCAATAGCTTTTTGTATGTTTACCAGAGGGTAATTCTTCATGAAAGCGGTTTCAGATGGCCTCATGCACAGTATACGCGACGACCGCAAAATTTGAATATTTGGTAGAACGTAGGACATAGCCATAAACTGTGCGGGGGTTAACAGGACTGTATTTTCAACATTGAAAGTCGCAATCCCTTGTGCCTGTCAGCGAAAATTGTGTGTTTTAGGCCCAAAAAAAAACAAAATCAGGATGTTTTTTGGAAACACATGCGTTTTACCACAGTTTTGGAACCCTTTGTCGGTCAACTTCACTTTTTACCCTCGCATCTTCGCTTGCTTTATCAGTCGCTTGGGAGTCTCTCGCAGGACGCAGTCTCTGCTGTGCTTTGTTGATCTTTGTTGATTTTGCCTTTCTTTCTGGTATGAATGCCCGGTGGAAGCTTATCTTTGATTTTCTTCCACCTGCAGTCGATACCACCTGTGTGCACACTCAAACCTGGCTTTGGTCTTCGTCGCTTCAAGCGAACAAATTCTCAAGCAGCATGACTCACTACATCATGTTATCATGTTTCAACAGGTATGTCTTCGAGCAGGAGGAGGGTTATGCCTTTGCACCATCAGTCACCAAGTAATATCGCTTTTTGATCTTCTCCATGTTAGCAAGTGCAAGAGAGAAGATCTTGTGAACGTAGCACGAAGATAGTTAGCAAGTGCAAGAGAAGACCTTGTGAACGTAGCACTAAGATAGTTAGCAAATGCAAGAAAAGATCTTGGTAATGTAGCATGAAGATAATGTGCATTTGAACATGAACGTTATTAACCCACCCCACTCCCCCACGCCCCACCCCACCCCACCCCACCCCACCCCAGCAAAAACAATGAAAACTCTTGTCCGGTTCCCCCCCCGCTAGCATAAACAGGTGGCAGCTGAATTGCAGTCTCACGCTTTCGAACTTAGGATTCAGTCATGTTGTGGTTTTTGTGATTGAACATGCATGACTGGAATCAGTCATCGCACAACAAAGATAGGCTTCGAGAAGTGTCAGAAAAGTGTTGATTGAGCGCATGCAAATGTTGAGATTGGATAAACAAGCATCTGAATATTCAACCGACGTGTGCATGTGATCCTTCCTGCGAAACTCCATTTTTTTATCTCTTGCAGATGTACAAAAAAAACTTGGGTGGTCGGTGGCTACTTCTTTTGTTGCAATAGTTGTAATGCAGGACATTAAAAAACCGTCAAACAACCACCAAAAAACGCGTAAACATGGGGCCAGTATGTGGTACCTTTCCTTATAAAAATCCATAATAACACGATATAACACTAATTTTCTATTAAATTGCCGCTAATTATAGCTAAATCCTTCAAAAACCCTAGCTATTGATATTGTTTTTATTTTTTAGAAAACCCTAGTTCCATGGGCATTTCATGGAAAATCAAACATCTTGAACTTTCTTAACTATCGTTAAGTATCCATCAGAATCCATAACAATCCACGGGATTTCCATTTTTTTCCAAAAATCCTTCATATCCCATTGGTTGTATCCCATTAAGCATCTATGGCTCTCCGCAGGAGCCCTTGTTGAAGGTCCGCACCGGCGGTTTCCAATACTTCGACGGCCGCGGCGACCGCGGCACGGCGACCATGGCGACCCGCGAAACGACGAGCGCGACGCCGGGTGCAACGGAGGAGAAAGCGATGTGACCCGATTTTCCACATGGGACACCCCTTGGGACAGTTGGTGGATGGGATTTGAAGTAATGTCAACCCCGGATTAATAAACCCCTAGGCTGTTGAATTGGGGAGGGTACCATTTAAGTATTAGATTCTGACTATTGGGAATACCGCCTAATTAATAAACCATGGACCATGGTTTATTAATCCGGGATTTGAAGTACTATAAAATGGTGGGTTTATGGTATTATACTGAGGTTAGAATGGGATCTTACCCAATACAAATTGGGATCATTGGTGGAAATGATGGGATTTACCCTTTGGTAAACCAACATATCTAACACAGCGAACTGGAAAATCTGCATTTATTTGGGTAAATCAACGCACTAAATGGGCAATTTTCCATATCTATAATCTATATAATATGTTAAATTGCCAGGGAGTAATCAGCAAAAACTTGGGATGCAACAAAAATGCTCGAAATATTATGTTGTTTTTTTTGGGGGTGGTTATAGTTGATTATAATGGATTTCAATGGTAATTATAATGGGAATATGTTTCTTCTTTTTTCAGAGGGTAATATTTATGGGATTTGGCCAGTCATGAGGATTTTAAAATGATGATTGGGAACACCTAAAACACCTGAAATCATCCCAAATGAATTATTTCACAGGGGGAAACCGCTGGTTTTGCAGGGTGCCTCTATTTTAGGAAACACAATCCCCAAACACAAAAATGCTCATTATGCTGACAGGAATGCGAGTTCAAAGATTTTGTTCAAAACAAACGGTGTATATCCATCCCGGGGATGTGTCAATGGCCTCAATGGCCCATAGCCATATCCCCGGGTGATCAAAACTCAGTACCATATGGCTCCATATTTTGGGGAAACATCCATAAATTCAGGCGACTATGGTACCAGAGTTTTGCGTAGCCACATTTTTCCTGGTGGATCAAGATTTTTTTTGTGATGAGCGAGTATCCCAATGGTCGGTCGTTGTTTGAATCCAATTTTGTGGTAGATAAATCCAACATTCAATAGGTGGTCAATCGAAGAATAGACGGTGACGAAACCTCGTTTGCCATCGTTTGCCCAAATTCATCATAGGCATTGAGAACAAGGCCCCCAAAGTTTATTTGATTGTTTGTAAATGTTTGTATAGTAACGCCTTGAAAACAGAGTTCAGTGTTTCCAGGATGCTTTGTGGATGATGGTTTCCTCGTAATTTCCAGGTTCTCAACTTTTCTCACATCATTTTAGGGTGTTTACGGTAGGTCATCGAAACTCCATTCGCTTGGCATGTCTGACATCGCGCGGCCCAGGGCGTGACGATGTCCTGCATCACCCGTTTCGTTTCGTTTCACTACCGTATTCCGAACGGCCGTGCCAGAATGACCTCGCAGTTTCACCCTTTTTTTGCAATTTTTTGCCATTTTTTGCCGTGGTCAAAAGTTGGATTCTTTGCTCAAAGAATGGGGGATGGTCATGAATCCTTCAGGATCTATATCATTTTATATCCCGAGTTTGGCATCATTTTCGTAAGCTGGCCGTTTTGGGGGGTATACCTCATGTTTTTGGGCAAGGCCATATATCATATACCAGTTTGTAGGCTATATATATATATGTATACATCCCATTGAAACCCATGAGTATCCCTTTGAAGATTAACTCATTCGTGGCCCCGGTGTTCGGATTTGAGTGGTTTATCCAAGCCATCCAAGCCTTCTCTCCTCTTGCGGCGACTTAGCTGACTTAGCTGACGTAAAAAAATCACCACATCTAGCTGGTAAATAACAGAACTTGGGGACATTTACACTCCCATTCTTGCAAGCGCATGAACAAAACACCCATATAAATATATACATATAAATATATACATATACATATATAAATATATACATATACATATATACATATATACATATACATATATACATATATATATACATATATATATGCACATATGTATATATATATATACATATATATATACATAGATATATATGTATACATATATATATACATATGTATATGTATACATATATAACATATATCTAGAACATTCCACGATATCATGTTCCATGAAAAGACGTTATACTTATATCCCTAGTAGTTTATACTATTCTGTATACCCAACTAGCCCGCTTTACAACCCAATCAGACCCCATGTATACCTCAAAAACGATTCCGTCCAAATTTAGAACTTAATTCATGGGAATAACAATTTATAACACCATAAAAATGAGATTCAAAAAATCCTCAGACGCCTTCTGAGCTTTTTTGTACTTAAACTTTAGGCTCCAGACATGGTTGGCTTTGCAGTACCCCAATATCAATAGCCACCTCGCAACGTTAGAAAGTATTTGCCCAGGTATATCCAGGTACCCTCTGGTTATGTCAAACATAGCTATTGAAAATGGCCATAGAAATAGTGGATTTTCCCAGCTATAAAATGGTGGATCTTTCCATAGTAAACTGTTAGTTTACCAGAGGGTATATTGAGAAATAATGAATCCCAACTCAATGGATATTGACTCGGTATGTATCCCATTGGTTTTTTAAATATCCATTCTCATCCATTAACTCTTTGGATTGGAGAAAGGGACAATTGAAACCGGAAACTTTCACATTTCATGGTTTTTAAACCCTGGTCAAAAACCATCATTTCATGGTTTTTAAACCCTGGTCAAAAACCATCATTTAATGGTAAAAACCATGGTCAAAACCATCATTTAATGGTAAAAACCATGGTAAAAACCATGGTTTCCGGTGAAGATTTTCCCAACAAAACCAATCCTAGGACCCCCATCATCGCACCCACTGCGTTCACGCGACCAGCACGACCTCCCATCTCCCGAAGACCGGGAGGTTTTTGCCATGACTGATGACCGATGCCGGTGCCATGGAAAACACCATTTGATCCGCCAAAATTACGGATTTTTTACCATTAAATGATGGTTTTTACCAGGTTTTAGCAACCAAATGATGGATTTTAGAGGGTTTTCTCAACCAAATGATGGATTTTGCCAGCAACACTTGGATATTTTGGCGACCTCAAGTTGGATTTCCAGCCAAAATGGTGGATTTGAGCAGCTAGAATGGTGGAATGGTGACGACAGCAGGGTTTTTGCCATCAAGATGTAGGGGTTTCTTAAAATGGGGGATACACTATGACCATGCGGCATTTTGATGTGGAAAGCGAGGCTTTTGGGATGCAATTTTGAAACAGATTAGAGAAACATCGAGAAACTCTGTGAGATTTCATAAAAAATCCCATGAGACAGGTCATTTTTTTAAGCCATTAAAAAAGCCATGTATTCTCAGCAGTTGAGATATCATAAATTGAGCACCATGTTTTCGGCAGGGCAGGTGCCCGGAGATCTTGGAGTTGCAAAGTGCTCTCCATCATCAGGCCGGCGTGAAAATGGTGAGACGGTTGCGGTTTTTTGTTGAAGCCGTCAGAAACATCTCGGGAATTCATCGAAAATTTTCACTTGTCCCTTTAATAATTTCCGAAAGGATCGGCCTACAGAGACATCTATTACTGTTTGAGTCAGACAGGTATGAGATTTAATTGGTGGGTTCTATGAACAGTCATATTGTCGGGATTCAACCAACCCCATAATACAGACAGGAACGCCACCAGGGCCCTACCCCACAACCTTTTTTTAGAAATGCAGTATATTATGAAAGTATGTGCTATTTATGGTTCGGCTTAAATTTGTTGCAACATCTCACTATAGAATCTGTTAGAATATTGTTATATAATTATATACATTAATACTTAGTATGTAAAATCTTAAGCTTGTAACAAACTTAGTGGAGTCACAGCATAGTTTACAGAATTTCTTTGGCTCTGACAGGCATGCTATAGGCAATTGAACTATAGTTGTTTTATTGTTTCGAAACTTCCACCCCGGCACGTCTGGGCACTGGCTGGTGTTTAAGAAAACAACAAAAACACCGTAAACATAGCCCCCGCACCGCGTTACACTGTCCCAAAAAGGGCTCTTTTGCCGGGCTTGCCAAGGGTTTAGCTTGCCAGGCTTGTCAAGGGCTTATCGCTTATTAAGGGCTTACTGATCACCACCACCAAGAAGGGATCGCTAGGTCAGGTCTTGTTTTTTGGGGTGGTTGAATCCCGACATGAGGAAACCGCATGGCGTGAACGTCGTTGACATACCCTCTGGTAAACTAACATGGCTATGGAAAGTCACCATTTTTCATGGGTAAATCAACTATAAACGGGCCATGTTCAATAGCTATGTTAAAATACCAGAGAGTATGACATTGCATTATTGCGCAAGGGTGACTCAAATCCTTGATTCATGGCATGTATTGTTGCCCTGTAGTGGTTGTTAAAATCTTTGACAAGTAAAATTGAAATCCTTTTGCGAGGCGATCGCCATGGAATAGTTTGGTCAGCTATTTTTTTCCACCTTAAATTCAAATCAACCAAAACTCTCCAACCGATGGTGGCAGCCAGTTTTCTGCAGCTTGAACGGCGGGATGAATCGTTGGCATTTGCGGCTCAGAAAGCATGATGTAGCTCCAAGACGCAAAAAAAGTATCGGACATCTCAAGGTGTGGTTCCTAATGTGGTTCCATTGATAAACCATCCCCAATGTTGATATGCATGGTTTGTAAATATATTCCCAAAATAGCAGCTTTATTATTGGGTTTACCACATGAATGAGCATGGACTTGAAGACTTGAAACGCGGAATAGTGGTTTTGCTGTCAGTGAAAAAACCCAAGTTCCTACCAGTACTGCAATTTGATGACCTCTCCTTGATTTCACACTCAACGTGCCCATGCCAAGTTGTTTGCATTGCTTTTCAGCGGTCTGCATTCGATTAAAAAATACCAGCCAGCTGGGTAGTGTTCGGTTCCAAATTGAGCAAGAAAATGCGAGAAACTCATGAAAAAAGTGGGGTTTTCCCGAAAAACCGGCAGCAAAATGCCACTAAAGAACTTGGGGTTTTCCACTGAATAGTGCTGGTTTTCCGATTCGCCCATGAACTTCTTCAGCAATGGTCAAGAGGTGCCGAATTGTCGTATACAATTGGTAGATGTGTTCACCTTGAAAGGTGAAGTAGCCATGGAAAATGGGTAGAACACGGTATAGCAAACCTATGTTCAATACGTGCAGGCTGCATTTACCATGGACCATGGTGTTGTTTGTTGTGGACGGCATTTTGGGAGACGTGTTTGTGGAGTGCCCTGAGGCTGAGGAATCTATTCTTGCACTCCAAACACAAACGGTTTGCAGATGGTTGACCTCTTGCAAATTAAAATTATAAATGCAATCTTTGATCGTTGGAGGGTATTTATGAGGTTTTTCAATCTCCCCCTCTATGGAACCCAACATCCACAACAACGCCAAGGTTAAGGCGTGTGTTTGCAAACCTATTTTGGAGGGCTATGCAACTTAGTAAAAGCCTGGTGGACTAATCATGGTTATGGTCCCATGGCCTAAATTCCAGAAAGGGCTGCTACCCATTCGAGGGTTTCCTCCGCATTTCCGAGTTGGTGGATATCCCCTTGTTTTTGATGGGCTTACTTAGCTGCTATGGCCTAAAAGAATCCAGTGACGAAGATGAAAACGCCCTCACTACTGTGGATGGGCCAGCGAAATCCTGCACCGAACGGATGGTTGAAACCCAATAGTTTATGGGATCAACCATCTATCAACTGGTGATTCGGATTTCGCTGGCCCATCCACAGTATGTTGGTTTCTGTTGGTATCCCATGGTTGGTGCGTAAGTTTCATTGGGACAAGATGTGCATCATAGGCAACAAACCCAGCCACCAAAGCCTGGTCAACGTCCCCGTTGTCAAATGATCATCTTTGATTACCAACGGGTGCAATCAATCATCCTCATTTGGGGGTTTCCTAAGTCATAGGGGTACCCCCAAATCATCAATTTTAGATTGGGATTTTCCCTTATATAACTTATAAACCATCCATTTTGGGGATCCCCATTTATGGAAACCCCCATTTATGAAGTCGAATAGCACCATTTCATTGGTTATGTAATCCAAATCTGTGCCGACCGCATTTTCACTACTCGAAAACCAACCACTCCTGGGTATTCCCCATTTTGGACGGGACAAATCTACGAACCACTCAGGATTTGCTTGAAAGAATTGGAGTCCGGGGCATGAAACCCAGCAGGCTATGGGTAAAAATGGATGGTTTCATTGTGGAATGTGCATCCCTCGAATCGGATCGTTTATAGTCCATGTATAGTCCATATTTCATCCCATCTATAATAGGGAATATTTCAAACATCTAGTGATGTTGATGTTTTTTTTGGACCCATTTACTAAGTGGGGCCCGCATCCCCAAGTAGACAAACAGACCAATTTTGGTTCAGAAGTACCAAGACTTGACCCACACGGTTTCTTCATCCTCGGTTCGCACTCGCCTGTTAAAAGGCCCTGTTACCTCGTGCTGAGCGCCTAGAAAGCGAGGAAGAGGTGCCATGCTGAGTAGTTTTTGAACATCATTTTCCGAAAAGTCTCAGAAATCGGGCTGGAATTGTTGGGCACAACTATGTAACTAGAGGCTATTTCATGAAGCGAAAATTGTGAGCGAAGCAAACATGGTTGATAGTTGTGGGAATCATCACATCCCCTTTTTTCAAAACACCCTAAACAAGGCATTTTTGGGGCGCGTTTAATATTAGTGGGAGGGGATGTTTCATATCAGGGAATCATCTCAGAATTTTGATCACAATTTTGTCGTTGACTCAGTGAAGTTCGGGGTTCAAGAGAACATCAAGGTGACTTTTTTTGGGGTTTGAACAGAGCCTCAATTTTCATGGTTCATTCTCATTTTCATCAACTTGCCAACATTTCATGGTTCTTACTTATTTTCCTCATGATTTTTGATGGTCATTTGGTGGATAGCCTACTTTCAGACAAAGCCATATCAACCAAATCGTTCAGACAGCTGGAATATTGAATATTTCCCAGTCCATGTTTGATCAGGATAAGGATTATCAAAAAACCACCCCCAAACATTCCCATGATACGGTGGATGGTTGCGAAATCCTGCACCACCGAACGAATGGTTGAAACCCTAGAAATAATGGGAAAAACCACCACCGTCCTCAACTGGTGAGGCCCGGATTTTTCGGATTTGGCCCATCTCATGATACCCTCTGGTAAACATACAAATAGCTATTGAAAATGGCCATAGAAATAGTGGATTTTCCCATTAAAAATGGTGATTTTCTATATAGTTATGTTAGTTTACCAGAGGGTAACCCCTATTGTTGTTGGTTAAACCACTAGGTTGGTGAATCAACTGCAACCACTTCGTTACAAATTTTTCGGCTTTTCTAAAATGGGCGATACCCCCAAATCATCCAGTCGTCATGGATGGCCATTTTAGTATAGAAACCCTAGGTTTTGGGGATTCGCATATATTTTTTTCTCATTTTAAGAGACACCCACATATTCCCATACCACTAATCCCATCCCCCGTATTAAACATACCCATAAATGGTTCCAAATAAGTGTAAATCCCCCACTCAACCATGGTGTATGGAGGGGTGTTTCATATTAGGATATGATATGATAAACAAGTCGTTTTATTTTTTGGGATTTCCATGGATGTACCGTTTTTACCCCCAGATATTCCCATACCATTGTGAAATATCCCATCAAAAAACTACCGCAGATCTGTGATAACTCAGGTACTAGCGGCACTGGGCCAGTGTCCGTGCTATTGGAAGTACGATCCCTCCAACAGAAAAGTCCAAAGCAAATCCACCGTATTTTTGTGACGTCCTCACTTCCCACTTCCCAGATTGCGGTGGAGCAACTGGATGGCAGCCGTGCATGGCAAATCCTGTCTGGAAGCCAAGGGCTCCCCTCACCAGGAGGTTTCAATAGGAGTACTCCAATTTTAGGATGATGAATCATATGTATATATATATAATTACCTTTCTTTTTTTAATAGTCGTCAATGTGTTTTTTTCTTGTATTCTTACCAACTAACACAGACCCTGGTGATATAGTGCTATCATCATGTTTAGAGGAAAGTAGTCCCAACCCCTTACTTGGCCAGGTCTATATTCGTCGGGGGGATGGCAAGTTACGTTGAAACGATCTTTTTCGGGGATACTATGCATGCCTTGGTTGGGCATGAAATCAAGGGGTTTTACCCTCTGGTTATGTCAAAATAGCTATTGAAAATGACCATCAAAATAGTGGATTTAGCCATTTAGCCATTCAAAATGGTGGATCTTTCCAGTTCGTTATGGGACAGTTTACCAGAGGTTTTACAAATCATAAAGAACTGGGAGATTAACCAACAATCATTGAATTCTTGGGCATTGGGGTTGTCTCAAAATGGGGGTAAACTGGTGTAGCCTCTGGTAATTCGTTCCAGTTTGCTATTGAACATGGCCCATAGAAAGTTCGTTGATGAATCCCCATCAATAGAATGGTGGATCTTGGTAAAATCGTTTTTTGTAAGCCCGTTTACCAGGCCGGGTATGTCCCATTCTATCCCCATTGTGGTTAGTTCACCTCCATTTCCAATTGGAAAATCTAAGTGTAACTTGTCCAAAAAACAATGGTAAACACACCATTACCTATGATTATCTATCACCTCCCAGGCCGGGTAGTTAGCAAATTTAATGGCAATTGATTCATTATTCATGGACGACCATAAATATCCCATGGGACGGTTGGAATGGGGGGAATGGGAATCAATTGAGGCTTCATGGATGATCCCACGGTCCAAAAAGAGTCACCTCTTTGAATGGAAAAATGTGGGTTATCCATGAAAGCCAGGATGGAGTGGAGGATGTCGATTTTCCCCCTCAAACGAGTTCAATTTTTTTAGTTTTGATTACCAGAGGATATGTTTTGAGAACAAGATGATAGACTTATTTCGTACATTTTCGGGCAATACCAGACATGATATACGCAACTTTTGGGTTTCGCACAAAGAAAAATCGGGATGTAATGCATGGAACAAGGAGGATGTTTCCCCAATGCAGCGAACATGGAAGACCAACTTTACAAGCATTTCTAGCTTCCATCTCTATTCGGGATGGCAGCATATGTATGTATTTGTGGTATCTATATACCCTCTGGTAATCAAACACGGCAATGGAAGATACCATATTTATAGGACCATTTCCCAGCTAGAGACGTCATTCTTGTTCGCGAATTTTCTATACACATACGTATATCTAGATACATACACTCCGGTAATTTAACATAGCTATTAAACATGGCCATCTATAGTTGATTTACCCATTGAACACGGCAATTTTCAATAGCTATGTTAGTTTACCAGAGGCTACACCAGTTTTTCCCTTGAGAAATCACACATGCCATCAGCTGCCATAGATGTCCGAACTTCCCATTGGTCGATTTTTGTAGAGGCTTCGGGCCATGAAAAGCAACCAATAGGCGGATGACTACGATATAACAGAATACCAACCCACACTTAGCCTCTGGTAAACTGTCACATAGCTATTGAAAATGGCCCCGCTTTGAAATAGTGGATGACTCCCCATCAATAGAATGGTGGATCTTCCCAGTTCGTTATTTTGGACAGTTTACCAGGTAAATTTTCCTAAAAGGACAACATAAACTATATTGGAAACCACACTGGCTTTACATCAGGTTGGTCATCTTTTGGATCAACCATCCAATTTTGACGTTGAGATACCTATTGAACATGTGGATTATCGATTTTATATATTTACTCTTGTATAAATTCATTTGATGCTTCAATTCCACCTTTTCATGATTGAACACTCATATCATTAATTCTAGTACATGATGGGGCCCCCAAGATAGCTAAGTTGCCTTATAAGTGGCTTATCTATGGTTTATGGTAGATATAACGAACTAGTTAATGGTGGTTATTTCATGGTTGAGAAACCAACAAACATCACTGGGGGGCCCCATCCTGTAGGATGTTGCTTTTCTATCTTGTACTGGGGTTGCATACTATCCTATCCTACCCCGTGATTTGAGGTATCGCCAGTCGCCAGTCACCATGGGTTTCACGACTAAAATGGTCATCCAGGTCATCCATAACTTGGATGCAAGAGGCTACCCCCATGACTATATATAGACACCTCCAAATACATAAATCTCTATATATATATACACATATATATATGTATACATATATATATACTAATAATCAGTATATATATATATATGTATATATATAATTTAATATGTATATATATAATTATACACACATATATATATATTCATATTCCCAGATGATATTTCCATTATATCCTCATAATTGTTGATTATATTTTTTGATTATCTGGTTGCTGGTTTCAAACATTTGGATTATTTTCCATCATATATGGGATGTCATCCTTCCCATTGACTCATATTTTTCAAGATGATTTTTTTAAACCACCAACCAGATATTATATGGTGAAATATCATCAACAAAAAACAACAGTATTGATGATATTTCCTCATGTTCTTTCAAATTATTCCCATATTGTTGGTGAAATATTCCCATGATATCCCCGTTGGTCGCCAGTTGGAACAACGCCCTGGATTTCATGGTAGTCTTCCGCGGAGTCACCTGATCAGCACATTTTCCATGGGGATATGAATGGATAACTAATGGGTAAATGTTGTAAAGCCAATCAGAATGGGATATTTATGGCATATTCATGGTATGTTATGATTTTTATGAGACTTTAAGGGATTTTATAGGATTTCATGGGGTTAAGAACCAACCATCATAGCGATATAACCGAGCAAAATAGAGATAATAAGCATAATCGTGATATAAACCATCAAACAACTTGGAGTTTAATGGGGGTTATCCATCTTTGATGGGATAGTAATGGATAGCTACATAATGGGAAATGAATGGATTAAAGGAGATATACCTATTTTCATGGATTAATGCTTGATATGAGTTTTTTTCATGGGTAAATAGATCCATATGAAAATGGATTGATGACCATCCCCCAATCTGGTATCCATATATAATCCAACATCCCAGGCACTGATGGCAAAATCGTAGAAGCGGGTGAGAAATACCAATGTCCAAACGTGCACCGGGGAAATTACTATTGGTTGGTGGTTTGGAACATTTGGATTATGTTTCCACATATTTGGAATTTCATCATCCCAACTGACTTTCATATTTTTCAGAGGGGTAGGCTCAACCACCAACCAGATGTCATATTTCAGGTTGAGATATAAGTGGCTTATCTACGGTATATGGTTTAGATGTAAGATGTATCTATACTAATTAGACTAATTAGCCAAAAATTCCACGAGCCACCAATTAGACTAATTAGCCACCACCAAATCCACTAGCTCGAAGTCTTGTCATGAACGCCTGATTCCTTGCCCACCTCTCACGTGGTGTCAGTTCTGCGAGCGGGAAGTGACATTGAACATTGAGCTCTTTGGAAAATACCCTCTGGTAAACTGTCCCATAACTATGGAAAGATCCACCATTTTCTAGATGGGTAAATCCACTATTTCGACTGGGCCATCTATTCCATAGCTTTTTGTATGTTTACCAGGCCGGGTAATTTTGTGCAGCGCAGCGGAGCCATTGAGTTGCTATAGTTCCACAGGAACTTCATGGTTTTTTGCTGATTTGAAAAGGTCTGCAAAGGAGGCCTAAAAAAACAGGACTTTTGAATACCTCGAAACTGAGAAACATTTCTAGGTGTCGAACTTCGGCAGAATGTTGTTCTGAACAATTTTTTCCGTCACATTTTGCTAAAGATTTCGGAAGAGGATCTGAAGGGACACCGATCTCTCGCAATGTCACAATGTCACCTGTGGATCACCATACTCAGTTCACGCCGCACGAAGGGCTTGGCGAGGCCGCCAAAGCTCCCTGCAAACATGAGTGATAAACATCATCTTGCACATCAATACCGGGCAAAGGGATATATATATAATATATATATGTATATATATGCATCCTGCGTAAAAGTGGCTAAAGCCTCACACGCATCAGCACCCATCAGTGCAGCATGAAACAAACCATCACTTCTAGCCAGATCAATTCTTGGTCGAATCAACGAGTGTTGTGACCCACTTTGTTTCATCGAGGATTTGACAACGTCGTTTATTGAAGTTGACCAACAAATTGAAGTGGTTTTGCAACATGTTCTTTTCTCGATCAATATGATCAACAATCTGATCTGCAAGATACATGAGTTTGTCTGAAAATGGAGGAACAAACTCAGATTCAGCAACTCCACGCGATTCAGCATTTGACCCGTGGCGATCTAAATTGGTTCCCAAAAGTCAAAAATTAAAAACTGCGGTAAACCGAGATTTTGCTACAATAAAGCAGCTATTTATACCTATTCTGAAAAACACTTGAGAACTGTATGCATGCAACACGCAGCATATGCATTACAAGATGGTTCTCAAATATGCAGCATGCTGCGGGCTGACAAGATCCCCTCTCCGCTCTCCCCTGGCTGCCGTCGAGATCTATATCTATGGATGTACGGGGCCCACCAGTGATGTGAATGTTGGTTTATAAACCATAACAACACCCCCATGAAAACTAGTTCATTATATCTACCATACACCATAGTCTAATGGTTAAATCATTTATAAGGCAACTTAGCTATCTTGGGGGCCCGAAAAATCTGTATAGATACATATACATATCATATACATATAAATCTGCATAAATTACAACGACCTCAGGTCGCGATGTCACTGGAATGTTGCTTAAGGAGAATCGTCCCCCAAATTTCGCCAGACGCTGAGGACTCGAGCGACAGTGAAAGCCGCGAAAGCGTGGAGGTTTTTCGAAAGGGGTGCTGAAAGGGGACCTCACTGGAATCATGGTTTAGATATAGGGAAATCATCCCCTTTTATGGCCTTTATTAATTCAGGTTAGTGTTTAATATTATAATTTGCCCAGATTCTTGGAAACCTGGACTACTTTTGTTTGACATATATACTCTTTCCCCTGATCAGCCCAGCCTATGTTTTCAATGCTATCCACCAATGCATTTTCTAAATCAGATGTCTCGTTCATGTCAAGGAGTTGGTTTTTTGCGTTTGGGATCACGCAACGGGCCGCCCTGGCACCAACCTTGCTCTCACCATACCAAAGGCCGGGGATCAATTCGGTATATCCTAAAACACCCTACGGTAATATAGCCCATTACTAATATAGCCAATGGTATTAGCTAAAATGGGGTATATCACTGTATATCCTAAAACACGTTATACATATAGATATATAGAGATATCTATATACTCTGTGTATATATATATAGATACACATTATATATATAATATACTGGTTGGTGGTTTGGAACATTTTTTATTTTTCCATTCAGTTGGGAATTTCATCATTCCAACCGACGAACTCTATCACTTTTCAGAGGTGTTGAAATTCGGAAAGCTTGGCGTTTCGCCATAGATGGATTTTCACCGAAAGCTGGTCATCGTGGCTATCACCAGGATGTTTTTTGGTAGCCGTGGTCAGACGGCTCACCAAAAATCATTGTTAGTCTTTCACCACGGATATCCACTATATACATGAATATGTATATATATATAAATAAATAAATAGATAGATAAATAAATAAATAAATAAATAAATATAAATAAAAGTATATATAACTGTACATATATATATATACATATATATACATATCCGACATGTTCCCGTTTTGGGCTTGTCCGGTCCTCATTTTCATCGACTCAGATGCAGCGCTGTTTCCTGCGGATCATCAAAGTATTGGTGGCCGTGGCTGCAGCTTGGATTATCCAACTTGGGGGTTGATGGTTTTCCAAGTTGAATATTTACCCTCTGGTAATTTAACATAGCTATTGAAAATCACCATTTTTAATGGGAAATCATTTAATCCGATTGTTTTGGCCTGAAAAGTTTGAAATTTAAATGGATTAAATGGTGTTTAAATATGGTTTAAATGGATTAAAATGGTTTTTAAGTGGTGAAAACAGTGACCAAAAATCGTGTTTTTTTTTTTCGATGTTCCATGGTCGTTTTCGACGAAAACGCGCTTGTTCTTTGGTGCTTTGCAGGCCAGTGGGCCTGCCGGACGAACGCAATAAACATCTTGGAAGTGGTCAGCAAACCTCCAAAGTGGTCGAAATTTGGGTGACAACCAGTTGTTTTAAACCACATTGCGTAATTTGAATGTGATTTACATATATCTCCATAAAAAGCTCAGATGTCGGGTGTATACCCAACCCATTTGAAGTCGTTAAACCATCCCACCAAATCAGTTTCCGGACATGACATGGCAGACCAGGTGGTTGCACAACATCCATGAGATCACCTTGTTTACAATGAATTTGTAATTCAAACGACATACAAATGTTGGTAAACAAATGCATTACTGTTTTATCAAATCACCAGGTGGTTTCACTTGTTCAGTGAACCATCCACTTGGTTTTGTGTGAACATTGTTGCCCCCCAAAAAAACCACAGGTTCATCAACATTTTCCCCATTCAACACCTAACCATGATTGGCAGATAGACAACCTATTTTCAGACACACCTATCTATTGAAATCATCAATTGACCATTGGACTTATTGGCCAACTTTGAGCCTAGGAAATTCTTACCTGTTGGTAATGACTGACAGTTTGCGAACTGGACATTCACCAATTTTAGTAGGTATATATATATATTCAGCAATTGGTTTTACTATGGAGACAATATATATTGGTTTTATGACTGCTATAATTGGGATTGGGATTGAATCCCAATAATAGTATAATTAGACACCCAACTATACATAATATATATTGGTTTTATATACCAAAAATGTTTATGGTTAATCTATATGAATCACACAGCTAGTCACGCAAAGGCGTGAAAGTCTCATGGGGATATCACCCAAAACTAAAGATCCCCAAAAAGATAGATGTTGATGTTCAATACGCCGTTGTTAGTAGATGTTGGTGGTCATTTTTGATAAACCCAAATACAGTACATTAATAAACGACTTTACAGTCCCATTTTTATGACAGCCTGTGATTTTTCTGGAAGCTCTAAACGATCCTTAATTTTTTTTGGTTTGCTATATATAGATCTACATCTCAATTTCCACATCTTCCCCTGATCCCATCACGAAATCGAACCGAGGCGTTGATCGTCGTCCTGGGAGTCTACTTGTGGTGCTCAGCCATAGGCCCGAACAGCGCAGCGAAGCGAACGTGTACCCAGCGGCCCAGTGCCGTGTTTTGTGAAGTCAGGTCAGTGGGTTCAAACGTCACTGGACAGGGAAAAATTGTGGAGTTGACCATGGTTTATCATGATTTTTATGAGATATGACTGGTATTTGATGAGATATGTCGTCAACACTATGATATTTGGGCGTGTCCGAAACTATAAGATAGGTCATTTTCATGCAGAAAATGATGATAATCCAACTGATTTAGAGGTTACCCTATATTCAGACAACCCAAAATGTGAATTTCTACGATTATAACGAGATTGAACGGAGTTGAACCAACATTTTTTGCGGGATTTGTCATCAACATAAGCATTAGAATAAGCAAACCGGGATTTGATCATGAAACATGGAGTGTAACCAGCAAATGTGAGGAATTTGATTGTGAAAAAGTAGGTAACTTTTGGTGAAGGGTAGTTTGCGAACGCCGTGGACTGGGGACTGTGCGTTTTGTGGGACTTGGTGGAATTGGGATGCGTTGGGGTGAGGTGCGGTGGGGTGCAATAACTTGTAACACGCTCTTGATGCTACGCTGCTACGCTGCTACGCATTTAACTTGTTCAAGTAACTTGTAACACGTTTTTGATGCTAAGCTCTTACAGTAGCTTGTTCAAGCAACTTGTAACACGCTCTTGATGCTTGCAAATGGCGGTCATGAGAAGGATCATCACTGTGCCCACCGCACACAGTCTCCACACCACGGCATGACCGGGTAGTTTCATGGTTCATTTTTTTTTAATCGAGGTAAACACTACCGGCAAAATAATGTTATTTTTTGGGCAGGCTCATTACCCTCTGGTAAACTGTCCCATAACTATGGAACATCACCATGCTAATAATGGGGATTCATCAACGAATTATAACTAAATGGCCATTTTCAATAGCTACTCGTTTGACATAACCAGAGGGTAATAGCCATGCAAAAAATGACCATTTCTTACTGGACATGGCACCACATTTTCCCCCAAATTCGATCCACATGGTTCGCGTAGGGGTCCCAATGTTCTCCTGGAAGATTTATGATGACCTCCTTGGTCGATGTCAACAACACCCGCGGAAGAAACCAAGAATCCATGGTGGATGTAGGGAATTTACACATATTGGAACCCATTTAGGTTGCGTTTATATTAAGGGGAATGGGATTGCTATTGTTACCCTTCTTACTCTTTGGTAAACAAAGAGTTTGCGAGCTGGAAAATCATCAGTTTGAATCTTCATAGAGCAAAGTGTTAAATTACCGCGGTAATCATGCCGACTCTTCTCGTGATGATTTTATAATCCAGATACTTAACTATCCATACTGGTTGGTGGTTTGGAACATGTTTTATTTTGCCATTCAGTTGGGAATTTCATCATCCCAACTGACTTTCACTCCATTATTTTTTCAGAGGGGTACAGCAACAACCAGCATATCTCAACTGTTTATAGCAGCAAAATCGTCCACCTTTTTTCACCACAAATCTGAACTTTTCCGGGCCTTCGGGAGGAGGTGACCTATAGCGGTTACTCATCAATATCTATAAATATGGAATACATATTGAATATATAAACATCAAATTGAAGGGTTAATATTGAATATGTTAATCACCATCAATATTATTACAAAGCCATCTATTAACATTCTATTTTTGGTTAGGTTAATAGGGAATAAACATCAAATGTGGCGCTAACCATCCAACATTCAGGGTTCAACCACCAAACATGGGGATATAGTGGATATTTGCTGCTCCATACATGATGGGGGTCAAAACTTCTACCATAATTTGGGGGGATGAACATGTATGAATCCAAACTATTTCGGTGTTCAGCCCTGGGTGTTCACCCATCTCCATATTGTTAACTGCCGCTTGTTGAATGCTTGTTGAACCACTGATCTACCCTCTGATAATTTACCATAGCTATTGAAAATGGCCATAGAAAGTTAGTTCGTTTATTTACCTATGAAAACTGGTGGATCTTTCCAGTTCGTTATGTTAGCCCGTTTACCAGGCCGGGTATATCCCCATTTAAAAACATATGGGACCTCGATATGAATTCATATTCCCATTAGGTCATCCCTGACAGATTAGTTCGGGGGTGATAGCCTCTGGTTATGACTAACATATATAGCTATGGAAGCCATGGCCCAGGTGAAAATAGATGGTTTACCGAACTGAACTATTGATAGCATGGTGATTTTCTACTTCGCTATGTTAAATTCTATAGCTATGTTAGTCATTACCAGAGAAAAAACTAGCCTTTACAGTATATTTCGAGAATCAATGGCTGAATGGCCCCCCCACATGCCAGGCATTTAGGGACGATAAGACACAAACAATACACGCACTTAGATTGGGATCAACACCACATATAGCAAACCGTAAAATCCTATTGAAATCGTTGTAAAGTATATTTCTATTTTTTTTGGGAATTATACATGATTATATATCCATGTCTTGTTATACAAGTGTTGTACATGATTATACATGATTTTTTTTGGGGGTTATACATGTGTTTTTTAATGATTTGAAATAGCCAAGTCTCAATGTAACCATGGCGTAGCCGACCTGTGGCTGTCTGCCAGAAGCGACCTACGAGTATAGCAGCAAAGCCTGCGACGTTCCCTTGAACAAATATGCCCCTTGGTGCGGTCCGCGAGGACGTGCGCTGTGGTTTTTGGCAATGGTTTGGATGGTGTATTTGTCGTAGGGGGCTTGTCTAGACTCAAAAAATGAATGGAGATCTTGACACAGTGATGTAATGTATATATTTACCCTCTGGTTATTTAACATAGCCATGGAATAGATGGCCCATTGACTATTAATAGCATGGTGGATCTTTCCATGGCAAACTGTGAATGTCATAACCAGAGGCTATCTAAATTGATATACCAATTACTAATCTACGACACCTGAAGAAATTCCTGCAGGTGGACCGTTGGTTATCCGATTATTTTTTTTTGAATTACCCTCTGGTAAATAAACATAGACCCTGAAAATCACCAATTTTTAATGGAAACTAGTTTTCCAACCCCTATCTGCCAGGGTCTATGTTAATTTACCAGAGGGTAATTTTGAATTAGGGTGTTTTTTTCGAGAACTACATTTTTGGTGGATCTATTTTCATAAAGAGAACGGGCTAGCCGGAATCAGGACATGGAACATGATCATAACCAAATAGAAAACAACAGTTTCCAAAACATTTGAACACAACCATCATTCCGCAAAAAAACATTCCAAAACACTCCAATAGTAATGATTTTGGACTAAGACGACACCTGGAAAGCGCATTTTTTTTGCCAACGATTTAGAGTTGCATGGGCATGAGCTTGGCTGGCCTCATTGGAGTATGTTCCTTAAACTTTGGATACCTTCACCCCTACCTCATTTTTTTTTAGCTAACCACACCCCAATTTTTTTGGGAACAAATTATTTGGGGTCCACCTATAGCTAGAAAAAATGGTAGTTCCCCCACTCTTGAATTATTTTGCCTGAAATTAGTCTAGGTGGGTGGGAAGAGTACCATTTATTATGTCCAGGTGGGGGGTGCTCGTGCTGACGAGCAAATTCATTGAGGTACCTCGAAGCAGTACTTGAGATGGGGGACCACTGTGGAGACCCTTTAGGGGGTAGTCGTACTAATATACTAATCTATCTACTAATCTATCCATCTACCAATCGATCGATCCATGAATGCATCCATCCCATATACTCTAGTCTAAATATTATCTAAATATTATCTAATCTTAATCTAAATCATTCTAAATCTTATCCAATCTGAGTCTTAATCTTCATCTTAAGCTTAATCTCAATCTTAGCCTAGTCTAATCTAATCTAAACTAATCTGATGTAACTAATCTAATCCAATCCATCTAGCTATCTATCCGTCTGTCTGTCTGTCTGTCTGCCTGTATGCCTGTCTATCTGTCTATCAATATTTCTATCTGATCTACTAATCTAGTCTAATCTAAATCTAATCTAATTGAATCGAATCGTATCCTATCCTATCGTATTGGTCGCATCGTATTGTATCGTATTGTATCGTATTGTACCGTATCGTATCCATTCGTATCCCATCTATCTAATCTGTCTAATCTATCTAATCCATCTATCTATATATCTTTATATCTTTCGTTCTTTCGTTCTTTCGTTCTTTCTTTCTTTCTTTCTTTTCATCAATCCATCTGAAGTGTTCATAGGTACATGGCTAAACTCACATGCAGGCAAGCTGCGCCTTAATCAGTGGACGCAACAATGACAATGTGGCTCAGATAGTGCCCTGATTGGTGCACCAAAAAAAGGCCATCCGAGTTCTGTACTACTTGGATTCTCATCCCAAGGTCATGAGTATTCAGAGATGCTTTCAACACACTATGTATATATATAATATATCATATAAAAATATATATATGTATACAGTAATATATATATATATATACAGTAATATATATATATATACATAAATGCGTATGTATGTAAACGTTTGCATCAGTATCCCAGAGTCATGCCCATGCCACTAAAGTTCTGTTAAGCCATCCCACCAGGTCCCCGGGGCAGATGTGAGAGGTGTGCTAAACGTACCATCGGACAAGTTGCAACATGTTCAAGGTTCATCATTAAAGGTCAACCTTTACTCCAGTTAATTTAACCACCATCAACCATCATTAACCATCATCAACCATCATTAACCACCAGTTTATTTCCACACATCTCCACTCATTTCAGACTTTTTCCCAGAGGTTTTCGGGAAATTTTGTCCAAATCCACTGGTGAATGATGCCTACAATTCCCAAATCATGGAGGGTATGAACCTGGGGGCCCAGTGATGTGAATGTTGGTTTATAAACCATGAAATAACCACCATGAACTATAGTTATATGGGTATGGGTCAGTACCTATAGATACATTTTTAGTGGGATGAACATCCATTTACCAGCTATTTTGGGGTTCACTAGGTACCAGGGTTTTGACCCATCCCCATATCTACCATAAACCATGGTTAAACCACTTGTCAGATTTGTTTTCCCCAAAATCAGGTTTTCTCCATGAAGGGATTGGCGAAACCATTTCCGATGGCATCCGTATGATCCGACAACGGGGCATCGGGGCATCACAACGCTGCCGCTGAGTTGTTCCTTCAGTTGGGCCTCACGTGGCTCATCAGCAGTTTTAAACTTCAGGACTGCGGGGCATTATGAAACATGGCGATCTAGCCACAAGAAACGCTGAGAAAATCACACACAGACACACTTATATAGAAACATGGCTGGGAGTTTTGCCGGCGATGCAGGGTTGATGGATTCCCATAGTCTCCAGCAAAACCTTCCTGTCAGATGAAGGGGAACCAAACGACTAAGGTTAGCACCTTTGAACGGGCTCGAGCACGAAAAGGTCACTACGATGTATATGATGTATTTTCTAAAGCATAGTGAAATCAGTTGCTATGGTCAACAACTAGGGGATATTACAACCGTGGTTGATGATAGTTATTGAGTCATTAAAACCTAGCTATTGGATGCATTTGGATGCTATTGATTATAATCGACCCATAGTGACCTTGGTTTTTTTGATGAACCATGGGTTATAATGTTGGCAAAACAATAACAAACCATCCCCCAGTCATCACAATAAGTATATAGGTGGCATGGTAACCATTCCCAGTCATGGGTGCTTTATGACATTGTTTTAACGGCATTATATACAATGTTAGTCATATACATAATCGGAACATCTTGGAATGTAAACATGTACTTCGATTTCCCACTGACACCCTAGATGGTACATTCAATGTACATTCATTGTTTTAACGACATTAGTCTATTAGTTGATTATAATCAACTATTTCTATGGTCATTTTCAATATATGTAACAAATTACCAGAGGCTATCCCCATATATTCCCATGATTTTCCCATAAAACCATATAAAACCTCCATTTCTAGTGGATATTTCCCATATAAAACCATATAAAACCATATAAAACCTCCATTTCTAGTGGATATTTGTAACCTCTATAGATTACTGTATAAGCGAGTTCCCATCAGGAAACCGTCGGAGATCCGTGAAACAAAGTTCCCAGGACGGCAGTTTGTTGGCTCGTTTGATCAGCGCCTTCTTCACGTCCATGCTCAGTTTCACGCCTGTCGCGCTAGGCGCATCCGATCAAACGGGGAGATGACCCGGCCTGGTCAACTGTCCCAGAAAACGAACTGGAAAGATCCACCATTTTCAATGGGAAAATCCACTATTTCTATGGTCATTTTCAATAGCTATGTAACAAATTACCAGAGGGGGAAACCAAGGGGTTTTCTGTGTCGATCTCATGGGGAAAGGGACAACCAATGGTTCATGTGCCATGGATTTCACCATGGAAATCCTTGTGAGTTACATAGTGAAAGTGGTTTTTGACGCCAGATTTCATGAAATATGAATTTTAATCTTGCACTATTGTATACATACATACATTACACATACATTACGTTACATTGCACTACATTGCATATCGCGTTGCGTTGTGTTGCGTTTGCCCTATTTGCGTTGCATTGCATTACACACACACATATATATATGTATATGTATATGTATCTGTATATGTATATGTATATGTATATGTATATATATGTATATGTATATATATATATTAACTCCGACACTTTAAAGTTTGTATAGTCTATTTAAATTTCAGACCTTGTATAGCAAGCCCCAACTTTTTTTTTGAACCGTGTTTCCGGATGACCAGAATGGTATGATTTACTCCATATGAGGTTTCTCACTTTTCTATCTTTTTAATAAACTTTTTGGGGGTTGCTATAATTATACTATTGATATCTATTGATAATATATAAACAAGACAAAATTGTGTATATGCATATATCCCAACAATTGATAATTTAAATAGGCTATTGATAATATAGTAAACTATGGATATCCCAACAGAACATTATGTTGATAACGACTCCAGTTATACACGACTTCATGTCATCGTCTCAGTGTCCCATCTCTCAGAAATCATCTCCTTTTTTAATACGACTATACCAATCTTCTTACTTTATTCCATTATCATCCCATGAATCAGTAATATTGTCAACTATATTCCATTATCATTATCATGAACAACAAAAACAACCAGTAATATTATCATTAATACAGTCTATTGATATGACAATGGAATATAGTTGATCTTTATTGGCCATTAACATTCCATTATAGAATATATCACCAATTATTCTAGGGTAAATTGACATAGATGTGGACAACCCATGGTTTCCCATTCGGAAAACAATCTACGTTCATGGCGTTTCCACTTTTTTTGGTAAGCATTTACAGGAGGGTAATCATTATTTAGCCATTCATATTCCATTGTATGATACCATGAATCATTATTATTATATATGTCTATTGTTATGATACTGGAACATTATGAACCATTGCTAGCCATGAATATTCCATTATATAATATATCCCTATGCTTTCCCCCTAGAAAAGCCACCATCGCCAGGACTGTTTTGGATCTTTTCTTCCAGAAACTGTCCCAGAACGAATCCACAACTTTACTACGCAGCTCCTTAATGCCAAAGATGTCGTTGATTGGTGGGTCCATTGTTTTTTTTTTTTCGGGCCATTGAAAATACCGCTGTTGATGGGTTAATAATTTCATAGAGGGGGGTTATACAAATTGATAGAGGGGGGTTATACAAATTTTGGCTATACAAAAGACCTCTGATGGATTAAGAGTTTCATGGGGTTAAGTATACTAAGTTCTGGTCTATTTGGGGATGATTATAACGAATTGTAGGCATATTTCCTGACCAACTGCTAGAAAGAGATGGGATCAGGCTATTCGACTCGTGGCTAATGTCTCCCGATTTCTTGATTTTGCGGATTGAAGATCTGGATTTTTTTAATGATAACTTTTCCATGAGTAAGTTGTGCTACCAGATTATGTTTTTTTTTTTTTGAAACAGATGTGTAGATGTATTGGATTCCGAATCCCGTTGGATTGTGCGCACATCATCTCACATATATGTTCGAGATTCAGCACAACTATTTCTGGGTCTGCGCTATTTTCAGAGAGGAAAACTGAATGAGTCGGCAACCAATCGACTCAACAACTACGAGTCAGGTCACCCCGAGCAACATTCAATGACATTCAGGATTGTTTGGTACTTTTCTGGTTGCTGGTTTCAATCATTTTTTAGTTTCCATTTCATATATGGGATGTCATCCTTCCCATTGACTTTCATATTTTTCAAGATGGTTTTTTAACCACCAACCAGTTCAGAATTGTTTGGTGTTTTTTTTTTACTTCTTATTGGAACACAGGGGTTCCCTCTCACAAGGGGTGCTTGGCGATTGCCCAGAGAGGATTAACCCTAAATCCACCGGTCAATCATCATTTGGATTACCCGGCCTGGTTATGACTAACATAGCCACGGTATAGATGGCCCATAGAAAATAGATGGTTTACCGTTCTTATAAATGGTGATTTTCCATGGCAATGTTAGTCATAACCAGATGGTATCCTTATTAAAACGGCCATAACTCAATGGCCATGCAACAGGAACCGATTGATTGGAGGTACCTACCATACATTTTGGGCCCATTTTTCAGGCCTATGTAAGGGAATATCCCAAAATATGGTCTTATATGGTACTAACGTACCTCCATTAAAATGGATCCTGAAGATCTCCCATTGATTTTACACAACCAAGCTAATGTCTGTCCCATTGAGGTAGCTCACTTGTTATATTTTGAAGCAGCTGGAATCTGTGGCATGGTCGTATTGGTCCTGTTGATCGTCGCCTGGCTGGCACCTGAAGAGACTGTGAGCGATCCGTGATGATTTTGACAAAGATGGTGATGAAACGTCAGACATATAGATCATATGGCTATGAATCAATACCTATGAATACCATGTTTAGGGGAATGAACATCCATTTACCAGCTATTTTGATGTTCACCAGGGGTACAAGGTTTTGACACACTGCCATATATATAGATCATATAGTGTTTGTATTGACCAACATTACTTTAACATCGCTTTTTGAGCAGATAGTTTGGATTTTGTGAGGTCTGTTTGAATTCGTGTCTTGCGGTCTAGCATCGTTTGATATGCTTTTGATCCTTCATCCAAGAGAATCACCTGGGCAGCACAGAGTCTTGGAGGTTAGTTCTCCCTGTTCTCCTTTTTAAAAGATCAGACAGTTTGATCCAAATGGAAAGTTTGGCGAATTTCCGGCAACTGGATCGCAACAAATCTCATACGATCCAGTTCGTCAGGGTCCAACTTGTTTCCAATTGGAGGTTCTGGATCATTTTCAATGGTTATAACAATGGTGATGCCCCCCAGTTATAAGTCGGTTTATAAACCATAGTACTATAGTTATATCATATATATATATATCCCCTACAAACCCTATTTATTGGAGTTAAAACCCAAGTTAGCTAACTATGGGGCACCACCTTGTAACAATGGTTATATAATGGTTAATGGTTATGTAATGGTTACAATGATGATGATATCGCCATAATTCTGGTATACCCTCTGGTAAACTCTCCCATAAAACTATGGAAAGATCCACCATGCTATTAATGGGGATTCATCAACTATTCCAAAATGGTCATTTTCAATAGCTATGTTTGACATAACCAGGCCGGGTACTTCTTTTGTTTGATTTTCAACCAAAGGATATAACCAGAGTTTGAAATAGTTGATGGGATTTTAAATAGTTGATGAATCCCTGAATCCCCATGAAAAGAACCTCTCGTTTCAAATTCAGAGTACTTCTGGTTTTCTATTTTTATAAGCCCCATGAAAACTCGTTCGTGAAATATCTACCATAAACCCAATCGAATTCAGATAATTCAGCCATATCTCTTTTCTGAACGCGAGCTCGACTGGGGGCTCCATCCGGTACTTTTTTTTCCCCTCATGATATTCCCCATAAAAAACCACCATTGTTCTGGATGAAATCACGATGTTCTTGGGATGCCGATCGCTGAATTTCTGGATTTCCGATCTCTGGCCTTCAGGTGGGATGCAGCCGCGGCCGGTGCCTTGTTGCGGAATGGATGTCCTCTTCGGCGGCAAAGCCCGTCATTTTTTCTAGGGGTCAACATGCTTGAAGCATGAAGATATGATAAAATATGGGGGTATTTTTAGTGGATATAACTGATATAACTGATACATGATGGCTAGTTGATGATTAGTTTGGGGGTTTCATCCCAAAAAAAACTATGGGATTTCCAGAATCGAGCTTCGAAGCACCAACGAACCATTCGGAGTATTTCATGGAATGAAGCAACAGTTTTTTTTTTTCAAACTGCTCAACTGGGCTGAGTTGAAAGTGACAACTGCTGACTGTCACCCTCACATCCGGTTTCATGCACTCTGGAGCCCCAAGGAGTTCTAATGGGCATTTCTATTCGTCAAAGCCACTCCGTTGTTCAATGGGAATTGAAGCAAGGAAAACAAGTTGCGTATGTGTGGCATTAGTTTTGGGTTTCCAAAGCAGTTGGGCTACTGAAATCCTGCAAGGTAGCTGAAAGGCATCCACAAAGACGGGACCCCATTTCCAATATTTCCAGCTTAGTCAAGAGCCATGGGTTCCAAGCACATATCCCAAAACAGTTTCTGTTGTTTAACCGCCGTGCCAAGGAGAATTTAGACAGAGGGAGAACGTGTTTTTTTCAGAACTTTTCTTTTCCTTGCTACATGCTGTTCATATTTGACCTACCCTCTGGTTATTTAACATAGCCATGGGAAATGACCCATTTATAGATGGTTTACCTATTAAACATGGTGATTTTCCATAGTTATGTTAGTTTACCAGAGGGTAAATTTAAGCCCTAAATTTATACGAGGGAATCTATGGAATCTATATCTATACATCTGAAGAAAATCATCGTCCAAGAGCCCCCAAAAATGGGGGGATTCCATATCACATTTGGAGATGGGGATGGAAATTTCATCACGACCAAAGCCTGTTCTCCCGAAGTGGAATCATAGTTTATTTTAGGGGAATCATCCCAAAATGGCCCAACAGTTTCGCTGGCCCATCCACAGTATGTTGGTTTCTGTTAGTGAAAGATTATATTTTACCCAGATGGATGGGTCAATACCTATGAAACCATCTGAATGGTCTGTTACTTCGGTCGCATTTTGTGGGAATCAACATCGCCGATTCGGTGCTTCATGATGAACAATGATCTCTGGCCTTGCACATAGGGCCTTGCTGTTTTTCACGACCTCTGATATAGATGCAAGGTGGGGCCCCCCAGTTATAAGATGGTTTATAAACACCATTAACTATAGTTATAGGTACCATAAACCATAATTATTGGAGTTATTTGCACCAACTGAACGCTATCGTGGCCGGGGGCCCCACTTTGTGGGGCCCGGAGTTAGAACACAGTAATTGGGTATCTCTCTGGTAAACTCTCCCAGAAAACTACGGAAAATCAACACCATGCGTCATCAATGGGTAAATCCATGATTTCTATGGACCATTTTCAATAGCTATGTTTGACATAACCGGAGGGTATCCCCATATATTCCCATGATTTTCCCATAAAACCACATAAAACCTCCAGTTCTAGTGGATATGTAACAAATTACCGGAGGGTATCTCTCTAGAAAAATAGGTTGGCACAGATCGGTGGGTTCATGGCCAGAACTTGAGGATTCACTGAGGTCTATTTTTCTGGACCAGTTTGTGAAGTCAGAACAATACCGTGGGGTTTTTTGATACAAAAAGAGGTAGAAAACCATTGGTTTCCCTTGGTTTCAGTTATCTGGAAGTAGTGTTTTTTTTCTCCACATCGATTTCTTGCATTTTACAGGAGGCTAAATCATGTTAAAATAAGATAACCAAATGGATTTAACATGATATCCCCACCAAATGGCACCAATTTTAGGCCATTTTTCTTGGTGCTGATATCAAACCCCACCTTTTCTGAATGGCGGCTTAGATCCTCCCTCTTTCGCAGGTTGACTGTGGAGTTCCAGGGGGCGGGTGGTATCGAGAGTGGATGTGCAGAGGCCATGATGCCATGGTTGGGGTTTACTGGGAAGACCGTCGGAAATCTCAAAATGGAATTTGCCTACAATGTGAGGCCCCCAAGATAGCTAAGTTGGTTTATATATAACTCCAATAACTATGGTTTATGGTACTTATAACTATAGTTACTGGGGCGAATCTAAACCAACCTATAACTGGGGGGCCTCACATTGTATGGATTTCATGGGGTTAAATGGGCATGAAATGGGATATGAATGGAATATTGGTAGGATTTCATGGGATTTACCTTTTGGTAATTTACTGTCGAATGGTTTTTGTGGGAGCGATTCGGAGCTAGGGGCATCCTATTCCCTGCAAAAAAAATGGGAGCCAAGGAGCTACGAATAGAGTTTCCCAAGCATATGATAGTTCAAAATAGCTATGGAATTTATATAGTGGAATTTAATGGGATATCAATGGGATCTAATGGGATATGAATGGAACATTATTGGGTTTTTTTCATGGGATTTACCTTCTGATAATTTGTTGCATAGCGAATTGGAAAATCGACAGTGAAATCTATGAACTAAATGGGCCATGGCTTCCACCTGCTGGCGGGATGTTCTGAGCGCTGAATCTCATTTCTGATTTTAGGCAGAGCAAAGTGCAAGAAGCCTCTGGTTTTGAGATGAGTTGGGAGCTCTCAGCTAGTGACTGTGAACAACATGAGATAAGTGGGTTTCCCCCAGGAATCTGGGACGAGCACCAGCTATCCACTTGCCAGATGCCCACTCATGAACCGGTAATGTATATACATATATGTATATATAGGTGTATACATATCTATATATATATATATGCATATATATATACATCCTAAAGTAGAAAGAATATGGAGATAGGAATGATATTCACATTCTAGTGAGTTTTTCCCCAGATAGCGAAGCTACTGGGGTTGTTACTTCAAGTATAAGAAGAGTTGCATGGTTGCGTTTTGGAGCTTGGTTGCTGGCGCCGCTGCAGGGTGCCGCTGCAAGGTGCTGCTGTCAGAGTGCTGTTTGGGCTTTGGAGCTTGGTTGCCGGCTGGCCGTGCTGGGCCTCTTCCCACGATGCCACGACCAGCAGTTGCGCTGTAGTGCAAAATCTGTGCCGTCTTTGAGAGGGCTGCTGTAGGCATGTTGGCAATGCGCTCTGAAAGGAGTGGAGATTATTATCAATGGCTATTGCAAGAACTGTGGGAAGCAGTGGAATCCAGCCGGAGTGTTCTTCACGTCAATTGCTGAAACTTTTGAAGCCCATTCAATGTCCGCACATGCGTCTCCAAATTCGGCAGTTGCGTGCGATAGTGGCACCGCGATACGCAACTCGCAGCCAGATGCAAGCGCGGAAACCAGAGGAACCTAAAGAAGTCTCCGAGCGGGGGGGGCTTACAACCAGCCCAGGTCACCTGTTGACGGTATTTTGGCCAGGGTTGCAATGGAACGTCGTGTTGCAATCAGGTGCAAGCGTCAGGGGCCACCCCTGACGTGGGGGAGCTCTGCGCGCGGAAGCCCGATCTCAGCCGCGTGGCCACAGCATTTCCTGGCCACGCCTTTCCACCTACAATCGAGTTCTTGCAGGAGCACGGCACAACCTTCCACTTGCACCGGGTGAAGGGGCGACGCTTCACTGATGTCCATGGCTACATCGAAGGAGTGGTGATCGAGGTCACCTCGCTGCACTGTGTGGTCGGCAGCTTTGAGGTCCTCATGCGGATTAGTGCTGCGCATGAATTCGACCCTGCTGAAAGCCAAAGTTCCTCAGATTCTAGCTTGTGAAGGCGCCCAAGCATACATGCAGCACTGCATTTTTTTAGTGGCCAAAAAGGAAGTACAGTTTGGCCCTTTCCTCTTAGATGAGGCGCTATCGGCCATTACATCTGGAACACAATGCTAGTCAAAAGAGTTTGCAGATGCTTTCTTGCTACTCTTTGTTTCGTGTGGGTATTCATATCAAGGGAAGGGCTTACTTAGATTGGGATGAAATGCAGCGCCTTATCGGGTGGTCGGGACCCAGTTTTTGGCACAACGTGCGTCAACATGTTGATGTGGCAAGGCCAGGAAGCAAACCAGGACCAAATTTTTAACCCAAAAAACATTGCTAGAGGAATTTTGAAAAACAAGATAATAGACAGCGAAACAAAACACCCTGCCGCACACCTCCGCACCCCAATAATTGGATGGTTAATACTAAATAGACCAAAATTTGTGGTCCCCCAGGTCCTTAATTGTGCCCCATACCCGTTTTTTGAAATTAGCAGATTCTCGTGGACCAGGCAGTCCTACAAATGCCCATCGTGCCGAGCTATTCCCCCACGCTGGTGGAGCAGGACGTGTTTTCTTCGCGGAAATATCGCGATGGTACGCTGAGCAACTCAAATGTCTGATATATATATATAAATATATATATATATATATAGTAACCAGAACAGGCACACTAATTTTTTGCGTATCTGAGATTACAAGTGAGCCATCTGGTCTGGATTCACTGGGAAATAGTGTTTTTGTCGAAATCTTTGTTGAACATTGGTCTGATGTGCAGATTAAGGGATTGACACCTGGCCATAAATGGAAAAATTGAAGATCTTAAACCAAAAGAATTGGAGATGAAATAGACATCATGGGTGAGATACATCCACGATACATGGTCTTGCAACAAAAAATGGTGTTTTGCAAGATGAATGAATCGTGCCCCCGGTCCACATGTTCCCCAAGTGCATCATTTTTTCATTTTTGCTACATGGGGTGATCTCACAGCTGATTTTCATCGTTTTCCCATCAATTCTACTGTTACATTGCCATTTCTGGTTGGTGGTTTCAAACATGAATGGATTATGACTACATTTCATACATGGGATGTCATTTTTCCCATTGACGAACTCATATTTTTCAAGATGGTTTTTTAACCACCAACCAGATTATAGATCCATTTTTCATGGTTAAATTGGTTAAACCTCCATTTTTCATAGGAAAACAACAAGATGGTTAAAACCACCAACCAGAGTATACTTGCATCCCCAAATTGGTGTTTTCCGTTGCAAATCACCGGTCCGTTCCAAGTGGTCCGAAACGGTCCGTTTCGGACCAGTGGATCTTGGAGGCTGACAGCAGCCGGTCGGGTCAACAATTGTCAGGCCGCCAAGAGCCATTAGGTCAGATCCGCAACGATGGAGATAATAATAAAATATAATAATAATAATCATCATAATATATAATTTATATAATCATAATATATCATAATATATAATGGTCCTTGAAGAATCGTGAAGATGAATTTGTTGACCAAAGAACGGTGAAAAGCATGGTTCAGCACTTCAGCATAGCCATTTTTTGAGCATTTTTCCACACCTTTCAAAAGTCTACCTCTGAGTATCAAATAACCTCCACTAATCTTCTATTCGGGGCCCAGATTTTCCTAACCCCAACGTTGGGCTTCGAAGAATGATCCATCCCCCGCGCCGTGCCATGCCGCCGCGGTTGGCACAACGAACGCTTCGCGACCATGAATGAAGAGCCGCTGGAACGACGGCCACGGAAAGAACGACGCAACTAGTCGAAGCCAACAGACGTTTTAGGGGTATACTTAGATGGCAGCCTCGGATTGATATACCCTCTGGTATATTAACATAGACCCTGGCAGATAGGGGTTGGAAGACTAGTTTCCATTAAACATTGGTGATTTTCAGGGTCTATGTTAATTTGCCAGGGAGTATTAGGGGGTACCCCCTAAATAGTGATAATCTGTAGCTGAAACGCTCCCAATCTGAGGTTGACATTATAAAACCATGGGGATATGATGGGATTTTATTGGAGTACAGGGAATAACATGGGCAAACCTTGGTCGTGTAGATAATTGTTGAAGTTTTTGGTTGCTGGGATATGGAACCATCAAAACATTGGCCAAACATGGACAAAACATGGCAAAACCATCAAAACGATTCACTAAAAATGGGGATTTAAGAATGAAGATGTGGGCAGACCAGTTGAAGATAGTTGAAGGGTAGTTGAGTACTCTCATCTTTTGCCATACATTGGGATATTCACTCGCCAACCTCAAATCTAGGTTTATTTTCAGGGCATTTCAGATCGACCATGGTTGGGAGTCCTTGTTTTGAAACCAGGGGAGTCATAGGGATGTGCACTAGACATTGTGATTTTGAAGCAACACAAAATGGGAGATAATTTAATATAACCAAGAATAAACAATGTTATTGGGAAATAGAAACCATCAAGAAATGAATAAGTGGGGGGTTCAATCTCCAAGTCACCCGTTGGTTTCAATACTAAAATGCTCATCCATGACCTTTAGAGATACCCGACTTCGGCAGCCATGCTCCAATCGCTGGAGAACTGGAGCTTGGGGAAAACCGGACATGGACTGCTGGAAAACTGCAATGATCGGCTATGCGTTTTCTCTTTTTTGGGGATGTGGACATATTTTTCTGGTCGATTTTTCTAGGAAGATGAACATCATATCCTCGTCGTTTGTGAAACATCTGATCTCTCCCTACATTCTGGTCGTTGAAAAATTCATGTAGATCCTCCTTTCTGAAAATACAAACGGCCCTTTTCTGGTAGGCTCAGCCACCATTAATTAGTCGCATCTAATTTTTTCGATTGATTCGATCCTTCTTTTTCCATCAACTTTCCGCAACATCTCCATTTTCATTCTTGCGCGTGCAAGCTGAATGATATTTGGCTGCTGAAATTCATTGTTCACAGCCCGATGGAAAGAATTTGATGTGTCCCAATGTCTTGGTTTGGAAGTCTCCTGATTGGAAAGGCATCCCAAGTAGGACAACCTGAAACTGCCTTTCTCTGGGTTTCTCCAAAGGGAACCCTTAAACCAGGGCCCCAATCGGAAACCTCCATGGGCATCTCCAGGATATCATACATATCCCGTATGAATAGAACTCTCTCTCTAATATATCTTATCTAAAGATACATACTGTATAATAATACAATTTTTTTTGCATATATGGCATATAAGTGCCTTAAAACAGTGGTTCTTTTCAGCACCCTCGCGATCTTCCCATCGCAGGCGACGGTCGATGGAAATGTCAACTTCGTTGCGGCCTGGTAGCGGCGGCGCTGCTCGTGATTTTGGTCAACTGCCCGGGACTCGCCTCAGTGTGGCCATGGAACGAAGTGCCTCGGTGGACGGAAGATCCACTGTTTGGGTGGGGAAAACCTGGGAAATTCATGGGAAAATGCCTATAAATGGAGGTTTTCACCATGGCAAATGGGGACTGAACTCGGACAATTGGCGGATCAATAATGACCTTCTTTTCCTCTCTCTCTCTCTATATATATATACACATACTAAAGCCAATGATTATTCTGGATCAATTGAGTCAAACATGGATCATGAATGAGCCACCCAGATCAATGACATAGGTCCTTATCCATGATATTGACATAGGGGTACATATGTGCATATTATGTATATATACACTGTATTTATCCACTCATTTATGAATGATACATAGGGGCATCGATGGGGCATCAATCAATGGGGTAATGGGGTACAAAATTCACGATTGAACCCATTCAAGAACCCCATTTTTACTAGATGGTTCAAACCAATTTTAATGAGGTGTAAATTGTCAAGTTCCCAAAGTGGTCTATTGCAGGATTGAACCACCAATTTTGGGGGCTTCATCGTAGCCAATTGCCGGGAAATGGCTGAATCATCAGGAAGTTTGCGGAGTTGGCCACATATGGCGGGTGCAAAAAGCATGGCTATACATCATCTGATATACCACCCATTAGCTATAGATATATATCTACCATAAGCCATAGTTATACCACCCAATTTTCCATGGCAAAATTTTGGGTTTTGAACAGCAAAGCTGAAATTTTTGGGATCAGCCTTTGGTAGAGATTAATATTTGCCGTAATTTCACCTCGAAGCAGGACAGCTCCAGTTGGGGTGTTGAATATCAGGGTGATGGGACGACACAAATCTTGGTGGGCTAGCCACCCAATATGGTCTAGTGAGTCTCATCCAAAGTATGTTAGTTTTTTGTTTCTCTTAAATATAGAGGACTCTATATAAACTCTAACCATTTGTGTTGAGTATCTTAAGTAGCGTTGTTTGTTTCTTTTTTTCGTGCATTTTTTCTTCTCCCATGATCATCCCAGGTCAAGTGAATCAAAAAATCAATGACCAGTGAGATTTTTAAACTACAGAAGTATCATTGACTTTAAATGATTTTAAGATATATAAGAATGGTTAACATAGGTACGAAGAAAAAATATAAGTTATAGGTGATGATTGTAAGTTACCATGATATGGGATGATAAGTGTTAAGTCTTATCCCCGCTTATCATCCCACGTCGTCCTTATGCCATGCCCAGGATATCAAGAACTACCTGGACCTAATGCAGGTCACCCAAGAAGAGCCTTGCGCAAAGACATGATGAAATTTTACTGTTGATAGGAACCTTAAAAGTGGGATATATATATATATACGTATAATATATATATATATATGTATTATTGGGATTGAATGGGATTAAACAGTTTGATCTGGAAAATGGATCTGGAAAATGGATGCCAATGGTCCATGAAAATAGATGATTTACCTATTAAAACTGGGCTTTTTACAGTCCGAAAAGATGCTGAATTAGTTAGCTAACTCAGTGAACATAGCTCCAATTTGCTAGCGGACTGTTTGCCGGACCATGAATTTGGGGTGGGCATGGGGTGGGGTGGGGTTGGGGTGGGGTGGGGTGGGGTAATAACGTACGTTGCACTTGCTTCGTCACTGACTTGCTACGCCACTTACTTGCTACGTGTCAACATGGGGATGGGGTGGGGTGGGGTGGGGTAATAACGTACGTTGCACTTGCTTCGTCACTGACTTGCTACGCCACTTCCTTGCTTCGTGACAACATGAGGATGGGGTGGGGTTGGGTAATAACGTATGTTGCACTTGCTTCGTCACTGACTTGCTACGCCACTTACTTGCTTCGTGACAACATGAGGATGGGGTGGGGTGGGGTCATAACGTACGTTGCATTTGGGACGCTGATGAAAAGTGCAGTGCCAAATTCTCTCTCATCTCACACCAATGGTAAAGCCAATCCTTTGATGTGGGAATACATCCGCAGCCAACAATTGCGTTGGGAACTTGGTTCAGAGTCTTTGCTTGTGAAAACAGGCCAAGCTCTGGCAAAGCTGTGAATGCTGGCAAAGGAAAAAGATGCGCTGTCTATTCGACTCGTTTCAAGCACAAAGACACTGCAAGGGTTGCAACCTGAAGCAAAACGCAACATCTTTTATGAGACCATTTTCAATCAGAAAATTGAGCTGCTGTGCAGATCAAACCAGGTTTTTGGCAGAATCGTGCGACGGTAACGAATCCGCCGGGTCCAATTTCACTAGACTTTATGGAGTATATAACGAACTAGTTACTATGGTTTATAAACAAACTTATAACTGGGGGGGCACCACCTTGTTGATGTTTGGAAGCTATTTTCCAGCTTTCCAACTTTCCAACTTTTCGGTAAGCTGTGGGTAAAACAAGGTCATGAACCACGAATTTGGGAATGGTAAACATACCACCTATAAAAATGGTGATGACTGGGGGATGGTTTATGAAATTGCTTTAACCACATTACACACACACATTTTTGTGAGGATTAGTTCCCGGCGACGTGGAGGAACTGCACAGGGATTTTTTCGCCTGTTGCATCCCAAAAACGAGATTTAACCTCGGGTAATCGAAAATAGCAATGGAAAGTCCACAATTTATAGATGATATGGATGATTTTACAGATTACATAATTCTCCTTTCACGGGGCATTTCCCATTGCCATGTTTAAATACCGAAGTCCACGTTTGATGCTGGTGTGTGAGGTGACACCAGCTAGTAGCTAGCAGCCATCAATCATTTATCTCAAGGTCAGAGAAGTAAAATGGTGTGGGTCAAAATAGATACCCCCTAAAATATTTTCAGGGTCAATACTGCAATTGTAACCAACATATGTGGTCCCTGTGTCTTGACTTTTGACTCATACCCAAATGTAAGCACAGGGGCTGAAAAAATGTGGGTTTGGCGCAGGAAACTTAGCTTCCCTCTTTAATGACCAGGCGTTTGACCCACTCCTGTTTTGAACCTTTCAAGATTTGTTTCATGCACCTTCTGGTAATTTAATGTAGCTATGGACAATCACTACTTTTAACACGAAAATCACCATCAATCATCTATAAATGGGCAATTTCCACAGCAACCTGTTAAATAATCAAAGGGTATCTTTTCTTCCCATTTATTGTTTTTTCTGAGGCCTTAGAATCCCAAATGTAATCCCTTCCCCCATTCAGTCCTTAAACAACTAAGGTGGATGTGGGGTATAAATACGCGGATTTGGGACCATTCTACATAGGGTGCGTATGACTTATGGTGGATGTGGTTATATATAATCGAATATATGATATCCATGATTGGGCTCATTAAGGGCAAAACTCGACCATCAACAACTGATATTTTTAATATGATTGTATTTTATCGGATATTGTTATTATCATATTCAACAACCATCAACAATATAATGTGGTTAAACCAACAATAATCCATTCCCAAATTCACCATAAATGGGTGGTATGGTTACCATTCCCAGTCATGGGATGGTTTATGACATTGTTTTAACCACATTAATAACACCCTCTGGCTATTTAACATAGCCATGGAAAATGGCCCATAGAAATAGATGGTTTACCTGGGTTTACCTATTAAAAATGGTGGATCTTCCCATGGCTATGTTAAATAGCCAGATGGTACATCTTAAGGGTTCATGAACCATAGCATTTACCTTTTGGATGGTTGAATCAGTTGAATCCCCATGAAACAAAAATTGGATGTTTTTTTTGATAAATTGTGTTTTTTTTCAACTGGATAAACTAATTATGTTATACCGAACATATAATATATAAATATAATCGCCATTATAATCACTAGAGTTATGTTATAATCAACTAATTATATATATCAAAAAATCATAGTGATTATAATGGCGATTAAAAAACATTGTGGTGTCTTAAAGCATGGTAATATTTCAAGGGTCTGAAACACCAAGCATCAAATCGTTTTGGATTATAAATGGATTATCATCATTTTCCCTCTTAACACACACATATATATATACACCCTCTGGTAAACTAACACAACTATGGAAAATCACCCTTATTCATGGGAAAATTCACTATTTCTATGGCCATTTTCAATAGCTTTTTGTATGTTTACCAGAGGGTATATACTATAAACCTGACCATATATCATATATCTCATGAAATCCCCCGCGTTTCTTAGTGAAATCATCCTTCTCCGGCGGATTTTCTGCCACGAGGAAGCAGGGATGCTCTTTGGCCTCACGCAGAACGGCAAGGTCTTCTTTCATGCCAAGGCCGATGGCACCGTCTTCGTGCGACCTGGCGGTGATGGGATGGGTAACGGGTGATGGGGTGGTTTTATTGGTTGGTGATGGGGTCGGATTCTTTTTCGGATTTTTTTCGGAAATAATCACAGATTTTTGGATGATTTAAGTATGATTGACTCTAAAATGGAACATGATTTACGGACAATTTACGGACAAAAACAACTCAACTTTAATAGGCTTTGAGATAAATCTTAGGGGTTTTATCTGGGTGTTGAACTGTGCTGTAGCCGTGAAAATCTGTAGCCGCTTGGGGCGATGATCAGGATCTTTGCTTGGCGCACTGGACGGGTCGCACCCAATCATCCAACTTGCTGTAAGCGCTTCAGTGGAAAGCAAAAGAAACCCTACAGGATGGGGCCCCCAAGATAGCTAAGTTGAGATATAAAGGGCTTAACTATGGTATATGGTAGATATAACTGTAGTTAATGGGGGTTATTATGATGGTTTATAAACCAACTTATAACTGGGGGGGGGGCCATCCTGGGACGCATCTGGTCGTGCACATGTACAAACTCCCCGCAGTTTCCTGGTTACACAAATCCCAGTATTGGTTCACGACAGTGTTGCTTCACCACAGAGTCATTTTGGGTGAATCTCTATTCACCAGCTGGTTATTCAATGGGAGATCTCCAGGATCCTAAATTGGAGGTACGTTAGTACCATAGTTTTGGCCATATGAATTGTGGGGATATTCCCTAAAAAATAGGCCTGAAAAATAGGTTATTCCCCCTTTTTTCTTCAAAAAATTCTGCGAAATCATTTCCGTGACTCCAGTGACCCTGTGCAGGGTTTCCCCGCATGATCGGGACTTATTCAACCAGGGTTTTTCCTAGAACGATTTTTCCCGAAAAAAACAATCCATTTGAGATTGTGTCAAGAGTTCAGATTTGGGAATGATATCAGAATTTATCGGAATTCAACTACTTGTCCAGATATTCAGCATTACCCTCTGGCAATCAGTTACATGGCGTTTTTGAAATCCACGAACTAAATGGTGTTTGAATCAGAGAATCATCGAACTAAATGGGAGATTTTATACAGCGCGTCATGTTTGATCACTGGAGGGTACATACATGACAACATATATTGAGCATTGAATCCACCACCAGATTTTCATTAAGGACATCATGAATTGCCCAGATTATGGTTTGACTCCCAACTTGTTTTCATCATGTGGACATGATCTCATGGTTCATTCATGTGTATCATCAGTTATCCAGAATACATAATCAATATAATTACATTAGAATCCACTATAATCCATGATAGTTGGTTGATAAGCCCCTATTAATTAATGGTTGTTGCTGGTTTATCCTAAGTTACCCAGAATACATTCAACAACGTCCCTCCAAGCTTCATCTGTATAAACTAGACAGCGTCACTGCGACGTCGCTGGCAACTGTCCCAAAGTTGCCTCACATTTCAGTTTACAGAATTGTTGATTCTCTCCAGATACACTAGCATACGGCGTAGCCAATATCTCAAGCATATAGCATATCTATGATGGATTTAGATGACTAGAAACGGTAGCTATGTCTGACATATTAGCTATATCACTATATTCGGTATATATATATAAATACACATATACAGATTGTCTATATACATACAGACTATATATATATATACATGTATTGTTCCAAGGCAGTTGCGCGGGGATCCTTGCGGTGGCGTTTGGGGCAAACCCATTGACCTGGACGCCTCGTCTCGGGCCATTTGGGTAGTGCCTTGGCGAAAGGGCGGTGTAAGGAGGTTCATTTGCACATTATATGTATATATGTATATGTATGTATATGTAATGTATGTATGTATGTAATGTAATGTAATGTAATGTAATGTAATGTAATGTATGTATGTATGTATGTGTATGTATGTATATATATATGTAGGTATATGTATATGTATATGTATATGTATCTGTATATGTATATGTATATGTATGTGTATGTGTATCTGTATGTGTATGTGTATGTGTATGTTCATGTGTATGTGCATGTGTATGTGTATGTGTCTGTATGTGTATGTGTATGTGTATGTGTATGTTTATGTGTATGTGTATGTGTATGTGTATGTGTCTGTATGTGTATGTGTATGTTTATGTGTATGTGTATGTGTACATATACATATACATGTACATGTACATGTACATGTATATGTATATGTATGTATATTTATATGTCTAGATATGGATATGTACATGTCTATATCTATATCTATATGTATAATACATGCTGGCATACGACAAAAAACATCTTTTTGGGATCAACATATCACACAGTGGAGGTGGTTTCCGTTATTTTTCCTAAGCGGTTTCGTTCAACAAGGTCATTTATGGGGATATAATGGGATGAACAGGGATATCATAGGGACATATGTTATATAATGGTTATAATAATGGTTATGTAATGGTTATAATTATCAAAATATCACCATAATTATGGTATACCCTTTGGTAAACTAACAGTTTGCGAACTGGAAAATCAGCACCTTTTCATAGGTAAAACAAGTATCAATGGACCATGTTCAATAGCAAACTGGAAGAAATTACCATAGGGTATAATAGAGAAGCACCACAAAAAGGGGATGTATGAGTTTGTCCCAATTTTTATCATGGGGAAGTGAAGGTGTCACCAATCCCCAGATAGCATGGAGGTACTTTTCTCACTGCCTGGTACAAGTAAATGAGGGCTCAACGGGTGATGGACCTTGAAAAATCCAACGGTGTCTGGTAAACATAGATGTCCTTTTCCCATTGGTTGGTTGATTAATAGAGGGGTTTGAAGAAACCCCTTTAACAACAGGTAAATGATGATAATTAGATGGTATAACAACCCGGCGAATTCCCAGATTTCCCACATGGTCATTGCGTGGGACGGCGTAAACGGAAGCTTTAAGGGATTAATTTTAGACCAACTACCCTCTGGTGAACTGTCCCATAACAATGGCCATTTTCAATAGTTTTTTGTATGTTTACCAGGCCGGGTAATTATATTTTCTGATCAAAAGTAGAAGGGGATTAGCTAGTAGTGCCAAAGATAATTCATGATCTTTGAGAAATCCACATATGGAAATAGATTGGGAATAGATGTCCAATCATAAATTATATATAATATATATTTCGCATACTTTTCATGATCCAGAGGTTTCCATATAATATTTTTTTCTCATATCAGAGGTTTCGTACAATATATCATATATTTCACGTCATATTTATTTCCCATACTATTTCTCATATATAATTTATATATCATTTATATTTAATGTATCCCATATATTTCCCATACTATTTCATGATCCATGTCGGACAATGTCGAACATTTTCCTGAGGTTTGCAAGAAAGAATACATGACAGACAGTGGCCCACGCGTGGAACACTTCCTCTTCGCCAAGTGGGGTTGGTCTTCCAGCACCTGAGATCAGCGGATCCGTTAGATTCATGGGGTTGGAATGGGAATATCATCATCCACAGGAATATAATCAATGGCCATTTCAGGAACCTAAATTGGAGGTACCTACCATATATAAGGCTTATTGTTCAGGCCTAAATTTCAGGGGATATACCCCCAACATATGGCCAAACATATGGTACTAACGTACCTCCATTTTAGTATTGGATATAATCATATCATATCCCATGACTATTCATTATGGCTATATCCTCCACCTACAGTGGGCAATGTTGCGGTTGATAGGAAGCCCCAATAAGATCAATAAGAGATACCCTCTGGTAATTTGTTACATAGCTATGGAAATATCCACCATTTAGTTCGTGAGTTTTCCCATGAAAAATGGTGGATCTTTCCACAGTTATGGGACAGTTTACCAGAAGGTAATGATGATTATGGGAATGAATATAGCATGGGATATATAATCATATCATATTCCATGAATATTTCCCATCATATTCCCAATAAGATAGAATGAATACAATGACTATTATTGGCATGTTCATCAGTTTCACTCCAAAATTATGGGAATATCATCATGGATTTCCCATGAACCCCCTATAATTCGAATGGTTTTTCCGATATTTTCTCCAAATCCCATAGGTAAATCAACGAACAGAATGTGCCGAAAATAGCAAACTGGAAGAAATTACCAGAGGGTAACCACCAGAAATAGGCACTCAACCAGAAAAACCGCTTGGGAGAATGGTGGTACTGTCTAGGAAATCGTGCACCAGTTGGTTTGTTTGACTGTTCTGGTTATCCCGTTATTTACAGTGTTTCGTGGTTACCAATAGTTATACAAATTAGTGCAGGAACTCTTCCATCCACTTAGTCTACGGTACTTGCCAACAATGCTGCTTTTCCAGTTCGCTATGTTAGATTACCAGAAGGTAAATCCCATTAAATCCCAATACTGTTCCATTAATATCCCATTAGATCCCATTGATATCCCATTAAATTCCACTATATAAATTCCATAGATATTTTGAACTATCATATGCTTGGGAAACTCTATTCGTAGCTCCTTGGCTCCCCTTTTTTTGCAGGGAATAGGATACCCCTAGCTCCGAATCGCTCCCACAAAAACCATTCGACAGTAAATTACCAACAGCTAAATCCCATGAAATCCTACCAATATTCCATTCATATCCCATTTCATGCCCATTTAACCCCATGAAATCCATAGGCAAATGGTATGTTGTGCATTAAAACCTCCATTTTTGGAGGATCTTCCAGGAGTGGGTGAAAACCCTTCCACCTACCAAAACAGCTAGTTTTTCAATGGATCTTCCTGGCCTCTCACATGGAGATTTATAGATGATTTGCATGAGTGTAGATGGCTATAGATTTATAGATGATATGTATATATTATATGTATAATATGTATGTATATATGTATAACATATATATATAATGTGATACATTTTTATATAGATCTATTTATTATTCGATTTATTTTTTTGGACCATGCCAGTCATTCTGGGTGTATGCCACTAACGTAAGCTATGCATAGATTCCTTCAAGCCTCATGAGAAGCATGGAATTCACCGTGTTTTTGATCTCATGGGGGCCTTCAGTTTTTTCATTCGGAAGCCATGACATATCCGGTTGGTGGTTTATCTATGGGATTTTGGTTGGATCATCTATGGTTAATAGTGATTAGTGATGGGTGTGTAACCAACAATAGTAATCTGGTTCATATTCAACATGTTATAACCAGCAACAATGGATGAATCATGGATAATCTATGGTTTTTCTAGTGGTGAATAATGGGCTTATAACATATTCAACCATGGATGAATGGATATCTGGTTGGTGGTTTCAAACATTTGGATTATTTTTCCATCATGTATGGGATGTCATCCTTCCCATTGACAAATATATATATATATTTTTTTTTCAGAGGGGTAGGTATACCACCAACCAGATACCCTCTGGTAATTTAACGTAGCTATTGGAAATCACCATTTTTAATGGGAAAATCAACTATAAATGGCCATTTTCAATAGCTATTTTGACATCACCAGAGGGTATCATTTAGTGATCTTTGCTTCGGCATCATGGACGGTCCCAAGGGGCATCTGACATTGGTATCTCATTTACTTTTCTTATGGGAGAAGTCGCGACCAAAAGGTACCAAAACCATATGTCGTTGCAACCTCGGAACCACCGAACCTCATGGGTCAATGTTTTGCCTCAAACTGGATGGTTTGAGTTTTCAACATGTCGAATTCTTCGTGAGTCGTTTTAGAATCTCAGAACAGATTTATGGGGATATACCATCCATTAATCACGAAAAAACTACGGTTAGAATAAGATGGGATTCTTTTTTGCATCCAGATTTAGGAGGTAACCGTTTTGTAACCCCCAGTCCGGTCGATGCAACCCTCCAGGTTTACCAGGTTAAAAAATGATCTAGTCACATCTGGTGGGTGATTTGCTGAGGCAACAACCACGTGTGGTGGCACATGATGCGAGGTGGTAACGTCGTGCCTTGGAGATGACGAGGTTCCTCCAGACAAGGGGGGCAAAATTTGGTCAACCTGGGGGGTGGTGGGAAAATCCCAATGATAATATGTATATATATATATATACATTAAAGGATACGAAAAAACCCAATTCCTACAGATATTAGTAGGAACTTTGTATGTTATATAAAGTTTCGCCGATGAATTTGTTTTTTTTGCACATAAGATGTTTTAGTATTGGAAGGTTACGCCAACAAGTCAGTTCTGCAGAACTAAAACTCATGATGGTATAAGGGTATAATGTCCACCCCAGATCAATTAACTCTGGTTGATTAATTCTATTGGGGGTTACCCCCAAATAGAGATATCATTTTGTACAAAGATGGTAGCCTTCCAATAGTCAACGGCGCCCTAAAACTTCGGGGGAAGTCACTTTAGACTCCAGTGTCCAGCATTTTTTGGCACTGGGATGTTCGATGAAGCGAACCGCTGATGTTAGGAAGCAGGACATGTTAATGATACATCCCGATCAGGTGGTTTAACTTGTTGTCAATGGGAGATCTTCAGGATCCAATACATGGAGGTACGTTAGTACCATATAAGACCATATGAATTGTGGGGATATTGTCCTTACATAGGCCTTATATAGGCCTTATATAGGCCTTATATATGGTAGGTACCTTCAATTTAGGTTCCTGAAATTCCCATTGATGTTGAAACACAAGACACACATAATTAGACATAAACTAATCAAATTGACCAATTAATCAAATGAATCACTTAATCAATCCATCCCTTCCCTCTTGTGTTGTATAATGACCTACAGGATGTGGCCCCCCAGTGATGTGAATGTTGGTTTATAAACCATAAAATAACACCCATGAAAACTAGTCCGTTATGTCTACCACATACCATATATCTACCATACACCCTATATCTACCATATTCCATATAGTTATATCTACTCCCCATTAACTATAGTAGTTACCGTAGTAGTTACCCTCTGGTTATTTAACATAGCCATGGAAAATGGCCCATTTATAGATGATTTCCCCATTAAAACCTCGATTTGTCAGGGATTTTCCATGGCTATGTTAAACAACCAGATGGTATATATATATATATCTACTGAAATCTCAACTGAACGCGAGCTCGACTGGGGGCCCCAGCCTGTAGAAACGAGGTGCAAATGGACGCCGATGATGATGTGGCACGGATGAATTGAACCTGGTTTCACCCCCAAAAAACAGGGGGTTTTGCATGGTTTTATGGGACATATCCACTAGAAATGGAGGTTTTATATGGTTTTATGGGAAAATCATGGGAATATATGGGGATACCCGGCCTGGTGATTTGTTCCAGTTTGCTATTGAACATGGTGATTTTCTACAGCTATATATGTATGTTTACAGCTAGGTTAACCATCAAAGATGATGGGGATATCTTTGTGGATATAACATGATATAACTAATACCCGGCCTGGTAAACATACAAAAAGCTATTGAAAATGGCCCAGTCGAAATCGTGAATTTTCCCATGAAAAATTGTGGATCTTTCCATAGTGACGTAAACGCTTACCAGAGGGTAAATGATGCTTGGTTGATGATTTCCCTAGGGGATTATACTCTTCAGTATATTGGGGATTGTCGGGATTGTCATTATCCATGAACTATTTTCAACCAACCTGGAAAATGACGTTGCATGTTTTGTTATTTAAGGGCACTTGACTCCAATTTACTTCTCAGGGCAGTGATGCTTTCCGCTTCGCACTCAGTCACTCAAACCCTGCACAAAAATTGTAACTTCGAAAGGTGCCCAATTGTTCAGATTCAAGTACCCTCTGGTAAACTGTCCCATAACTATGGAAAGATCCACCATTTTTCATGGGAAAACTCACGAACTAAATGGTGGATATTTCCATAGTTACGTTAGTTTACCAGAGAGTATCGGTTGGAGCTTTTCAGCCGCCCAAGGCTATGTGGGGCCTGGATGGCCACGGAAGTATTTTGTGGCGCCCTGCAGGGGATGTGGGGAAACACAGCAGGTGGCTACGATGCTTGGAACGCCAAAAAGGGCGGCTGTCAGGTTAGCCGCTGGGGAAGATTTGTGGCACTACAGCATTAAAGTCTAACCACCATAGACTTAGAACTGAATTTCGATATATAAAAAAACCCAAAATCGGAGGTTGATTTTTGGGTTTATCACTTTAGAAGCTAGGTATTCCAAGAAGAAACACTCATCTAACCATAAATCAGGCTTTCACCACCAGGGTTTTAGCAGCAAAAGTCGGGAACAGTAGCAGTCACTAGAAGTGGACACGAATGGCAGCAATTCAGCAGGATTGCATAGATTTCGATGAGAATTCAGCACCAAAAAATGAACTCAACGCAACAAGATGATGTTTTCGTTGCCAGTCCTTGTGGTTCCTCAAGCTACAAAAAAAGTATCGGACATGACCGACCCAAGCCCATTACTTGTTGCCCAAAAACTAGGTGGTTCCAATATGGCAGTGTGTCAAAACCTTGTACCCCTGGTGAACATCAAAATAGCTGGTAAATGGATGTTCATCCCACTAAAAATGGTATTAATAGGTATTGATCCATACCCATATTTGGATCAAAGACCCAACATTCAACAGGTTCGGGTGTCTCAGTAATGGATAACGAGCAAAATTACAGGAAATCCTTGTTTTTAACGGCAAAAGTCACACTTTCCTGTAAATCATAAAATCCGTTCAAATCACAATTTGGGGTGGTTTATCATTAATCCGCATCTTTTTCATTTTGGTGGAATCCCACTTTTTGCCGATTGATTCAAACCCGGCAGTTTTGATGGTTAAATCCACCTTGTTGACAACCAACCCCATATCTTGGTTGAAAAATCACAGATTTCCGACCATCAATCCCATATCTGTGATAAGATCACCATTCCATCTTGATTTCATGTGGGGGTTTCCATAGTCATCCCCCAGTTCTCATCCATTTTAGATTGGGATTTTCCATGAAATTTGCACCATCCAATGCTCGCTTGGGGTACACTTATATACCATCCATTTTTCATTTTCTACACCATTCATTTTCATAGGATTTTCCATGGAATAAACCATCCATTTTCCATGATACACCATTCACTAGATTGGGATTTTCCATGGAATAGAGCATCCATTTTCATCCATTTTCATTATATGCCATTTTGTGGAACCCCCCATGTTTAAGTCCATTTTACATCCCTATTTTCGATGCTGAAACCATGACCTAGGACTCGATGGTCCCGCTGGGGTGGAGCTTAAACTCATCGCTGCAGACAACGATGAGGTGCCTTTGGTTGGTTAGAACTGGGAGGTTAGCCATAAAAATGGGGGCGTTAAGGCACAAAACATGGGGCTTCACCAAGAAGAAACCATAGCTTTCATCCTATATATACACCTATTAATGGGTATGGATCAATACCTATTAATACCATTTTTAGTGGGATGAACATCCATAAATCCCAGCTATTTTGATGTTCACTACAGGGGTACCAGGTTTTGACACGCTGCCATATGTTTGTTTAACTTTCAACCGTAGAAATGGGATGATGACCAACAAGGTTGGTAGATGTTGCGAGCGGAAACACAAGGTTGGATGAGTTCCCTACAGGAGCACAGGTTTTTTTTGCCACAATTGGACCCACAAAACCATTTTTAATGGGAAAACCATGGGAAAATCACCATTTTTAATGGGAAAACCTCTTCAAATCAGCGGTTTGTCGTCCTAAAATCTTTGGTTGGCAAACATCTTACCCGGCCTGATAAACTGTCCAAAATAACGAACTGGAAAGATCCAGCATTTTATAGCTGGGAAAATCCACTATTTGGACTGGGTCATCTATTCCATAGCAAACTGTTGACATAACCTGAGGGTAGTTGATCCAGAGACCTGGTGCAACATTTTTTTTTTAATGGGCACCAGGTCCTGGAAGTCCTTCGACACTGTCACCCCTCAAATGTTCTCAAGACACATTTGCAAAGACAAATGTTCATGAAAATGATTGGTTGGTGATATCACAAACTGATTGGTGGTTTGGAACATTTTTTTTTTCCAACTGACTAATATTTTTCAGAAGCATTGAAGCCATGAACCAGACTTAAATAATCTGCTATTCTGGGTTGATCTTGTTCCCCATTGGTTTGCCAAGTCTCGTTTGATCCCAGATCATATCCCCAATTCCCCCTAGTTCCTATGCAAACCCTGTTGGAACAATCCATTTGTTATTTTTGGATATCGTGAGCAGTTTTTTTCTCTAGCCAACAAACAAAATGGGCATCGAAGAAACTTGAAGAAACATGAGCCAAGGTGGCCTCAGAATTGCTACAAGTAGCACTGATCCACCACTGGTTCTGGGTAAATCATAACGACCTCACTGTTCTCCCGAACCCTGGAATCATGGTTTAGATATAGGGAAATCATCCCCAAATGGCCCAACAATTCAGGTTAGTTGACGGAGTGGACCTACCATTTTTGTAGAGAAAATCCCCTGGAAAATCCCCAGCCTTTTTGTGCCATCGCATGGTTCACCATGGATTCACCAAACTGTTGTAGAAGAAGTCTCTTATTCAGTGGGGTTGGTATAATTCAATGGGGATAATGGGATAATTCACCATGGGTTGGTATAATCTATGGTATAAATGGTATGTTTTTGTTTTTTAAATACATGTCCATTTTTTCTTTCACATCAACTAAAGTAAAGTAAAGTAAAAAAGGAGATATGTCATCTCCAACAGGTACGGCTTCACCCTTCAAGTGATGTGAATGTAATCCTCCAAAGCGGGACATTGACCAAGCCCTGTTTAAGACCCCCATATCCTAAAATATCACATAGGTATGGGTCAAAATTAGGTACCCCAAAATTATGGATGGTTAATACTAAACTAGACTAACATCTGTGGTTCCCTAGGTCTTCCATTTTGACCCACATCCAAATAGCTATTTTCAAATACTGGTGATCACTGCTAGTGCTACCCAACACACAGTGACACATCTGTATCTCGAGGATCGCCCCGTAACTTTTTGGGGCTTAGTAACGCTGACTGGGAATCACTGCTTTGTTCACCACCAATGTCAAAATAGCTATGGAAAATGGCCATTTATATAGGACATATCCACTAGAAATGGAGGTTTTATATGGGAATATATGGAAATATATGGGAAAATCATGGGAATATATGGGGATACCCGGCCTGGTTATGTCAACAGTTAGCTATTGAAAATCGCCCAGTCGAAATGGTGAATCTTCCCATTAAACATGGTGATTTTCCATAGTTATGGGACAGTTTACCAGAGGGTATACCACAATTATGGGTATATTATCACGAAAGCCAGCCGAAGGCCTGGGCTTGAGTATAGGTATAAGCGAAGCGAAGCGAAGCTAATCTAGGGGGTGTGGGGGGGGGGGAGGCCCGAAATCGGTCCGTTTTTGAAAGGTGAGGCCGGAGCCTGGGTGGGGAGAGCTCAAAAACCGACCTGCCGTTTGCCTGGTTTTTTGGGCCCGAACGAGAGGCTCCATTTTGGACACTTGTTGGTGGTTTTCGACGGTTTTCATCGGGTTTCAAACGCCGAAACACTGTAATTTCCGGTGTTTTTGTGCGTTTGGCCTGGCAAAAGTACGTCTTGCAACATGCTGAAAACTGCGTAAATACCACTGTTTTTGCTAGGTTCTGGCCATAAAACACTGTAAATACCGTGGTTTTTGGTTCCAGGGGCAAAAAACACCGCAAATACAGTGGTTTTGGGATTCGGGGAATGTAAGCTGCAAGAGATCAGCTTTTGTTTTCTCTGCTTGGAGCAATAGCTCCAGACATCAAGGCGATGGCTGACATCATTGTCTTTATTTTGGGGTCGTGGCTGTTGGGGACTTCAGCTACACATTCTTTTCATTTCGTGCTAAACACTAGCAGCGCAGGGGCAACATTGGCTGTCTAGCAGTCAGTGAAAAACATTGCGGCACAGCTGCTGTTCTGCTATTTTGGAACGGAACCAAGACTAGACAAGGAACATAAATGAATGGCCAAACAATGTCAAACCTTTCTTGGCCAGGCCATGTGTGTGCTGCTGCTGCTGCTGGCCGCCTGTCGCAGCTGTGTTCCTGCACACGCAGCTGAGGCCATATTGCTGCTGCAAGACTGTGGGGTTGATAATGTGAAATAATTGCACATAAATGAGAAAAAACAAGAAAACTAATTATAAGTAAATTCTATGTTAATAACTTTTTGTGGTCATTGAAGCAGCAAACTCCTCACAGCTTAAATAGCTGGCAGGAAGCAGGGAAAGACCAGCAGGACGCTGTTGTCCTCATGGTTTGGGAAAGTTTGACTTGTCCTTACTCATGATGAGGTAGGACCCATGTGACGTTGGCTGCTGAGAGGGTGGGAATGTTTCGACCGCAAGCTGGCTTAAAAAAAACTGAACTCGTTCGTATCCATCCCGGTTCCAGCCCTGGCCATGGTACGCTGCTTCCTGCTGTTGTTTCTCTGCTTCCCTTTGGCGTCGACGACCAATGAAGGCGGCTCACAGGCAGGGAGTAAGCAAGCACTCATGTGTGTCACTAACTCTTCTTAGACATGACTGCCAACTGCAGCAAGCTTTGAATCCAATGAGTCGTCATTGTGTGACAGGCCCCAGAGCCTCAGTGGACTCGTGAACAACAGCGACCAGCTGGCCGCTTCCTTGGCCGCCCACCAGCAGCAGCAAGCGCAGCAGCAGCAGATGGCGGCTGCGGCTGCTTGGCAGCAGCACCAGCAGCAGCAGGCAGCTCTGCACCAACAACAACAACAATATGCTGCTGCTGTTGCTTCTCAACAAGCCGCGGCGCAACAAGCTGCCCAAGCTGCCGCGGCCGCTGGCTTGTGCCCTGCGAGTAGTGTCGCCATGACTCCGCAGGGCATCGAGAAGGCGATCCAGGCAGGAATCACAGCGGCTTTGCGGCCATTGCTGGCCCGCTTGCGGGCGTGTGAAGGAAAGGTGAAGGAGATGCGCCAAGGGAAATCTCGAGATGGCGGTCGCGGCGGTGGAGGCCAAAAAAGGCGAGACACTTTCGCCTATTACAAAGCCAATCAGTGGAACAAGAAGAGACAAAGATACCGCAAAGAAGACGACAAAGACGAAGATGAAGAGGAGCCTGACGAAGATGATGCGTCTTGGCAGAGCTGGGACCACACAGGCTGGAAGTGGCAGGACTGGGACAACGGCGGCGGCGACTGGGGCGCCGGCGACTGGGGCGCCGTCACAGGTTGACGGATTGAGCGACCCTAGCATTCGGTCTAAAAAAGGTGCGCTGCAGCTCCGGGGTTGATAATGTGCACTGTGCACGGAACCAAGACTAGACAAGGAACATAAATGAATGGCCAAACAATGTCAAACCTTTCTTGGCCAGGCCATGTTGTGCTGCTGCTGCTGCTGGCCGCCTGTCGCAGCTGTGTTCCTGCACACGCAGCTGAGGCCATATTGCTGCTGCAAGACTGTGGGGTTGATAATGTGAAATAATTGCACATAAATGAGAAAAAACACAAAACTACTAATTATAAGTAGATTATACCCTCAACTACTGAGGGTCTAATATACATGACCCTTAGGGATTTCCGAATGGAGGGTCTAGACTGGTGCCCAAATCATTGTAGACCTTTGTGTTGGTTTCATAGTAGACCTTTGACTTGTACGTCCGTATTTTCACGTTAGACCCTGCGAGCTTTAGACATTTTGACATTGGGAAATCCATGTCAGACCTTTTGCCAATATCTTATATGTTCAAATGGATTTATCCTGGAACATACTCTGAGCTTTACTTCTGGAAGCGCATGCAAACCATTAAGCATTTTTGCCTTTAAACAATCAATGAAACCAAATTAGAGTTGCGGGAAATGCATCTGGGTCTGAAATCATGGTTGCCAAGCTTTCCCGGTGAGAGGCTATCGCTGACAGTCTCCAAATCTTAGACTTAGACCCTTTGGGATGGTTCTGAACTGGTTCCCCAAAAGCATTTGCGTCAGTGAAGCATCGCCAACAGCATGTGACTTTCATTCCAGACCCACTGGATTCCCCAAAAGATCATTCCAAAACCAGTTCCAAACAGAATGCACAGTCTGCCTGGGTGGGCTTCCATGCTCGCATCCTTTCCTGTTCAGAAGGACTAGGAGGACCCCTAAACTCTAAACCACACAACATCTCAAAGGTTCACTGGTGGATGTTGAGCAAAGGAATATCTGGCCAACATGCCACAACCCATGAGAAACCAAAGTCCATCCAAAAATCAGGAGGTGGAAACGCATCAGGGTCTGAAATCATGGTTGCCAAGCTTTCCCGGTGAGAGGCTATCGCTGACAGTCTCCAAATCTTAGACTTAGACCTTTTGGGATGGGTCTGAACTGGTTCCCCCAAAGCATTTGCGTCAGTGAAGCATCGCCAACAGCATGTGACTTTCATTCCAGACCCACTGGATTCCCCAAAAGATCATTCCAAAACCAGTTCCAAACAGAATGCAAAGTCTGCCTGGCTGGTCTTCCATGCTCGCATCCACCCTGTTCAGAAGGACTAGGAGGACCCCTAAACTCTAAACCACACAACATCTCAAAGGTTCACTGGTGGATGTTGAGGAAAGGAATATCTGGCCAACATGCTACAACACATGAGAAACCAAAATCCATCCAAAAATCATGCATCAGGGTCTGAAATCATGGTTGCCAAGCTTTCCCGGTGAGAGGCTATCGCTGACAGTCTCCAAATCTTAGACTTAGACCTTTTGGGATGGGTCTGAACTGGTTCCCCCAAAGCATTTGCGTCAGTGAAGCATCGCCAACAGCATGTGACTTTCATTCCAGACCCACTGGATTCCCCAAAAGATCATTCCAAAACCAGTTCCACAGAGAATGCACAGTCTGCCTGGGTGGGCTTCCATGCTCGCATCCTTTCCTGTTCAGAAGGACTAGGAGGACCCCTAAACTCTAAACCACACAACATCTCAAAGGTTAACTGGTGGATGTTGAGGAAAGGAATATCTGGCCAGAACTTGCTAGACCCCATTAGAAACCAAAAGCCAAGCTTTACTTCTGGAAAGCGCGTGCGGGAAAAAGACAAGCTTCGAGCTCCAGACAGTGAGGTCGAGCTCCAGACAGTGAGGTCAAGGTTGAAAGGTCTAAACTGAAAATCTCGATCAACATGGTCTTTTGACATGAGCAGAAGTACTTTCATGCTAGACCTTTGTCTACGGATCCCCCCCTTGTAGGTCTACTTTGATCTGTGAATATTTCAGAACAACTGAAGGAATAACATATCAGACCCCAAATGTCAGGGTCTACAATGAATTCCCAGGGTCCCAGGCTAGTAGTTGAGGGGATAGTAGATTCTATGTTAATAACTTTTTGTGGTCATTGAAGCAGCAAACTCCTCACAGCTTAAATGGCTGGCAGGAAGCAGGGAAAGACCAGCAGGACGCTGTCGTCCTCATGGTTTGGGAAAGTTTGACTTGTCCTTACTCATGATGAGGTACTGTAGGACCCATGAGACCAAACGGTAGGACTTCCAAAGTCTTCACGTAATGTCACATCATGAAGGTGCGAAGGGGCTGGCTGGCTTCTGCTCACTCAATCATTTTGAATGCCATTCGCCGCAGCTGTTTGAAATTTCCAAGCCTGGAACTAAAAGTCTTTCACCTTGGCAACCAGGACCATGCCGCGTGCGCTTTTCGCGGTGCTTTGCCTGTACTGCCTGGCCACTGGCAAGGTCACTGGCCCCAATAAAAAACATGGGGGGTCGCAAGATGAAGATCCAACTCTGCGCTTGGCGCGCGCAGTGGCTGCAGCTGTTGTGCAAGAGCTGAACAGGCAGCAGCCCCAAGCGCTACCGCCACCGGCGCCCATGCTGCCAATGCTGCCTCCGCAGCCAATGGCGCCCTGGCCCGGCTACCCTGGGCCGATGATGATGATTGGCGGCGGCGGGCCCATGCTGCAACCTATGATGGGGTGGCCAATGTTGCAGCAACCTATGATGAATCAAATGGTTCCTTGGTTGCAATTAAAGTGTACCAAAAAAAATTGCGGCTGCTATTCTTGGCCGTGTTTGAATTTCAGCCAGGTTCCCCTGCCAAACGGAGCCACTCTGACTATCGCATCCCCTGAGCCTGTTCCTGGTGGCGCCACACATGGGCCTGGTTCGTTGCCGTCTGGACCTTCAACTTCCTCTTTGTCCGCATCGCCAACGAGTTCCCTGGCTTCGTCTCCAGCTGCTGGCCCTGAATCAGGCAAAAAAAGGATGTGTCTGTCTGATCTAGACGGCCTGTCTGCTGCTGCAAAAGAAGAAGGCTGGCGGCACCTGACACAATCCGCAAAGAGAAAAGCCCGAAAGGTGAATTACGAAGGATGGTGGGATGACAAGGAGAAAAAGAAGGACGAGAAGGACGACACTCAGGAGAAAGCCGACCTCCACCCGGACACGAGTAATGATTCGTGGAATCCAAAATGGCCAGGATTTGGTCCTCCAAAACCAGACGGAGGTGGACTGGCTGCTTGACCAGAGCATTCGGTATAAAAAAGGTGCGCTGCAGCTCCGGGGTTGATAATGTGAACGGAACCAAGACTAGACAAGGAACATAAATGAATGGCCAAACAATGTCAAACCTTTCTTGGCCAGGCCATGTTGTGCTGCTGCTGCTGCTGGCCGCCTGTCGCAGCTGTGTTCCTGCACACGCAGCTGAGGCCATGTTGCTGCTGCAAGACTGTGGGGTTGATAATGTGAAATAATTGCACATAAATGAGAAAAAACAAAAAACTACTAATTATAAGTAGATTCTATGTTAATAACTTTTTGTGGTCATTGAAGCAGCAAACTCCTCACAGCTTAAATGGCTGGCAGGAAGCAAAAAACTACTAATTATAAGTAGATTCTATGTTAATAACTTTTTGTGGTCATTGAAGCAGCAAACTCCTCACAGCTTAAATGGCTGGCAGGAAGCAGGGAAAGACCAGCAGGACGCTGTCGTCCTCATGGTTTGGGAAAGTTTGACTTGTCCTTACTCATCATGAGGTACTGTAGGACCCATGTGACCAAACGGTAGGACTTCCAAAGTCTTCACGTAATGTCACATCATGAAGGTGCGAAGGGGCTGGCTGGCTTCTGCTCACTGAATAATTTTGAATGCCATTCGCCGCAGCTGTTTGAAATTTCCAAGCCTGGAACTAAAAGTCTTTCACCTTGGCAACCAGGACCATGCCGCGTGCGCTTTTCGCGGTGCTTTGCCTGTGCTGCCTGGCCACTGGCAAGGTCACTGGCCCTAATAAAAAACATGGGGGGTCGCAAGATGAAGATCCAACTCTGCGCTTGGCGCGCGCAGTGGCTGCAGCTGTTGTGCAAGAGCTGAACAGGCAGCAGCCCCAAGCGCTACCGCCACCGGCGCCCATGCTGCCAATGCTGCCTCCGCAGCCAATGGCGCCCTGGCCCGGCTACCCTGGGCCGATGATGATGATTGGCGGCGGCGGGCCCATGCTGCAACCTATGATGGGGTGGCCAATGTTGCAGCAACCTATGATGAATCAAATGGTTCCTTGGTTGCAATTAAAGTGTACCAAAAAAAATTGCGGCTGCTATTCTTGGCCGTGTTTGAATTTCAGCCAGGTTCCCCTGCCAAACGGAGCCACTCTGACTATCGCATCCCCTGAGCCTGTTCCTGGTGGCGCCACACATGGGCCTGGTTCGTTGCCGTCTGGACCTTCAACTTCCTCTTTGTCCGCATCGCCAACGAGTTCCCTGGCTTCGTCTCCAGCTGCTGGCCCTGAATCAGGCAAAAAAAGGATGTGTCTGTCTGATCTAGACGGCCTGTCTGCTGCTGCAAAAGAAGAAGGCTGGCGGCACCTGACACAATCCGCAAAGAGAAAAGCCCGAAAGGTGAATTACGAAGGATGGTGGGATGACAAGGAGAAAAAGAAGGACGAGAAGGACGACACTCAGGAGAAAGCCGACCTCCACCCGGACACGAGTAATGATTCGTGGAATCCAAAATGGCCAGGATTTGGTCCTCCAAAACCAGACGGAGGTGGACTGGCTGCTTGACCAGAGCATTCGGTATAAAAAAGGTGCGCTGCAGCTCCGGGGTTGATAATGTGAACGGAACCAAGACTAGACAAGGAACATAAATGAATGGCCAAACAATGTCAAACCTTTCTTGGCCAGGCCATGTTGTGCTGCTGCTGCTGCTGCTGCTGGCCGCCTGTCGCAGCTGTGTTCGTGCACACGCAGCTGAGGCCATGTTGCTGCTGCAAGACTGTGGGGTTGATAATGTGAAATAATTTCACATAAATGAGAAAAAACAAAAAACTACTAATTATAAGTAGATTCTATGTTAATAACTTTTTGTGGTCATTGAAGCAGCAAACTCCTCACAGCTTAAATGGCTGGCAGGAAGCAGGGAAAGACCAGCAGGACGCTGTCGTCCTCATGGTTTGGGAAAGTTTGACTTGTCCTTACTCATCATGAGGTACTGTAGGACCCATGTGACCAAACGGTAGGACTTCCAAAGTCTTCACGTAATGTCACATCATGAAGGTGCGAAGGGGCTGGCTGGCTTCTGCTCACTGAATAATTTTGAATGCCATTCGCCGCAGCTGTTTGAAATTTCCAAGCCTGGAACTGAAAGTCTTTCTCCTTGGCAACCAGGACCATGCCGCGCGCGCTTTTCGCGGTGCTTTGCCTGTGCTGCCTGGCCACTGGCAAGGTCACTGGCCCTAATAAAAAACATGGGGGGTCGCAAGATGAAGATCCAACTCTGCGCTTGGCGCGCGCAGTGGCTGCAGCTGTTGTGCAAGAGCTGAACAGGCAGCAGCCCCAAGCGCTACCGCCACCGGCGCCCATGCTGCCAATGCTGCCTCCGCAGCCAATGGCGCCCTGGCCCGGCTACCCTGGGCCGATGATGATGATTGGCGGCGGCGGGCCCATGCTGCAACCTATGATGGGGTGGCCAATGTTGCAGCAACCTATGATGAATCAAATGGTTCCTCGGTTGCAATTTAAAGTGTACCAAAAAAAATTGCGGCTGCTATTCTTGGCCGTGTTTGAATTTCAGCCAGGTTCCCCTGCCAAACGGAGCCACTCTGACTATCGCATCCCCTGAGCCTGTTCCTGGTGGCGCCACACATGGGCCTGGTTCGTTGCCGTCTGGACCTTCAACTTCCTCTTTGTCCGCATCGCCAACGAGTTCCCTGGCTTCGTCTCCAGCTGCTGGCCCTGAATCAGGCAAAAAAAGGATGTGTCTGTCTGATCTAGACGGCCGGCGGCACCTGACACAATCCGCAAAGAGAAAAGCCCGAAAGGTGAATTACGAAGGATGGTGGGATGACAATGAGAAAGAGAAGGACGAGAAGGACGACACTCAGCAGAACGCCGACTTCCACCCGGACACGAGTAATGATTCGTGGGGTCCAAAATGGCCAGGATTTGGTCCTCCAAAACCAGATTGGGCTTGCGAGGCGTCAAAAAAACACGGTTTTTACGGAGTTTTTTGCTCCGAGAATGTTCAAAAAACACGAAAACACCACCTATTTGACAATTTTTCGGCTTTACCTTGTTGGTGGTTCTTGACGGTTTTCATCGGGTTTCAAATGCCGAAGCACTGTAATTTACGGTGTTTTTGCGCGTTTGGCCTGGCAAAAGTACGTCTTGCAACATGCTGAAAACTGCGTAAATACCACTGTTTTTGCTAGGTGCTGGCCATAAAACACAGTAAACACCGTGGTTTTTGCTTCCAGGAGCAAAAAAAACACCGCAACTACCGTGGTTTTGGGCTTGCGAGGCGTCAAAAAACACGTTTTTTTTCTTCCCAAAAGCGAAATGCAATAGCCGGCCGAATGGCCGCCAAATGGCAGAAAATTGCTTCCAACAGGTTTCTGCTCTGGATCTTGGATCTGGCTCCAAAGGGCTCCTGGCCAGGATTTGGCCTAAAACGGCCGTTTCCCCTTGAGCCCAGAAGGCACTTTTCGTTGCCGGCCCGCAAGCCGCGAAAGTCTTAAAAGCTGGCTCCAAAAGGCTTCGGCCAGGATTTGGCTAAAAATGGCCGTTTCCCCTTGATCCCAGAAGGCCCTTTTAGTTGCCGGCCCGCAAGCCGCGAAAGTCCCACAAGCTGGCTCCAAAAGGCTCCGGGCTTGCGAGGCGTCAAAAAACACCGTTTTTTTTTTCGGAGTTTTTTTGCTCCGAGACTGTTCAAAAAACACGGAAACACCAACTATTTGACCATTTTTCGGCTTTACAAATGAAGGTAAAAAAAACATGCCGCAACGTCTCTGTGTGAAGATGTTTCTATGTAAAAGCGTCTCTGTGTAAAAGCGTTTCTCTGTAGATATATCTGTGTGTACAAGGGTCTGTGTGTCAAAGCTTCTGTGTGTAAAAGGGTCTCTGTGTAAAAGCTTCTGTGTGTAAAAGCCTCTGTGTGTCAAAGCATATGTATGTAAAAGTGTTTGTGTGTAAAAGCGTCTGTGTGTAAAAGGGTCTGTTTGCAACATTCTGTGTATGCGTAAAAGGGTCCGTGTGTAAAAAGGTTTGTGTTTAAAAGTGTCTGTGTGTAAAAAGATCTGCGTGTAAAAGCATTTCTGTGTCAAGATGTTTGTGTGTCCAACAGTCTGTGTGCTACTACGACTCTGTGTAAAAGCCTTTCGGTGTAAAGATGTTTGTGTGTAAAAAGGTCTGTATGTAAAAGCCTCTGTGTGTAAAAGCGTATGTGTGTAAAAGTGTTTGTGTGTAAAAGCGCCTGTGTGTAAAAGGGTCTGTGTGCAACATTTTGTGTATGCGTCAAAGGGTCGGTGTGTAAAAAGGTTTCTGTTTAAAAGTGTCTGTGTGTAAAAAGGTCTCTGTGTAAAAGCATTTCTGTGTCAAGATGTTTGTGTGTCAAAAAGTGTCTGTGCGAAAAAAGCGTCTATGTCTCACGGCGTCTGTGTGTGCAAGGGTCTGTGTGTCAAAGGGTCTATGTGTAAAAGCGTCTGTGTGTAAAGCTGTCCCTGCGTACACGGGTCTGTGTGTAAAAGCGTCTGTGTGTGTGTCTGTGTGAAGCTGTTTGTCTGTAAAAGCGTCTCTGTGTCAACGTGTTTCTGTGTAAAGCTATTGTAAAGGGGTCTGTGTGTAAAAGCATCTGTGTGTCGAAGTAAAAAAGTGTCTGTGTGTAAAAGCGTTTGTGTGTAAAAACGTTTGTGTGTAGTCTGCAAGGGTCTGTGTGTAAAAGGGTCTATGTGTTTTTAGCTTCACAATGCTGGTTCATAGCTTCTGTTTGCTTGCTGTTCGTTCTAAAATTGTATATGTAGCCGTTTCCCGTTCTTCCCAAAAGCGAAACGCAATAGCCGGCCGAATGGCCGCCAAATGGCAGAAAATTGCTTCCAACAGGTTTCTGCCCAGGATCTGGCTCCAAAAGGCTCCTGGCCAGGATTTGGCCTAAAACGGCCGTTTCCCCTTGAGCCCAGAAGGCACTTTTAGTTGCCGGCCCGCAAGCCGCGAAAGTCTTAAAAGCTGGGTCCAAAAGGCTTCGGCCAGGATTTGGCTAAAAACGGCCGTTTCCCCTTGATCCCAGAAGGCCCTTTTAGTTGCCGGCCCGCAAGCCGCGAAAGTCCCACAAGCTGGCTCCAAAAGGCTCCTGGCTAGGATGTGGCTAAAAACGAGCGTTTCCCCTTGATCCCAGAAGGGAAATCCAATTGCCGGCCCGCAAGGCGCGAAAGTCTAAAATCTGGTTCCAAAAGGGTTCTTGCTAGGCTTTGGCCCAAAACGGCCGTTTCCATTTGATTTCAGATGCGGCTCTGTGTCAAGATGTTTCTGTGTAAAAGCGTCTGTGTGTAAAAGGGTCTGTGTGCAACATTCTGTGTATGCGTAAACGGGTCCGTGTGTAAAAAGGTTTGTGTTTTTAAAAGTGTCTGTATGTAAACAGGTCTGTGTGTAAAAGCATTTCTGTGTCAAGATGTTTGTGTGTCAAAAAGTCTGTGTGCTACTACTACGACTGTGTATAAAGCCTTTCGGTGTAAAGATGTTTGTGTGTAAAAGGGTCTGTATGTAAAAGCCTCTGTGTGTTAGTTTCTGTGTCAGAAGGCACTTTTAGTTGCCGGCCCGCAAGCCGCGAAAGTCTTAAAAGCTGTGTCCAAAAGACTTCGGCCAGGATTTGGCTAAAAACGGCCGTTTCCCCTTGATCCCAGAAGGCCCTTTTAGTTGCCGGCCCGCAAGCCGCGAAAGTCCCACAAGCTGGCTCCAAAAGGCTCCTGGCTAGGATGTGGCTAAAAACGAGCGTTTCCCCTTGATCCCAGAAGGGAAATCCAATTGCCGGCCCGCAAGGCGCGAAAGTTTAAAATCTGGTTCCAAAAGGGTTCTTGCTAGGCTTTGGCCCAAAACGGCCGTTTCCATTTGATTTCAGATGCGGCTCTGTGTCAAGATGTTTCTGTGTAAAAGCGTCTGTGTGTAAAAGGGTCTGTGTGCAACATTCTGTGTATGCGTAAACGGGTCCGTGTGTAAAAAGGTTTGTGTTTTTAAAAGTGTCTGTATGTAAACAGGTCTGTGTGTAAAAGCATTTCTGTGTCAAGATGTTTGTGTGTCAAAAAGTCTGTGTGCTACTACTACGACTGTGTATAAGCCTAACAACTAGCAACCGCCTTTACTTCGAGATACTTCAGCGCAGAGACAAAAAAAACCATGAGCATTGCTTTGGGGGCTGGCTTTCGTCCCCCCCTTCTCAGGTAATCATTATAACCATTATTATAACCATAGGTTTAACCATGATTATAACCATAGTTTCCCATTATTATTATTATCATTATAACCATTAATTATGGGGATATTATAAACATCACTGGGGGGGTTCACCAGCTGTAGGCTTACTGTTTCGTAACACTGGTTTGTTCACCACCTCCCAGCTGCTGCCAGCGAGCTGAGGCTGGTTCCTGGATCTGGTGTATTGCCACTTGACTAGACACGGTCAGGTTGACGTAGCCCCAAACGAAACCATGGATGTACCCTCTGGTTATGTCAAAATAGCTATTGAAAATGGACCATTTATAGTGGATTTACCCATTAAAAATGGTGATGTTCCATAGTTATGTTAGTTTACGAGAGGGTAGGGGATGAAACCACATCATTGGGACCATAGAAATATAGGGCGTGTGTAGAATTAGGGGGATGGGATTCGATTTTAAAATAATCGAAGGAAGTTTAGAAGTCAAACTTCCAACAATATGGAGAGATGAAAAGCAGAGCAGGAAAGAGGCATAGAGAAGAGAAAGATTAGAAGAAAGAAGAGTAGAAGAGAAAGAGTAAGAAGACAGAAGATGCAGATGCGCGAAAAGGTAGGAAAGTCGCGAAACACTGTGTTTCTCCAATGATTTGTGGCTCCGGAGGGTCGAAAAGTAGGCTCGCTAAAGCGGCGGGTGCGGAGCCAGCTGGCCACAGGAGAGATGAAAAATTGCACGCCGTTGTGGCGCGAAGCACATTTGGAAGTCAAAAGTGTTAAAAACTGGCGGTCTCGGAACACTTTTGGAAGTTGAGATGTCCAAAAAGTGCACGGCGTTGTGGCACGAAGCACATTTCGAAGTCAAAATGTACAAACGCTAGGGGTTCGGACCACTTTTGGAAGTTAAGATGTCGAAAAAGTGCACGCCGTTGTGGCGCGAAGCACATTTCGAAGTCAAAATGTACAAAACACTAGGGGTTCGGACCACTTTTGGAAGTTAAGATGTCGAAAAAGTGCACGCCGTTGTGGCGCGAAGCACATTTTGAAGTCAAAATGTACAAAACACTACATGTTCCCGCCACTTTTGGAGGTTTAAGATGTGAAAAGTGCACGCCGTTGTGGCGCGAAGCACATTTCGAAGTCAAAAGTGTTAAAAACTGGCGGTCTCGGAGCTTTTGGGAAGTTGAGATGTCGAAAAAGTGCACGGCGTTTGGCGCGAAGCACTTTCGAAGTGAAAATGTAAAACACTACATGTCGCGCCACTTTTGGAGGTTCAGATGTCGCTTCGCCGCTTTTTACACTACACTACGTTACATTACCACACTCCAATATACTACACTACATTACACTACACTACACCCACAACACTCCACTACACTACACACTACTACACTTTACACTCCACTACACTTTTCACTACACTACACACACTACACTGCACCACAGATAGACAGGTAGACAGATAGATAGATAGATAGATAGATAGATAGATAGATAGACAGGTAGACAGCTAGACAGAAGACAGATGAAAGAGAGAGATAGAGAGAGAGAGAGAGAGCGATAGATAGATAGATAGATAGATAGATAGACAGATAGACAGATAGATAGGAGCTACAGATAGGTAGATATAGATAGGTAGATAGGTAGATAGGTCGATAGGTCGATAGGTCGAGAGGTCGATAGGTAGAGTAGAATAGGTAATTAGATGAAAGAGAGAAAGGGAGAAATTAGGATAGATAGCTAGATAGAGAGATAGATCATAGATAGATAGATAGATACATAGAAGATAGATAGGTACAGATAGTCAGATAAAGAGAGAGACAAGAGGAGACCTCAAGCACCTTTCAGTCCATCAGTGGCTTCGCCCTGCCATCCCTGATTACAACAACCAACCTCTCCTATAGGTTTCCTGTTTTAGTTCGCGAGAGCTTTGTGCGGTACACTGGGGTATGATATGATCCCCAATTGACATCTGGAGTTACTCCCGACAAATTGATGAGTTTCATCACCCCACTATGAAACCCAATGTACAGGTTCAATATTCATGTCATCGGGTAGATTCTCATGTGTGGGTTTCAGGGATTACAATGCTCCATTATGCTACTAGTCAACCAATAAATGAACCAGTGGAATGATTTGCGGATTTTGAACACTGCTCAAATGGGGGTTTCTCAAAATGGAAGTCCCAAAAAGAATCCAAACTGCAATTCATTGTTCTATCTATTATTCGGGTATGGTTCAAAACCTATCCACCTGGGACCAAAATTGGGGGAAGTACCACAGGATGGGGCCCCCCAGTTTTATTGGTTTATAAACTATACCACCATTAACTATAGTTTATCTACCATAAAGTCATAAACCATAAATTCAACCACTTAAGGCAACTGAACTTTTATTATGGTTAATTGTTATTATTATGGTTAACCATTAACTCTTATTTTCATTTTTTCAAATATGATTATCACCCGCATATGAATTATTCAATTCGTTTAATATTTGGGGCTCACCGCGATACCAAGGTTTTACTCAGATCCACTATATTCCCACTATCATCCAACTAAGTTGGAAACAACATGAGTTCTATCCGATTATATATATATATATACAAATACATATCATTATATTCATTGTATCAATTAACATGGTCTTGTTATAAGGGTATCGTTGTTCTCCTGCATATCCCCATCATATCCCGATTATATCCCCATCATATCCCACATTAAGTTCCATCATAAGCACCACAGGATTGGGAATATCCCATTATAATTCGTTCAACATGGTCAGCATATATCCAGGTAGTTCACTGGAACTGCAACCCGTAATACCCGCGGCCTAGCACTTTGCGATTTAATATCAACATATTCAACCATCAAATTATATTTATCAGTTGCGTTTTAATTCTGTTATCCTTCAAGTTATATATAATTCCGTTAAGTGACATGAACTGACCATGATTCTTGAAAAACCTGAAAACATCCTTAAAAATCCATACATATCCCCTTGATATTTCCATTGGCACCCCGTAACGATCTCTGTGAAAATACCCATTGTTTTTTTATGTCCACATCCATGTGCCATTAAATATCTGCAGGAAGGTTGGTGAACCAAGTCTCAAGTTTTTTCATTTTTCAGGCACAGCAACTGGAAGTTTACAGAAGAATTTTTAACATAGGAACACACTAGGATTGACCTCAAACATATTCTCCTAATTTTCTCGAGGTCTTTCCAATTTTTTTACGTTTCCAGTTGCCAAATGCAATGAATTCCTATCCGTTTCCTATTTTTTCCTCATTTTCTCGAGGTTTTTGTAATTTTGGACATTTCCAGAAAATTAGGAACGAAAATAGGAAAAAATGGAGGTGGCCGAAAATGAATTCCGAAATTTGGCTAAATTGTCTGGAAAATTGAACATTTGCAAAAACCTCGAGAACATTAGGAAAAAAACCGAACAAATAGGAAACAACTAGGAACACCAATAGGGAAAAAATAGGAACATATTAGGACGTCAAAATCACGGGTTTTTGACCACCCATGTTTTTTCTTTTTTTGAGGTCAATCCTATTTATAATATGAGTGCCTGGAATAGGCAAACATAATCCTAGTCCTTATTAATCGTTCCTATTCATTATATTTCCAATATTTTGATGGGAATATGGATGGATGTTTTAATAGGGGATACAACTAGTAGGTATAGCTAAAGGATATACGGGACAACCAACCAGATTGAACAATACATTTATTGCAAGGAATCCCATTCATGATGGTTTGATGATCACAACCAAAAAATATCCGAGTTATTAAAACAATATCAACATATACACATATCCACTATATATATATACAATATTCTCTAAATATATATATATATACATATCCACCATATATATCCACCATATATATCCACTACACATATCCACTACACATATCCACTAGATATATCCACTAGATATATCCACCATATATCTCCACTATATATCCATATGATCTTCGCTATAGATCGTATGATCCACCGCTGAATCCTTCGGTGAATTTGACTTCAGGACAAGGCGGATCGCCTTTGGCGGAGAGCACCGGGGGATTACCAAAGCTCAACGGGGCTCTGGACGGAACGAGCTGCCCGGCGTGACTGCGCAACGTGCCCGACGTTTTCGCAACGCTTAAAGATATGGAAAGTGCAGAGATGTGGATTGAGAATTTTGAGATTTACATAAATTTTGGAGTTTAGATAATTTTAGATATGGCGATAGATATGGCTATATCTACTTCGGTAGCACATCAATTGTGTTGTAAACTCGGCTTCGTGACCTACTTCGATGAATTTTCTGTGCCTACTTCAGCAGCTAAGATCTGCTCCGTCCCAAGTTCCGTTTCGCCGTTTCGCCTAGGACGATAATGGCTTGCCATTCTGGCCCAAGCCTGACGGATCTCTGCTGAAAGATTTGAAGGCAGACTTAGGCCGGAAAACAGTGGGTTTTTGGATCCCCGGATCCCAATTGGAACCGTTGGCAGAGTGGAAAATCACCACCATGCTATCAATGGGGATTCATCAACTATTTCGACTGGGCCATTTTCAATAGCAAACTGGAAGAAATTACCAGAGGGTAATACTATGTCATGGTTCATAGTGGTTAAGAATGATTGATACATTGATATGGGTTAATTTCATGATTAAGAACGGTTAATAGCAAGTGGTTAATGTTTCTCATTCTTGGGAAACTTGCATATTTTTTGATTGGTAGACTGGTAGACCTTTTGTTTGGACAAAAGCAGGTTGCCAAATTGAGGTGGTAAGTCCGATCAGAATAATAAGAGACTTTTGGTTGGGGACGGTTGAAATTCCATCAATTTTTGGCAAGTAACCACACACAATACTCACAGCGAGTTTCATTGGATTGAATGGTGATTGATAGGGATTTAAGCAAGAAACATGGGAATTTTTCACTGTCATTTAGCCTCTGGCGCTATGGTAATTCAGACCCCTTTATAGATGATTCGCCTTGAAACATGGTGAGATCCCCATTACCCTCTGGTAAACTGACATAGCTATGGAAAATCACCATCTTTAATAAATCAACTATAAATGGGCAATTTTCTATAGCTATGTTAAATTACCAGAGGACATCTTGCTTCCAACTTGCATCCCAGTTGCGTCTTTCCTACTTGCAACTGGGAACTATTATTGGTAGGTGTCGACAAGTAAATATACATGACATACATATTCTACAGACTACTTGTACTTGTTTGGCGTGTCACTGCATGGGTGCTAATTTATCCCATTCATACAAAGTGGGGCCCCCAAGATAGCTAAGTTGGTTTATAACTCCAAAAATTATGGTTTATGGTACCTATAACTATAGTTAATGGGGTTTATAAACCATCTTATTACTGGGGGGCCCCACCGTGTATCCATTCGTCATATTCATATTGTACCAGCATCATATTCCCTTTGCCCTTCTTGGTTAAATCCCAGTTGTAGACTTCCAATGAAATCGCCACTTGTTGTTGGTTATATCAATGGGAATTCCAGGATCCTAAAATGGAGGTACTGTACCATATAAGGCCATATTTTGTGGGGATATTCCCTTACATAGGCCTTATAGGCCTTATATATGGTAGGTACCTCCAATTTAGGATCCTGGAATGGCCATTGATTATACTCCAGATTGTTGTTTGTGAATCCTTATAAGGAGTTATATAAGTCCATTCGTTACATTCCCGACACATATTCCCCATCATGTCCCCATTATAATCCCATTTATTGTTGGTTATATAACCAATGTCCATGATTATTTGGATATCAACCCTACTTATCTCAGTTGTTGTTGGTTGTAAATCCCCAGCTGTGGTTGGTTGTACAATCCCTATTATATCAATTATATCCCCACAGTCAGTCATATCCAAAATATTCTCATTAACCAACAACAATAACCATCAATTATCCAGTTGTAGTAGTCCCATTAAAGAAAAATCCTTCAGTTGTACAATGCATGCGTTATATCCAGTAGACCTATCCCATTGTTGGTTTTATAATGGCTTATTATCAAGCAACAATCACGTTTATCAGGGCAAATCTCAATCATCGATGATTGGGTCACCGTCTATCAGGTGGTCGCTGTAGAAAATTCCATGGGATTCCCATGACATTTCCCATATATCCCTTTAAAAAATGTTCCTTGGCTTTCTTAAGGGTCTCATTGATTGAACCGAAGCCCGTTTCAAGATTGTAATAGACATTGCTTATGATGTCATCTCTTGATAGCCTCCTTGCCATATATTATAATATTAGATTTTTAAAATTATCAGCAATAAAAAATATACTTAAAGAAAATCTACCTATATATGATCAGAATAAGTAAGATGACTAAATTTGACTGTGGATGTCGTATAATGACAAATGTTATAACCCTGAATGGTAGAAACCAACCCAATTGGAACTACTTGCTCAAAACCTTCGTGAATGTTTGTGGCAAGTGCTACAAGGAGCAAATGAAATTCCAATATATGGAAAACAAACTTATGGAGATGGAAAAGCAACGAATGGAAATGTTTTTGGAAAATGAGGATGAAGAGGAAGACACATACTGTGACCTGACAGAGTTGAAGGAACATCTCAAAACCCTCCCACCCAATGAAAGATACAAAGTGAAGGATTTTGAGAGGTTAAGAAACCTCGCCAATGGACAAGACCCCAACGAAGGAATGAGTGAAATAGATATGGTCATAAGAGAACTGGAAGAGGAGGAAAGGGAAAATAAAAACCAACCCGAACCCGAAAACTGAACGAGCCCCCAAAAACTACTTAAAGAAAAAATGACTATATATAGTAAGAGGATGCTATTTACTTATAAAAACTGTGGATGTTGTAAGAAAGAAATGACTGACATTAAGGTTTTATTGAACAACATTTTTCCTGCTGGAATTTGTGATGAGATATGCAGTTACAACCTTCACTGTTCTAAATGTAAAGAGTTGAATGATAAGGAACGCAGATATATAACATTCAACTATCATTTTGACCATTTTGAAGAGAAAGGACTAACAAGAGTTGAAAAAGAAATACATTTCTTTAAAACAAGGATAGAGAAATCACCTATCTATTTATCCAACACCGACCGAACAAATGTAAGAGTAATGAAGAGAGAAATAGATGCTTTAATGGACACCTATAAACTGAAGGTAGAATTTCAAACAGATAAGATATATCTTCAAGCGATTAAGTCTTATGTCAAAAACCATTGGAAATACACTTATCATATTCTAAAGAACTTTCACGACCTTAATTTCATCAATCACAGTAAGCAACGAAGATGCTGGTGGTTTCCTAATGTTGAACGAACTTTTATGTTTAGAAACAGGGAGTTCAAGATAAAAGACATTTTGGAAATTTTCTTGCGTGAATACACCGAAAAACTGTTCAATGGTTATGAGAAATATTTGAACACAGAAGAAATAAAAGAGCACCTACAAAAAGTGATAAATACTTAAAGAAAAAATACTTTGCTTCGAGTGATCCCCACCATGACATTTCTAAGTAATTTGTAGTAACTTGCTGTAAGATGTTGCCTGTCTCAAGCGTCTTTGCAAACAGCTCCAAAGGTACAGAAGTGGAAATGTCTCTGTCCACCCCAGTGACCCTGTCATCTGTTCAAACTGATTGCTTCAAACTTTGCCACCTGCAAAGTAAGAAGTGGCATTGCCCCGGTCACTCTACCACACACGCGCGAGTTTGCAAGTAATATATAACATACTTGTCTGACATTCTTTCTAACTTTCTTCTGCACATTCTTTGTCCCATATCTTCCTACATGAGGTCCGGCAGGGAACACTTGGCGTGGACACTCGCGGTTGAGGTCCGGCAGGGAACACTGGGCGTGGATGGTCGTGGTTGAGGTCCGGCAGGGAACACTGGGCGGGGATACTCGCGGTTGAGGTCCGGCAGGGAACACTGGGCGTGGATGGTCGTGGTTGAGGTCCGGCAGGGAACACTGGGCGGGGATGGTCATGGTTGAGGTCCGGCAGGGAAACTGGGCGGGGATGGTCGTGGTTGAGGTCCGGCAGGGAACACTGGGCGTGGATGGTCGTGGTTGAGGTCCGACAGAGAACACTGTGCGTCGAGGGTCGCGGTTGAGCAGGAGGAGGAGGAGAGGAGAGGAGGAGAGGAGCAGGCAACTGACATAAAATTTAACAACCCTCACCTGGCAGGTGGGGAAACACTTATATATAATAAGAGAAAATGAGTAGCGCAAAAATTGAGGTTATAGATACAGGGAACATTGGAATATATGCTGACTTTGGTAGTGATAGTGAGGATGATGATTGGGAAAGAAAAGAAATAGAAAAAGAAGATGAAGAGATTAGAGACTTCGTAAGATGTCATCCTATGCCTTCACCAGATGATGAGGAAGGAGACAAGTTGTGGAAGAAAGTAATTGATAGGATGAAAGATAATGAAGGAGTAAATGGAATGATAATATATTCGTTCGTAAGATTTGACATTATGAAAAAGATGTATGAAAACTTAACTGATAAAAAAGTCATCATTGATTGTGGAAAGGAACTCAACCGTGATGGTGAATTCAACGCTATGATTATCAACCTAACTCTTTTGTCAATAGCGATGGATGAACTGAATGATACAAACAAACCTTGCTTATCACAAATGAGAGTAATTGAACACTGGTGGGATGGAATAGGAAAGTGGAAAGCATAAATGATTAATTCATAATATCTTAACAAAATATAATATGAAGTAATCACCTGCCCAAACACAAACAAAAACCACAACAGTCTAAACAAATCCTACCCCCATTCAATCCAAACATCAACAGTGAAAATTAGGGGCAAAATAGTCCCAAAACCCTCACCACATAAAACATCAAAGATAAGGAACAAACACTGAACATAAACCTAAAATATCCTAAAATCATAACAAGCAAAACACCCTCAACAAAACCTACCCTCATTGAAACCAAACATTATTACAACAACCTCAACAAAACATTTAGCAAGATATTCAAAAAAAAACAGTCAAACATTTCAGATTACAAGATTGAACAAAAACGTTACAGCCTCCCACCTAACCGCCAACCTGTCCTGTCCTAGTTTCCCCATTTCCCCATTTTTTTCCCTTGTATATCCCTTGTATATCCATGATATATCCAGTATATATATATATATATGTATGTATGTATATCCGTTGTATGTCCATCATCCATTATATATCTTATATAACGTGCCCATGGCACATCATTTGTCAAACATCAACAGATATTTCGGTTGGTTTCCAGGCTGGGCCCTGGCCATTGATGATCGCGGGAATTTACTGCGACGACGCATCAATGGCACCTGTTGTCACTCGATTTTCTTCGCCAGCTGGGATGACTTATGGTATACCCTATCCGTCACATGTCCCTTTACGACTTATAACTGGTTGGTGGTTTGGAACATTTGGATTATTTTTCCATATATTGGGAAGAATAATCCCAACTGACGAACTCATATTTTTCAAAGGGGTTGACACCACCAACCAGATAAGTACTTACAACTCCATTTCTGGAATGTATAATCCCATAGAAATCACCAGTGATAACTAATATTTATGGCCATAGCTGCAATTGAACATAGCGAACTGGAAAATCCAACATGCTCATTGTTGGCAAATCACCGATAGACCATTTTCAGGAGCTTCCATAGCTATGTGAAATTGCCAAAGCGTAGATGTAGATGCAGTTTGATGGCTGTCACAGTTTACTGTCCATCAATGATG